AGCTACACACGGCCGCCTCGATATCCACTACTATACGCACGAGTCGAAGGCAGAGGAGTTCGTGGACGTCACTTGTGTGCAGTGTTTGGTCGCACGCATGAAGGATGAAGGGAATCGGTGGGCTATTATGGATCGTAGCGGCTCTCTTTCGAGGCCTGACTTTGTAGATACATGATACTTGACTACCCTTTGTTTTGTACTTACTCGGCTGCAATCCATCTCGTGAGTACGGCCCACACGAAAGGTGACTGAGCGGCGACGAACGCTCCTATGACCGGCAAGTTCCTCTGGGTCAAATTCACCATTCGCAAGGGGTGTCTTCCGAAGAGGCCTTTCACTCTTTTTTCACTATCACCTCCTTTTCACTATTTCCGAGGTTGAATGGTCAGAATCACCTTCGTGCGAGGTGAAGGTGACCCCGGGCCGGTCTCACAGTGATGGCGCCACATCACCCTAGGTACCCCTACGTTGTGGACTTCGCTCTCTTTAAAGCCCTCGAGCCACCTACCCGACGCAGATCCATCAAAGTCATCGAAATCAGATGCATACCTCCAGTCGCTCAGCATTTGGCTCTCTGCATCAGGCACGCTCCCTCTTCGTGTTAAACTGCGGTCGGACAGTGGCTCGCGCTTCAACGCCTGGCTTGTTACCATGCTCTGTGACCATTCACAGCGGTGGAGAGCCATCGATCTTGGTGCATGTACACGCGATGACTTTCCTTTCGGCCAACCGGGAGAGTTTCCCTTACTCAAATCTTTCTTCATGGATTATCTCTGGATACCCGGGGCGCCTCATTTTCCTCCTTTCTTGACCCCACTTCGAAGCAGCCTTTGCCTTCGTGAGGTTCATATATCCCACGATTCCCTGGCCGAGCTGCCTCTGCCATGGCCCACGCTTACCGAATATCGGTGGAAAAATCACGGTGGCCATCAGTCCATTCTACATATGGAAACATTCATCAACGAGATAAACAAATGCGTAAACCTCACGGCGGCTTCGTTCTCTTCGAGCAGCCTACGGGGACAACTAGAAATGCACACACCGAGGGATCCTTCCCGCGCCACGCTCCCACGGCTCCGCCATCTCGCAGTCGGTTTTGACGCTGTCCCTATCCTCGAAGGGTTTTTGAACGTCCTCGAAGCGCCTCAGCTAGAGGGGTTCACACTCTCGTGGACGCTTGAGGACCCGATGGCAGGGCCATTCTTAGGTGCCAGAGCCTATTCAGCGCTTCAACGATTTCTCTCTCCGTCGCTGCGCGCGATTCGGCTCCAGCATATCCACGTTCCTCGTTCGTTGCTACTTCAACTCTTTCAGTGGCTGCCGAATTTGGAAAAAATGTACTTCGTCGGTCCGAATGACTACACGTATTGGGTCCCTATCCTAGCTGCGCTTGTCATCCCAGACCACGGTGTGGCGATCGACGCTTCCTCACCAAACACGAGCACGTCAATGCGACTTCAAGATTTCGGAATTTACATTGAAACCGATTCGTATGATTACGGAGAGACCTCCACCAAGTCTCAACGCGCTTTCTTCGAAGCGCTCACTACCATGGTCGAATCACGGATACGATTTGAGCGGTCGTCGACATCTCGCACGGGGATCGCGCGTCTAGAGACCCTTCGGTTCTCGAAACAGACACAGAGAGATGCTGTCAAGTACGACTATATCCGGAGTAGGACCATGCTGGACTTCTGGGAGGAGCAGGGGATACGAATCGTCATAGCAGACGGCTGGTGGGAGTGATCATAGTGTGGTGCGTCTTCTTGAAGATCTCAATCTATCTCAACTGTCCTTACTCTGAATCCAGAATGCGAAAGTACAGTTCCTGCACTGTAGATTGTCGCAAGCATCTAAAACTGGACAACGGTGATGGCGTGGCATGGTATCGAGCGCTTGTGCCAAAGTTTGAAAATTTAGATTTGTCTCTGACAGAAAGTTTGCCAGCAATCTACCCTACTCTCCATAGCTTTCTCGGAATTACTGGCCATAAATCTCGCCGAGCGTCAAACTCTACACAACGTTACGAGGTTCCCACGCAGGGTTGTTCACTGCAGCTGGACCTGTTCCCCCTTCGATGACAGAGTCAACGCTCAACTTGAACGAGTCAATGGACGCTCCATCTGCACTTGTGGCCCAGACGGCTAACGCCACAGTACTAAGAAATAACGATAGTCAGCAACGATACATATACAGAGGGCAGAGGGGAGCCTTACTTCGTCCCTGATGGGTTCAATATTCCAACTGGAACAGGGAAGCGAGCTTGAGGCTAGTAAAACATTAGCATTCAAGCATGGATGAGACAGAAGAGCTCCAGCTCACCCCGAGATTGGCGACATATCGGCCGAAGTTCCACCTGGAGTATATCGTTTGAACATCGGCGTAGACATGGAATCAAGACTACTCACCCGTTCACATAGAGGAATGCTCTGTACGTTCCATTGCCATACGGAGGGAAGTTGAAAGACATCTTGGCGTCCACGCCCGCTGGGATGTCCAGGTCGAATGTTGCCCGGAAGAAACCCACACCAGCGGACGATATTCCTTCCGCTGGTGACCGAGTTTCCCACTGCGAGTCGTCGAAACCAGGCAAATGCCAGCCAGCCCGTTCACCGTAGAGGCCGCCCTCATTCATGATCCCTCTAATGCGATCTGGGAAACTGTTGACCAATGAATCTGTCTGCGCGTGTTTGTGAGGGAGAAATGGAACTCACTCAGAATAGCCACCCAGTTTGCCCTGGACCTTCCAGGTAGGCTGTGCTTCTGCGCCTAGTAGTTCATACCCTTGAATCCCGCGAGGCGACTTGAGCCATTCAGTGTACTCTTTTAAGTTGAAAGTTGTCATCAGTTCCGGAATACCTTTCATCCGTGGAGTGTACTCACGATTGGCCTGAGCCTCCTCCATACCCATATTATCATGTAACACTGTGACCACATTCGAGGCGTTGATCTTGACAGCGCCGTCAGGGAAGACATATGTCTCGTTCGTAGTCTCGACGATGTCCTTTATCACTCAAGATCATAAGCCAAAGACGACTACCAACCATGTTAAAGCACATACTGCCGCAATATTGTTACTTGAGTTGCCGTATGTACTACCGAGGAACGCGTCGTTGAGCCATACACTACCGGCAAAGGCTATAGAAGAGACGTTGATGAGTATGTCGTCCTACGTGAGGAGACTCGTACGTCATGAGCTTACTTACCTCGTCCACCAGAGATGCTTAGGTTCATCGCCGTCTCTAGCCCAGTACCATTGAAGTGGCCCCTCCACAGGACCGGCCCTTCACAGCTATTGAGCGCGTTAGGACGATGGTAGCAGTAAGTTCGATCACGAGAAACGCCTACAAGCCGTATTCACAAGCATACAAGTAATACTGCAGAACATGACGTTAGCTTGTATTATCATGCAGATCCGAGGAAACACTCACATCTCCATAATACTTGAAGAACGGGTTCGTGCTGTTCAAGTGGTCTGCATCCGTCCAATTGGAATCCGAGAAACCGTCTTGAATCTCAGGTAGACTGTCGGCGTACTTCCATCCCGAGATCACTGGAACAGTGACATTCGGAGCTGGATATCGGTAGTCAAACGTCAAGAAGCCTTCCGAGGCAGAGACGGTCTGTCTGGCACCATTCCAGGTGATGTTGGTGACAGAATCAGGGGCGTACACGGTGACGGTCGTAGATGTTTCAATGTCTCCATAGAGGTCGAGCGTGGACCCAGATATCGAGGCATTCCTAACGAGAGGAGGTCCTTGAAGAAGAATTGTGTCGTTCGTGCTCGTGCCAAAGAACGTGAAGCCATCTGGACCAGGGAGGATAGGAGCGTGGAAGGTGCTAGCAGACAATGTGTCACCAACGAGGATTATGGAGTCGTTAGATATAGAGGCGCTCAACGAGCTGGCGGTCGGTGAGAATGTGAGCACGTTGTAGCCTGCATCGAAGGTAGAAACGTTGACGGAGATAGTTCCGGAGAAACTCGGTGTTGTGGTCCCGGTCTTGAGAACGACCTCGAAATCTTGATCGCTTGGCCCATGGAGAAAGAGGACGTCGCGCGTGCCGATGGTTCCAGAATAGAAAAGGCTTGCAGTACTATACAGGATGCTCGAGTTACCATACTGATGGTCAACAACAAATAGTCGAGACTGGCGGCCATGGAGTGTGACGAAGATGGAAGGATTCTGAGGGATGGTGAAGGCCCCCAAAGAAGTTGTGATGTTGACCTTCGCGGTGACAGTCGCGCTGAAATAAACGACCATCGTAAGCAATCTCTGGACTCTGGTGGAAACTAATGAATCTTTACTTGGAACTGGTCATGTTCTGACGTACGACGTAGAAAGCAGTATCAGTGTCCTTATTACGAAGTTCCGTGACGAAAACAGAAGGGTTATCAGTGTATCCTGCGGAGCTATTGCCCATGATATCGCTCCCGGCCATGTCCGTCTCAACGCTACGAAGGAATGTGCCAATGTTTTTCAGCTCGAGCCACTTTCCTGTTAATGTCCTATCCTCGGCGATGGCGGCACCGTAGTCGTCTAAGAGGAAAGGCTCAGTCACATATCAACCATCTAAGAGTACCACATCACCTACAGCTAGCGTAGACTCCAGGAAATGCGAACTATTGGCCTTCATTAGCTCAAGGTCTCTCCGATTAGATATACAATTACTTACATGCCCCCACGAAGTTCCACCGTACGTCATCTGGATTCAAAATGGACCATAAACATCCGATAAATCAGGTAGAAATGACCGCGCTCACATAGACATTGTTCAACCTAATTCCGACCGCGAACTGGTTCAAATAGTAAACCTGTTCAAAATCGGAGCCAGTGAGAATGTTGCAGGCGGTATAGTTCTAGGCATGCGACCATCAGTCCAGAATGCACATATATGCTAACGGCCATAATAAAACGGCACACCGGACTATTGGGACCCCAGCCAAGGTAGCTTCCACCCTGTGATATGCGTAAGTACAACACTCTCTGGGTAAGGGAAAGATTAATGAGGAGCGACAGACTTGGAACTCTGGCTGGTACCACGGCTGATCTGGATTCACTTCTAAATGATAGCTGTGTCGTTACCTACAATTAGAATTTTTTTTTTCGGGACAAGGAGCCCAGATCAATGCATGAGCCCACCTCCAATAATCTACCGGATAATCGCTCCACAGGTACGGCTGGTCGCAGCCGCCTTGAGCTGCATACCACCACGGCAACACCTCTCAATACGACTGTACCACCTTCTCCAGAAAAGAAAGAGGGGTGCGCACGGTAACTGTCCAGCCCATACACCTCCACCTCTCCCACGGCCGCTTCACCAGTTGATCCAGGTGCAAAGTTCCTTCCTTCGTAGGAGTCGTTGCTTGCTATATCAACCGCAAATCAGTCACGTCCTTCAGTGGTGCTACTCAAGCGTAGAAATCTAGGAAATGTACTGAGTGGAAGAACAATGCCTAGCTCGTGAAGGATATCCTCTAAAGCTTGCATGTACTCGTTCTTCGTTACCGGGTTCGGAGTGGCAAAATTCGTATTGTTCGTATACCTTTACGGTATTGTCATAAATGGACAGCATTTCATCAGGCGTCTACCACACGTACTCATTTTCAACTTGAAATATGATAACCTGCAGGTAGAGAGTGGTATAGAGTCAATACGGGGCCAAAAGTGGAGAGTATGATTGAAACCAGTTCAAACGTACCGGGCCCCCTTCGTTGATCTGGTATCTCTTTACGATCTCGACCGCACTTCTGTAGTAATCTTGGTATGAGTCAAAGTAGTCCGAGTCGTTGGACCTCAGGTATCCAGCAATATTTGTTACACGCCCAGGTATGCCACCAGCTGTGAACAGAGCGCCGCGATGTCAGATCATCCGCACGATACTACAGTTTACTTCAACAGAGACGACGGAACGTACCAGAGCTCTCGCCATTAATGTATGGTCTTCCGAACGCTCATATCATTAGTTGAGAATGCGATATAGAAAAGAGGTTGGGCAACAGAGAGACTAACCCGGGACGCGCAATGACCCAGAGCCCGACTTCCTGCGCCACCTGCAAAAATAACTCAAAATCGCGATATCCGTCCCATTCGACGCGTCCTTCCGAGGGATTTCTGTACAATTTTCATTATCATACAGGAGTACGCTGACGCATTTATTTTGTGCACTCACGTAGCACCCCAGTGAACTTATGGACAGCAGGAACAGGACCCGGGGTTATCGGTCAAAATCCTCACGCCACATGGATGACGCCACACAGCTCACCATACGTAGAGACCTGTATTCGCCAACGGGTTACATCCTGTCAGTATGATCGAAGCAAGGTCATATAATAAGAGGAGAACAGTACCGTATTAAACCCTGCAGCTTTGAACTTCTGTAAAATATCCCTCCACAGATCCGGCACGGGCAGCCTCCAGAAATGAAACTCCCCGCTCCACACGAACGACCTCCTCCCTTGCACAATCAACGACCTATTATCCCATTGTACGGCCGTGGTGCCCCCGTTTGATAGTCCACCCCCATCATCGAGCGAGGTACGGGCTTGAAAAGTTGTACGAAGGTCTCGAGGAGATGTCTGCGCGGCAATGGTCGAGAAGTGCAGGAGAAAGGCTAGAAAAGCAAGTATCGAACGCATCGCGACCTGCTGCATACGATCAGACAGCTGCTAAGGTTGGCAAAGCCAAGATGAAAAGAGGTCCACCGGACTCCGCCTCCCTAGGTTACTCCTTATATACCCACTGCACCCCGGCTTTCGAAGATCCAAGGGTCCATCCTGTCATGCTTCTGTGTATCTTTGGCTCTTCTGGCAAGGCCCACGCTCAAAGTCAGGGGTTGGTCCGAGCGTATGACTTCATGGACAATCTGCACGTCTGAGCGGGAAGTGAAGGGAAAGAAGATGCAAGTGAGCCACATGGTGTCGATAACGTGTCGAGGACAGGACAGTGAGAAAGGTAGCTTTCAGGATACAAGGGAAGCTGAACGCAACATAAGAAATGATACACATGCTACGAAGCACAGAGATTTCCAGATAAAATCGAGTCGTCTGCATAGGTCAGGCTCGTGCCCGGAGAAGGAGTCGAAAGAAACCCCTGCGGGCCGCTGGATAAGTTCAGACGCAAGCTTCTTCACAGGCACGAAGAGAGACGGGTCACTTGAGAGGCAGGTTCCGTGAGGTCTGCTGATTCGTGAAATGGACTGAGTGGCGAATCTAGAATACTGCAAAGCCTGAAGTGCAGCTATTTTCTGGTCTCAAGTCGTTGAGGCCGAAACTCCTGGTTCGACGATACCGCGTGTGGCGGTGTGATTGTTTTTATCCGGAAAAGCCTTCTACACCACAAGGATGATGCACTTCTTTGAGTAGACGCCGATCCTAGCTAGGGCCTACCTCGATGACACGAGGCTGGTGGTTTGGTGACGGTGGTAGCGAATGTGGAGAAATCTCTTCGAGAGTGAACTACTTTATTGGCTGACTAAGCAATTTCGGCATATGCCGAAGCGCCACCACAACGGCCGACCTGATAAAGTTGCAACATCACACAACCAAGCTCGAAGCTTCGAACCAAAACATCTAGTATTGGTTCCACAACAGTACGAGGTAGTAATAATACAATCGACTCAGGAGCCGTAACGAATCAGAAAACCCAGTCGAACCCGTGCGTTAGCGCCACACAGTGACGCCAGCTCGAGCCGAATCGAAACGATACGAGAGCAAGAGGGAGGAAAGACCGAGGGGAGTGAGAAAAGTGAAGGATGGAATGATAATACATGCTAGCGATACACAAGTGATCGTCGACACAGTCGTCATGTCATTATCGTCAAAAGCCCGAAAAGCAAGGAGAAAGCGAAACCGGATCCGAAAACAGGGAAGGAATATGAGACCATAATTTAGCACTACTCCTGAGAACGACTGGCGCATCGGGAGGTTGAATCGAAGGACGTTATTTATATGAATGTATGATGGAGTTGAGGGTGATTCGTCGTGTGCGTGTCTTGAGAATATGATGAGGATAACTTAGGAGCCAAGGTCAAAACCAGATCAATGGCTGACCCGGCCGAAGCGACGTGCGTGCCTAGCAAGTACGGCGCGTTTCGTGGTCGTGTTTGACGTCGAGTCGGAGGTTGCGGAGGGGGATGGAGAGGACGCTGATGCGGAGGAGCCGTCGCACGAGCCGTTGTCTACCCAGACTTGTTCAATATCACCTTCCTGGACACCAGGGGTGTTATCGACAGTCCACCATTTGGCAGTCCACAAATTCCCGTTGTAGGACACCTTGTCTCCGACCCAATACGTAGCATCGGCTGACCATGCATCAGCACCGCAAGTTGCACCAGTTGAGGATGAGCTTGAAGGAGCGGCAGCGCTGGCACTGGACGAGGCTGCGAGTCCGAGGGAAAAGGAAGCTGCGACACCGGTTGAAGAGCCAAAGTCGCGGGAATGGGAGCGGGTGGAGGTGGCGACCTTCGAGGAAGAAGCCGATTTGGATGGAGCGGGAGTGACGGCGGGAGAGGAGGTAGTGGCGGAGGAAGATGGCACGCCAATGGATATCGAGGCAGAGACGGAGATGACAGCGGAGGATGAAGAAGCGTGGCCAGCGGAGGAAGTCTTGGTGGAAGTCTTGGTAGAAGACTTGGACGTCGATGTAGCTGATGCAGACTTGGAGGAGGAAGACGACGATGACGAGCCGCCATTCGCGAGGGCCGACTTGATGGCAGAGTCAAAGCGGTCATTGTCTGGAAAGGATAACAAGTCAGGACAGGGGTTAATCAGGACAGGGGTTAATCGGGAAAGGTATCAGAACTGACTGTAAGCCTCCGAAACGTCCCAAAGCATCACACCACCGAAAGACGAGTACTTGTCACGGTTCTCCTGTGCGATCTGGGCAAGGGTGTCGGCGTCGACGTAGCCCGAACCAGCCGCCGATGAAGAGGCAGGAGCACCGATATACACCTTGACATCTGGGTTGGGAGAGGACTTGGCCCATTTGTCCCAGGTTGCAAAGTTCCAGCCAGACGTTGACGCCGCAGTGAGACCTGTTCGACACATATAATTAGTACACGCTGGGATCGTAAGAACTCGTCAGATCCGTACCGCAAGAGGGGTTGTTGTAGAACTGATTTCACGTTTTAAAAGGTTAGTTCCGCTTCCCAGAATCCTGCGAGACCAACCGCTCACCTGTACATAGACAGCGTCAAACCCTACGCTAGAAAGAACCTCTCCGATGTACGCATCAGGGTATGGGCACTGTGGAGCACCAGTCACGTAGTACCTGGACATCTATGCTAAGTAGAGTATAAAGCATCCAAATAAATGCTAACTTACGTCTTGTCTGCACTGTCGGTATGGGTACGAAGCTGGGTGACGAATGCGGCGTAACCGGCTCCGTCGCCGGACTCGAGGTCCAGGTCCACACTACATTCACAAAAGCGTTTAACAACGGCGAAAGGACCACAAAGCCATGGTCTACATACCCATCGAGAATTGCATCACCGAAAGGCCTAGTGTCGGAGGAGCCGCCGAGAAAAGAGTTCCAGATGGTGTCCGCAAAGGTCTTGCCCTGGCTGTCACCAGAAAGAATGACCGAAGACGTAGCGCCACCAATACTGAGCCTGTAGGGAGCGAACAATACATCAGAACACGACAATCGAAAGTTTGTATATGCAACCATCCGCCGCCGCGAAGGCTGCAGGACCTCGCGTCACATTGCCCTTTTCGGCAGGTTGTCCCAAACAGGACATGGCCGCGACTTTCGTCACCCAATTTGGGAGTTTACATTCCCAGGTCCTGCAACCCGCGAACAGGCGGATGACTGCAAGCATGGGTGTATTGTAAGTAACGAACGTGATGGTCTTTCCCTTAGCCTGGCAGGCCTTGATATCTGTGGCCATGTCAGAACAATCGTTGCTCCCACCGCTTGAGCTACAAATCTGTTTATCACGTTTTATGATGGTCAGGTCTGCATTTCATGCGCAGGTGGAGAACTCATGGAGCAAACTGACGTTGGAGAAATCGACGGTCGGTAAATCATCGTCGCCGAAAGCGGTGCTCAGAAAAGCCAACGGAATGGTATCGATGCTGTCATCCTGTGAAATGGAAGACAGTCGTTCAAAACAGACAATAGGCAACCAAGCATGGAAATATGCACTAGCCTGGCAGTAATGGTCCAACCTCTCTTGATTGCCTGCAGAGTCCTGACCCCAGTAGCTATTGGAGTGTCAGATCAGTATCAAAATAAACAGACAAAACGGCGAACTTCCTTACACAGCGACCTGAAATAAGTCCAAGTATAAAGCCAATCAGACAGGGTGAAACACAAAAGCTAAACACAACGCACGTTGTCGTTCCGGCTCATGTCGAAAGCCTGAACTAAAGATGGCATGACAGCCACAACCGCGATGGCGATAGATTGGAATTGAGAAAACATTTTTGACTGTTCTCGCAGTTTTCGGGTCGGATTCGAAATTTGGAGCTCGGGCCCGGAAAGAAGGTGGGTTCAAAAGAGGGAGGTTGTACAAAGAATGAAGGAAGTGAATCGCCCAGATGGAGAAAAACGCGGGGTTGAGGAGGAGGAGGGGAGGCGGACGAGAGGGAAAGGGCTGGGGAAGGTAAGGGGAAAGAACGACGAAGCGTCGGTGGCTTGTTCGATCTGTTCGACGCGCTCTCATATACGCTCGGAGAGGGCCGTGCCTTGGGTCCACAACGGCAATGTTCTCCCGTCAGAGCGCAAACGCCAACCCGCCGGGGAACAGCACTACCCATTTGGGGCTATAAATAGCGACTAGTCTTCGCATCTGCATTCCTGATCTGCGCTGCGCTTCGACCCCACGCCGAACGGACAAATTCAACCGTTTCCCCACAAACCATTCCACATCGTTGGCGAAGTGCACGACGTTGACTGACAGTTACCAGAGAAAATGCTCGAAAATAAGAGAGGTCTCTGGAGTAAGGACCAAAGGCCTTCGGAATACCGCATCAAAGGATCAATCACACCAGAGCCTCGAGGGGTTTGCCACGTCCAAGCGCAGTGCCCCGGATGACCCCAACGCGATGAACCTTAGAACATGGATGCGGCAGTGCTGAGCGCTGAGCGGCCATAACGCCCGTATACACTTACGTTCATGAAGTGCAAAGTTGCCAGCGTGCAGACGAAGCCTGAGTTCGCCAGCATTCCTGACCGCAACTAAAATCATAAACACCGAGGGCTTCAAAATTTCATGGCCCCACACCTCTGATCAACAGCTTTGAATTCAAGAAGATTCAAGGGTGCGATTTGCAACATAAACATATCTTCTGTCACACGCGAAAGCACTCACCTCTTTAGAGCACTGAATATAGAAGGTGGATCCCTGATGGGGATGGCTCCGTGATTGCCTTCCCAAGTAGGGACGGGAAAGATCGGAGGCAAACTTTCTCACTGTCGCGGTCTGCCATTTTAGTAAACGTTCCCGAGTATCGGAGAGAAAGAGAGCCTAAAAACAAATCACACCACCTCATACTCGGCCTTGATACTACCAAATATGTTGTTCGATGACAGCATCCAGACGGACAGTAGATCTTTGACAGGTTCGAGGACGTTCGAGTTTCGTTCGAGTGCGTATGATGCAGGGTTAGGGCGCAGTGTTCAAGCCCTAAGAGGCTGCAGTAGTCGTCACGATGACCGTAATGGAGACCTCCAAGGGGTCACCATGATGGACCAAAGGGGATTAAAGAAACAAAAGGCGCACCTAGCCAGGAGAACACACGGGCGCAATTCCCGCGACGTTGACAAAAAGCACTCAAGATCAATAAGAACACACAAATAAAAACTTTACATGTACATTGTCGAGCAAACCTACGGAATGACGCCGCGAGGCCAATACCCGCTACAACTTAGGCCGCGACTCAGAATTGGCGAAATTGAAGACCTCCGGCTCGAACTCCGTGAACACATCCCAATTTCTCAGCAGTTTGATATCGTCAGGGGCCTGTTTGGCTCCATCAGTATCAGCACGAGAAACACAGCGACCGACAACGTGCCACCGAGTAGAGTGGCCCATTGACGGCAGATGGGAGATGAAACGATGATGCGATGATGGAGAGTGTACGCACCCCATTCTTGCCCCACAAAACCAGACTTCGATGCATCCTCCCTTTGCTCCCACCTCTCCTCTCATCCCCCTCATACGCCAACACCGCCCTTCCCTTCATCTCTTCACCATGCTGCTGAACCAACTCCTCCTCCGCGATCGGAATTCGCCTCGGGTTGATGACCATCCTTCCAAAGTAACCACCCGAGAGCGTTCTGACTTTCTCGATTTGCTCTTGTGTGGTGGAGTGCGGACTGGCGGAGTTGGAGAAGATAGAGGCGAGCGTGGCGATGAGGTAGTATTGTGGTGGGAAGAGGCTGATGGGGTCCGTGGTGGAGGTGGTAGTGGAGTGGAAACGGGAGATGATGTCTGATGGGTGGATGAATTTCGCGGAGAGGACTTCATGCGCTCCGTCTGGTGTAGGTAGCCGGTGCTGCGTTTGTCCGTGCGTAAAGGTTTGGCTGCTTACAGTGGAGGCAATGGTGGATGAAGAGGAAGAGGTTGAGCCAAGGAAAGAAACGTAGAAACGAGTGTAAAACCGTCTGATATATCACATCGAATTCAAATATCAGCCTACACAAAGTAGAGAGAAAAGACAGGGGACGGACCTCGGTATCCCCACAGGTGTAACCCACTCCGTGAACGGCAGCAACCCCTTGACATCCGGACTTAGCCCATTATGCTTCAAGAAATCCTTGAAGAGAAGTTTCTGTGAGTGAATTGCATCGCGCGCCGCATCAAGGTCCGCGTCGTCCAACACTGATGACCCATCCTGAGACTTTGACGTAGAAGCAAGCAATATTCCAGACTCTTCAAATGTCTCCCTTATTGCTGTCATCTCAAGCGAAACATCTTGTCTCGAATCGTAGTTACCCCCTGGGAACACCTGCGTGACATGAGCCGCAAATACGTCGTCAACAACGGCATTGAAGCAAATAGGAGTATATAGAGGTAGACGCACATGGACACCCGCAAACGACTTTGCCTGTACATTCCTCTGCACTAATAAGATCTCATTGCTGGAGTTGATTACTATGACGCTTGCAGAGGGCCGTGGGATGCTTGGTGTACTGCCACGCTGTGCTTTCGAGTTCGGCGTCGTTGTTGAGGACGATGTTGCGCTGGGCGACATAGTACTCAGAAGACGTAGAGACGATAATGATGTTGAGCTAGCTGAGCAGGTGTTGGGATAATGAGAGCGTAAGGAAGAGCGAGTCAAGTGCAGCCTGCGAGCGGAGGCGAGCCAGTAGTTTGAGAGTTGCAAGGAGGGCATGTGATAGGCTCGGGACAAGAGACGGCGGGCTTTCGCCTACGAGTCGTCAACAGGTTGGCTAAGGCAGCTAAATGGTCATGAATATGTGTTTGCTGAGGACATGGATCTCCGCTCAACAAAGGAAACAAAATGAAGAAGAGAACAAGGCGGTCGACAAGGTGGGGATCCTGCAGGATGGGAGAGGGTGGGTGGCGGTGGCAATGTTCCAACAACACGTGCTGAGCACAGCCACCGCATGTTATCCTTGGCCATGGCGGGGACTCAGAGTACTCAGACTCCAACCAACGCCCCTCGCTAGTTCACCCATCACGTAGAGTTCTGCCTTATATTTTCTTGGTTACTGGAAATCCTTTTCTCATGAGGCCAGCTAGCTTTTTGGGGCTGAAGTGACCTGAGTCTTGGGATTACTCGAGCTCAACCTTAAAAGAGCTCACACTAAGTAATTGATTCTGGAACAGCACGCATCTTGAAGACTGGCTCTTTTTTTCGTGCAGAAGTCCTTGGGCACGAGTACCCTCGTTATTCTCCTTCTCGTCTCTGATCTAGGCAATTCTCACCACATGGTTCTCGGTGCATACCCGTCCTCAATTCTATCTATCGCTATCATCTTCACTAGGTCTTTGCTTACCTCTTGCTATGCATCTCACTACCGGTGTCGTACCGGACCTTCTCGCATCAACATAGCCGTCTTTCCATACGCCAGTGGAGGCATGCATATGGAAGCTTTTGTGAACCTTGTGGAGGAGACACACCTCCTAACTCTCCTATCCAGACAGCGGCGTACATTCCCGGCTAACTTTGACGTTCGGAGCCTGGACACCTATACTTCTTGCTCAGTGTTCGTACTACTACAACCGGGCGGAATGCGTCCTTTATTTGGCCAGACGATTCGTCGAAATTCACGACAAAGTCAAAGACAACACCAATACAAACAGCACAGCCCGCAGAGACACGAGAACATAAGCAGGAACATGGAAGATCTGTCAAAGCGGAACGAGAACCTCGCTGAGATTCTCTTCAAATCTTAGGAGGAAGGTGGGCCAGAGATCATAGCGCTCGATGTGGGATGGTGAGGGTTTGGGACGTGAACAGTCGCCCGGTGAGATTGATATTGCGACTTCAAGTTCGCCGTAGCATGCCACCCGAGCTGTCTTATCCTCTTCACCGCTTTTCGAATCCTCCGAGCCGGGTCTTCAGACTCCCGTTGCTAGGCGTTTCGCTCCTTTCTAGGTAGATAAAACGCCAAGCCCGTCCCCGCTTCATGATGGAAGTTGAAGCTATTTTGAGCACTCTTGCTTTCTCGATCATCCCGCTCACGCATGGAAGAACTCGATATCTTGCGGTCGAGGAAGGTTGGGCGAAGGTGAACGCATGATTGGCTTCTTCTAGGGTGACGTCTTTCGTTGAAACATGCTCTGACGGGCAGATCGTCCCCGCTAAGCATGTCTCTCCGACTGTAATTGGCCTCGGGAAGGCACATGAGGATGTCTCAAATCTCGGACTGTCAGCCGCGCGGTCGTATTCACTAGAAGTCCATCAACAGTCCTGAATGAGGGAAGGCGTTCAGGTATAAAAGCCCTGTTGAGTATACCAGGATTCTTCACCATCGCCACCTCCATTCACCGGCATACCTCCAGAGCCCATTTAGCCATGTACTTCTCTCCGGCCTTCGTCCTTGCTGCTCTCCCATTCTTGGCCTCAGCCACCCCTGTCGCCGAGCGTGTTGAGGCTCGTTCTTCATCTATCACCGTTCCGCTCGCCAAACGCAGCGCACTCCATAACCAGGATGGGACCGTGAACACGAAGCTGCTTCGTACTAGCGTGTCTCGCTCGGTTTCGTACGTGGTCCACTTGAGCTCATCAGTGCCTATGCTCATATCTCTGGAATCTTGCAGGAAGATTTCCAAGGGCTTTGAAAATTACGAGAAGAACACTGGCTCCCCTCACCCACTTGCATCTGGCATGAAGGCCGCTCCCTCCAACAAGAGGGCTACCGGCAGCGACGCCCTCACCGATGACGAAGCCGAGCTCTGGTATGGTACGATCTCTGTTGGGACTCCCGCCACGAAATACACTGGTAAGCGGGATTTCATCTTGCGTCAGGAATACGCATTCTAACGACGCTCTCTAGTCGACTTCGACACCGGGTCTAGCGATCTGTTCCTTCCCGGCCCCGACTGCGACTCTTCGTGCTCGGGCCACACGACCTATGATCCTTCCTCGAGCTCAACTTCCAACGACGTCGGCAAGACCTTCTCGCTTTCCTACGGCGATGGGTCCACCGTTAGCGGCGAGCAGTACACAGACACCGTCACCATCGCTGGATTGACCGTCAGTCTCCTGCCAGACATATGAACTTTGGGGCACGTATTGATCATACTGATTGTTCACAGGCTACTAAGCAAACTCTCGGCGCCGCAAAGACGTATTCCTCTGGGTTTGAAAGCTCCAACTTCCCGGCCGATGGCCTTATGGGCATGGGTTTTAAGAGCATCTCGGACTACAACGCCAACCCGGTCTTCCAAACGCTTGTTGCCAACGACGCAGTCGATGACTCGGTATTTTCCTTCAAGCTTTCGTCGAGCGGAGCTTCCCTTTTCGTTGGTGGATCGGACACTAGTCTCTACAGTGGCGACTTCACCTACGTGCCTGTTACACAGGAGGTGCGCGTCTCTATCTATGTCCACGTTCCAACGAGGCAATACTAACGGGTGTCAATCCTGCTGCATTGCAGGGGTACTGGCAGGTTGATCTGGACGGCGTCGCGGTGGATGGGGAAATTGTTGTTAACTCAATCTCTTCCATCATCGACACTGGTACCACCCAGATCGTCGGCGACGAGGATAACGTCGCTGCTGTCTACAAGCAGATTTCTGGTGCCACCGAAGCTTCCCAGTACGGTGACGGGATCTACACCAGTACGTCCACTCTTCCCTCATTCTCAATCACGGCGCTAACCATTGACCCTGACAGTCCCTTGTGATTTCAACACCCCGTTGTCGTTGACATTCGGTGGTCAAGAGTTCACCGTCGACCCTAGCACCTTCAACCTGGGCAAAGCTGACTCCAGCGGCTCGGCTTGTATCGGCGGTCTTGCCTCAGACTCTTCGTTAACTAACGGTAAGTCCCACTCACCGTTGCTCATGGCTAGTACTGATGTATTTCCTACAGAGTTCTGGATTGTCGGCGATGTGTTCTTGCAGAACGTGTACACCGCGTTCGATGTTGGAAACTCGCAGGTTGGATTCGCTACGCTTGCTTAAGGATGCAGTGGAGTTTGGATGGATGCGTTATGCCACTGATTGCTGAGACTCTTCCTGTTTTGCATTTGCTTCCCGTCTCACTGGTCTTACGAACTGTTATGGCATACGTTATTGTTGTAGTTGTTGCGTTTCTGTCCTCGCAATTAGATACTTTCCTGCTTCGGGTTTCTTAGTCGAAAGAAACATGCGTTCGAGTGGACCCGATGCTACCATGTTTTATTCTCTCTCCTAAGTAGGCAATGTTTCTGATCCGCTCAGCTTGCTGAGTCTGGTAGCCATAACTGGACTCGGATATGAATTCTCCGGCAAACTCCGGTCCATATTTCGAAGAATGATTGCTTCACCGTTTCCCCATGCTCCATCACTTTCGCCACACCACTCATTTCATCGAGTCTCAATTTCCATACTCTTCGAGCTTCGAACAGTTGCACGATGCAGCACTACTTACGTGACACGTGGGAGTAGATGTATACCTACCCCGATGCCAAGCCAGTCTATCAACCCCACATTCAGCGGTTGCCTGCGGTTGCCCAGGCGTTAGATCGTTCACCAGGCTTTTATGCTGTGAGAGAGCACTCATGATCAAGAGACTTCTTCATACTCGCATGCGCTCGCCAAAGCGTCGCACTCTTTATTAGGCCCTCGGAAGAGCCTTGCACCCCGGTCTATCGCAATAACCCTTGTCCTAGGAGCCCCCTCTGCGCGACCTGATGCAGATGTCTTGCTGTCGATGAATCATGATGGCGGCTAACGTACGTCTCGCCAGTAGTCTGTGACGTCGTGCGCGGAACCATTTTCAGACGGGTACATGTCGTCCTCGCGACGTCCTCTGCCACTGAGGAAGAAGCATGGGATGTTTCGATATAGTTGTGGTGCTCCCGGAAGAAGTTAAGCGCTCGTACCGAAGCAGGGCTCTTTGTTGTGGGTATATAAGAACCCCTGAATGGTTCGCTACCCTCTAGCGTGTTCCCCTTCGTTCTTCCTCACCACACATTCCTTACAGCCTCGTCAGTCATGTACTTCTCTCCTGCTTTCGTCCTTGCTGCCCTCCCTTTCTTGACTGCCGCCACTCCCGTCTCCGAGGCCCTCAAAGCTCGCTCCAGCTCCACTGGCATCTCACTCTCTAAACGCCCTGGACTCCGAAACGACGATGGGACTGTGAACACGGCGGTTCTTCGCTCCAGTCAGGCCCTCTCGATCTCGTGCGTATTGAATTTGATCGTATCGTGAATTCTAGCTCATCTCGCATTGCGCCTACTTTAGAAAGATTGCGAAGGGCTTTGCTGCTTATGAGAAGAATATTGGATCCCCACACCCACTTGCGGCTGGGTTGAGCGCCGCTCTTCCCTCAAAGAGAGATGACGGTAGCGGCAGCGACCCGCTTGTTGACTACGGTGCCCAGCTGTGGTTCGGTTCGATCTCCGTGGGTACCCCCGCCACGATATATACGGGTAAGCAGACGCACTGTGTGGCGTAGGAGATGTTTTGGTTGACCACATCTACTCCAGTCGACTTCGATACCGGATCCAGCGACCTTTTCCTCCCTGGACCCGACTGCGGTGTTTCATGCAAAGACCACACGGCCTACAATCCTTCCAACAGCTCGACTTCGGCGAAGGTTGGCCAGCCATTCTCGCTCACTTACGGCGATGGCTCCTCGGTCAGTGGCGATCAATACACTGATACCGTCACTATCGCTGGTTTGTCTGTGCGTCATCCCCTGGGCATTCATCCGCGTATAATCCTGTACTCACAGTTGCCGCCCGCAGGCTACGAATCAAACCCTCGGCGCCGCATCGACATACTCCACGAGTTTTGAGAGCACCTCTTTCCCAGCTGATGGACTCATGGGCATGGGATTCAAGAGCATCTCAGATTATGGCGCCAACCCAGTTTTCCAGACTCTTGTAGCCGAAGGCCAGGTCGACCAGCCTGTTTTCTCATTCAAGCTTTCTTCGAGCCACGCGGAGCTTTTCCTCGGCGGAACGGACAACAGTGATGTCAGTGGCGATTTCACATATGTCCCTGTCACAGAGGAGGTGCGTATCTTTCGTTGTTCTTGTGCATCTACTTCTTTATACTCAATTCTAATCTGGTGTTATGCCATGCAGGGATACTGGCAGGTCGACCTGGACAGCGTCGCGCTGAACGGCAACACCACTGTTTCTCAAATCTCTTCCATCATCGACACTGGCACCACCCAGATCCTTGGTGATACCACCAACGTCGCTGCCATCTACGCGCAAATCCCTGGCGCCGCTTTGGCCCCGGAGGAAGGCGACGGAATCTACACCAGTATGGCCCCTCTAACTAAGCCCCATCTCTGGTTCGATGCTGACGAAGTTTTGCACTGTAGTACCCTGCGACTTCAACTCCACCCTCTCGCTCACGTTTGGCGGTACCGCATTCTCTGTCAACGCCAGTACCTTCAATCTTGGACAACTTAGCTCAAACGACTCGTCCACTTGCATTGGTGGTCTTGGTGCGCAATCCCAGCTCACGAACCGTGAGTTCACTTCCAATGCCACCGTTCTATATCTTCGAACGCCATGCCCCTGATCAAAACTGACGTTCTTTGTAACAGGTTTCTGGGTCGTAGGTGATGTATTCTTGCAGAACGTTTACACCGAGTTCGATGTTGGAAACTCGCAGGTTGGATTCGCTACGTTGGTCTGAGGACATCCTGACGGACTTTGCATGAACTCTTTTGAACCATGACTGCCTGCTTCGTGCAACGACTATCTTTTGAGTATTCATACGTATACCATCTCCTGATTTCAATTTTATACCCGCGATCCGTCGTTGTTCAAATCCCCCATCGGCTTTCTATGCCTTTTGCTCGAAGGGCCTCGAGTGAGAGCAACAATATCCTCATCCTAAGTGGAAGGGTGACCTTGCTGGCAAATTTAAATTCATATACCACGCAACGATGTTGTTTATCAGTTATCTTCTCTGTGACATATCAGAGGACTGCTTGGACTGATGCTCGAGAGGATACCACACCGGCTGGGCCATGGCCACTTCCGGCAATCTCCGAGTGGTTATGTTGAGATTTTGTGCATTCTCCTGCGGGCCCTTCCTTCACCACACATTCCCCTCATGCCGACCTCATGCCAAATATATTGGCCACAGCCTAGTCTGCGCCATTCACCAATCATTGCGTCTCTAGACCTTGACGGGACACTTCGCACGAAGCCCGAGCCTGAAAGTGTTCACAGCGACTACTCAAAGGCCGTCCTCCTCCTGTCTTTAAGTTGGTCACGACTGGACTCACTATTAACGCTCCTCCATGTAACAACGGCCGCACGACCTGAAGATCGACCACTTCGTGATGAATTTGCGTAGCAATTCTGTGCTTCACGGCCTGATGATCCCGTGGATCGCAAAGAGGTCTTTTTTGTGTGGCTCTTGGGGTGTTCACATGTCCAGCTGTCTCGCTCGTCTACGACTTCTTGAGCTTCGACGGGTTCTATCTACTGGTCATCGTGGAGTTTTCCCATGGACATATTCTTCACGAAGTTACCCTGTAGAGCTTGCTAGAGCCCATGAATGACGCGGCTAGAGCTCTTGTACTGCATCTTCTTACGGCAAATGACCTGCCGCCTTATGACACACACTGCCCGAACGGCCATTGCGATCGAGTCTGCTGGGCTCGGTCTATTGCTTCCCCTCCGTGACTGGACTACTCTTCAATGCAAGCCGAGGTCCGGTGACCTCATCGTCTTGTAGTCGTCTTCTAAGGCAAGTATAAATACTAGTCCGTCGTAGAGCTTAGACTCAGCGCCCAGCTCTCCTTCTACTATCACCTCTCTCCTCTTACTCCTTCTTTTAAACTCCTCGTTCGCGCTCGTAAACAGAACCGTCAATATCATTACGATGCAGTTCACCATGACCACCTTCCTCCCCACCTTCTTCGCGTTCGCGATCCTCACTCTCACCTCGCTTGTCGCCGCCCAAACCACTCAAACCATCCGCTACGACACAAACTATGACACGTCCTCCAACTCCCTCTCAACCGTCGCTTGTTCCGACGGCACGAACGGTCTCCTCACCAAGGGCTACAGCACCTTCGGCTCCCTCCCCGACTTCCCTTACATCGGAGCGGCCGGTGCCGTCGAGGGTTGGAACTCGGCGAGCTGTGGAACTTGTTGGAGGTTGACGTACACCCCTAGTTCGGGAACGAGCTACAGTGTGGTGGTTTTGGCGATGGATCATGCGGATGACGGGTTTAACATCTCCGAGGAGGCGTTGAACGAGTTGACGGGTGGACAAGCAGAGGCGGCGGGGACTGTGCAGGCGACTGTGGAACAGGTTGATGCGAGCGAGTGTGGGTTGGCGTAATGAAACGAAATTATTGTGGGTACCTTCCCCGTGCTGTATTGCCTTCACGTTTCATCGAGCACTCATGGGGACGTGTATGAACTGTAGATCCGCTTGACACACTGCTTTGGACCTTTGCTTTGAACTTCTCTTTTGGTTGTTGTGCCTCTCATGGACCTCATCACGGACTTCATCACGGACTATAATTTGACTCACGGACCTCACATCTACGATGCATTCTTTTGCAGTCTCTTTCGTTCTAATAAAATAATGCTCTTCAGTTGCGGTCTGAATGCAAGACACAATCGAACCGAAATACAACGATCTATCATGAGTCATAGAGTACGTACGAAAGCGGCAGGCAAGACAAGGACGGAACGAGATATGGGCCATCCGGCAACGACAGTGAGACAAAACGGACATATGCAGATGTATACCAGAGATAATACAGAGGAAGTGAAGGGCGAGTTGACCTGGAGGATAGCTGAAATATGCGGCGGTCACGACGACGGAATCCACGCCACAATCAACGAGCTCGAATGCACCTAAGATTGGAGACTACTTCTTTCGCACATTCCTCGTCGCTGCCTTCCCATTTGCGTACTGCTGTTGTTGTTGCTCGTAAGCTGCCTGCTGCTGTCGCTGAGCAAGCTGTGCGTCGAAGTTCTTCTCCCGTCTGAAGAGCAGAACATGTGGTTCCGGCGCTGCACGCCACAGCCCACCATCCCGTTCCAGCGTGAGCTACACGCTCAACGACGACGTGGATCAAAGCTCGGCGTAACGACGTACCATGTACCTCGTAGTGCACCCATCCCAGACTCTGCGTGATTCCGATTCCTCTCCACTCAGCCTCCGAAAGCAGACGCAGCGTGCCAGAGTCATCGTCACTGAAGTATTCCTTTGGGATGATCTTGAAGAGGGGTTTGGGGAGTATGACGTGACGATACTCATATTGATCATCTGAGTACCGGTCGGAGTAGTGAATCCTGGACGAGAATTCCGACAGCGGGACATCAAACACCATGACACAAAGAACTAAATCAGTATCAGTGTGGCGGGACATCATATAGAGAAGAGAGACGCACTTCTCGATGTATTCATCAATTTTCTTCTGATCAAGTTGTGGCTGTTGACTTCTCGAGGCCATGCTTGAATAATAGGAGAGATGGTGATGGTTGGGTATAGAGAGGGATGCGGTGCGTTGATAGGGACAAGGAGAACTATAAGGGGCACGCGAGACGCTCAAAGCACTTGAATGGCATGCGTGACAGACGCGTTGGGTAACAGAGTCACCATAGCAGGTGATGAGTCACAATGAGTCACATGATGAAAGCAGTCGACGCGTTTCTTCTCGGGACCGACGCGACGGTCTTCCTTCTTTAGTACCTCCATCATATCCAGCCCAGGCATCCGTCTTGAAAAGGCTGACTCGACCTAGGGTATATCGAAGTGAGCGATTTTGGCTGGCATGGTGCACCCAGGCAACGGTGCCTATGGCTACCACGGCATGGACGACGAGGAGATGTATGATATGACATACTATGCGGCAGGCCCATCGGGCTCCAGCGGTGGTCACTTCGATGAGCGCGACCTCATCGATGACATGATTGAGGAGATAGGTATATGCCATTGTCTTTTGCTCTATGTGATGTCGATTCCTTATCGTCGGGTTAGAGAATTCAACCCCGTCTCCTCCCGAGAGGCGCCCCTATAACTATTCACAGCCACAACATTTTCGTGAAGAGATCTCCGAATATGAAGACGACTACTCCACGCATATGTCTCCTCAGCAATTTCAACCGCCGCAGACGTACCACCAGGAAATGCCGTCCATGACACATCGCCCGGTTTTTGGGTCGTCCTCGAGCCGAGCGCCTGCGCGGCCCTTTGTGACCCCTAGTACAGTGTCTTCTAAAGAAAGACGGGCAATGCGTTGACCACATTCCAACAGATAATTTTCCTCGTCCTCCAGTCAACAATGCCTCATCCAACTTCCAGCGTTCCGGGCACTCAGGTCAAACTTCCAACCGTTTCTCACCACCCTCCGTCCATGCCCAGCATGCCAATCCCTTTACACCTCGCAATAATCAGAACTCCCGGCCACCTCATGCAAACCCATACAACGCGCCTCCTTCTTCACCGCCACAGGGCCCCAGTAGCATTAGACTTCGTCCGGTCTCGGACCTTCGTACGTGATTGCCCTCTTGCGTTCTCGTCAATCGTGCTCTTATAGGTCGATATATGCGCATATATTAGCTGATATGTACCGAGGGCTCTTCAAGTTTGGTGTCTTCAACGCTATACAGTCCTCCTGCTACGATACGGCGAGTCTGCTTGTCTTTCATGCGATGAACAGGAGGTTGATTCTCGAATATGCAGATCATGCAGTCAGAAGATAACTTGGTGAGCATGTGGTTTTTTGAACTATTTTTCTACGCATATATTGACATGCGTCAACAGGTTGTTAGCGGTGAGTATATGCGCGGTCCTTGTGGGGAGTAATGAACTAACCAGCACACCAGCCCCTACTGGCAGTGGAAAAACGTAGGTCTACGTTGTCTAACCTCATCCCATCCTGCTATACCTCAAATTATGCATGCATACAGGGTGCTCTTCGAGCTAGCAATGCTTCGAATGCTCACCAACTCAGGTCAAAGTTCGTCAGCCAAATGCGTCTATATGGCACCGACAAAGGTATCGTTTATTCGTATCCCGATCGTCCATCACAAACTTATGAACTTGGATGGAAGGCGTTATGCTCGGAACGATGCAAAGATTGGATCGAGAAGTTTGAGCCGCTTGGGATCAAATGTAAGCCACTCGATATCCTCGGCGAGAACGCCTTCGCTCACGACTTATGCAGGCTGCGAATTAACTGGAGATACTGTTCATTTCGGTAAGAGCGCCTGGGGCGACGCCAAAAATGCCACTATCATGTAAGAACAAGTTTCTTCGGTTGACCTCAAAATTCAGCTGACGAAGGCTCTGACAGCGTCACAACTGTTCGTCTCCACGGATTTCATGGCTCAGTCCTATCACACGTTCTGATCTTGACTTTAGTGTGAGAAATGGGATAGTTTGACCCGAAGCTGGTACGTATATTTCTTCCAACACGCATACATTGAAGTTCTGACTGCTTTTGCACTTACAGGCGCGATCACGGCCAAATACTGTCGCAGGTTCAGCTCTGCCTTGTGGATGAGGTATGCAATTTTCTGCTTCTATCTTCTGAAGCGCTCACTGAGTGCCCGGTCTAGGTTCATATTCTGAATGAATCCCGCGGAAGCACCCTCGAGGTCGTCATCTCTCGTATGAAGGCTCGCGGCTCGGCCGTCCGTTTCGTCACCGTCTCCGCCACCGTACCCAACATAGATGACGTGGCTCGTTGGATCGGCGGCAAGGATGCTATCGGTCCGGCTAGAGTATTCCAGGTAGGTCCTTCTTCTCATTCTCAGGTTTCATTCTCGAGCATGAGCGACTGACTGATCGATATCCAACCTTGTCGGTCAATCCAGTTCGGGGAAGAGTACAGACCATGCAAGCTCACGCGTCACGTCTACGGCTTTCAAAAGAGCAGGAACACGAACGATTTCCAGTTCGCCCATACACTTGACAATCGACTATTCCCTATTTTGCAGAGGCATTCAACGCAGAAGCCGATGCTTGTGTTTTGTGCGACTAGGAAAGGTCTGTCTACGCAGTGTTTCGACTTCCGTCTAGATTCGCTCTTGACCTGAGTCGACTCGATAGGCGTTCTGACGACCGCGGAGACGATCCTGAAGGAGTACGAGAAGGCGAAGGAGTCGAAGCAGAACCTTCCTTGGCAGGTCCCTCGACGGTAGGACTCCACGCTTGCTTGCTTTGACGACTTACTGAGCGTTTGTTTTTCTCTTGAAGGATCGAGCAAACCTTTCAGGACCAGCGCCTCGCTAGTGCGTACTTGCAATCCTCCGCGTTATATCATGTTAGCTAATCTGAACGCTACACAGAACTAGCTCAAGCAGGAATCGGTGTTCATCATGCAGGGCTGAATATACAAGACCGTAAGACGACGGAGGGCCTGTTTCTAAGCAAAACATTGAGGGTCGTTGTCGCTACTTCGGTTCGTCTCTCTGCGCTCAATCAGATGGTTTATTGCCTCTGACAAGAGTCCTGTTCGGTAAGACACTGGCGGTTGGTGTCAATCTTCGTGTGTACACTTTCACCTGCTTTGTTAAGTACTTTGGCGCTGATTATAATTTGACTAGCCGCACACGTTGTCGTTGTAAAAGGTGTGAAGATCTTCCAGAACAATGTTAGCCAGGAGTATTCGGACCTGGACATGATGCAGATGATCGGACGTGCGGTAAGTAGCTCTGTGTTTAACGCCCTCAACGATTTCCCGCTCATTACTCCACTCCGCGGTCGCAGGGACGGCCCCAATTCGGTATGTTTGGTTCAACTTGCACTTCTTTCCAGGTGCTCCAATCCTGATCGTTGATGTTTCTGCCCTCAACCAGACAAGGACGGCATCGCCATCATCATGTGTGAATCTGAGCTTGAACACAAGTACACAGACCTCGTCGCCGGAAAATCCATCCTCGAATCATCTCTGCACGTCAATCTCGCGGAGCATATCAACGCTGAAGTCGGCCTTGGAACGATCACCAGTGCTGAGAGTGCGAAATCTTGGATCCACAGCTCCTTCCTTTACCAACGCATCTTGAAGAACCCGAAATACTATCGCATCAAGCAGGGTAGTAACACGGAAGAGGGAGTCGAGCAGAACCATGGCGTAGACGAGATTGTTGATGGGATGGTGGTAAAGACGGTTGAGAGTCTGATCAAGGCGGAATTGTTACTTGGAGGCGAAGGGGAGGAGGACGAATTGGTCCATAGTCAATATGGCGAAGTTATGGCGAAGGTAAGCTGGGATGTTGCACGATCCTCTTAGCTTGTGCTGATTTCTATGGTGAATAGTTCTACATTCGACAGGCGACAGTGAGTTGTCGTCTTAATAATATGTGTCACCATACCGACTATATTACTTGGTTTCAGATGGCGATTATCATTAATCTCCCCGAGAAAGCTACTCTTCGTGAGATGGTGAGAAGGTCTCAGACCGTAAGTTCTAGCACCAAAAGCTGACTCATTCTGCTCATAGCTCGAAGCCATCTCTGCATCGGAAGAGTACGTCTACGTCTGTTCTATATGGTATGACATGAGCTCAAACCCCTCTAAGACTTTCAGACTTGAAGATTCGAGCAGGAGAAAAAGCGGTACGTTCCAGTGGCTCACTAGTCGAGAGAACTCCCTACGAGTGCATTAGTTTATCTAGGTTTATCGCAAGCTCCGCGAGCAGGACGAGATACGCTTCAGGATTTCGAAGGTTGAGAAGACGCCGGACAAGATCTTCTTGCTCATCCAAGTTTGTTGTCAATGCTTCGTGTCAACCCTCTCTCGTGTTCATGTGTCCCATTCGTCTCTCTGTGAAGGCCGTTCTCGGTGGAGTATCCCTCAACACACCTGAATATAAGGTTGGAGACAGTCAACCACATCTCGAGGCGTTTTCCGTCTTTCGCCACGTTAGTCGGATAGCTAGAGGTATGTTCGGAGAGTCATGGTCGAGCTCAGGTTCTAATCTCTTTCTCAGCGATCGTCGAGGTTGGATTAGCCAAGCAGTCGGGTGCCCAAGTTAAAAACGGCCTAGAGCTGTGAGTCACACTTCCTCCATACTTTCGAACCAAGCTTAGCTACCGATTTATGATCAGGGTGCGTATCCTCAACGCAAAGGCTTGGGATGATCGTGCCGTAGTGTTTCGCCAGATTGAGAAACTCGGAGATAAATCGTAGAGCTATAAATTCTTCACAACCCCTTCTGTAATAGATAGCCGCCGCTGACACTTTTGCATTACAGGATCAAGGTATACTGGATGGCCTCGGCGTGGTGTACTCTTCTGATTACTTTGTTCAGGTTCTAGCTGAGAACGGCATCACGACCTTCGCGGCCTTGCGTAAAGTCGATCCTCTCCGCCTCGAAGTCGTAAGTGCTCTAACATTCGTTCACCATACCAGCTTCTTGACTATCAATTGTCTTTCGCTTAGCTACTAAACCGCAAACAACCAGGCGCCGGCCTCCAAATTCTCAACCGCGTCGCCGAACTCCCGCAGTACTTCCTGACAATCAAAGAAGTCAGCGTCACTTCCACCGACGGCTTCAACCCGGTGGAAGTTGACATATCAGTTGAATGTGGGTTGATACTCGACCCCTCGAACGCCACGACCAAGTCAAAGAAGCCGAAAGGCGCACCAGCTTTCGATATGACTGCTGTGGTGACTACGACGTCTCCTGACCTCGACTACGTCGATTTCCGAAGGATACCGTGCGTTTTTGTCTTTTGTCAGTATTTAGAGGAGCTAATGATGGCCTATAGGACCAAGGTGCTCAAGGATAAGAAGACCTTCGTGATCACAGCGCATCTTACGAAGCCGAGTCAGTCTATCCAAGTTTGCATAGCCTCTGTGCGTTCACGCTTCGAGTTATCCATGGTCTGTATTCTTCTCAGTGTTCTCTGCAGGAAAATATCGCTGGTGTAAGCGTTACCAAGCTATACCGCCCGAAAGTCGACAGTAAACAGTTTCCAGTAATGGATACTCGACCGCGTAACGCTGTGGTATGTGAGGTTGAATCTCTTGTTACACCATGCTTAAAATCGTACTCCTCTACAGGAGATGACACTTGAAGGTTTGGAAGACGATCCAAACTTCTGGGATGACATGAACGCGGACGAAGAGGAGATCCCCGTCCGTCCCTTGAAAGACTTGACGACTTCGAAGAGTAGGCCCGTTCTTCATATTCCTCTCCGTTTATACCGAAACTACTCGCACAGGTAAAGGCGACGAGCCACATGCGGCCAAAGGAAAAGTCACGCGGAAGAAGGCTACGGTGGCGTCAAGGTCGTCAACAGACGATGAGGCTGAAATCCGGCTACCCAAGAAGTTGGCGAATGGGAAATATGCGTGAGCATCCACGTACATCAATTCAACTTTTCATGGGCTGACATGCGAGTAGATGCAACCACCTTTGCAAGGACAAGACAAGTTGTCGCCACATGTGGTCTGTACATCCTTTGGTTAGAGGTCGGAAACTCACCGTTGTCCGCTTCCAGCTGTAGAGATGGGCTCGACAAACCTCCCCCTCAACCGAAGAAGGGAAGCACTACTCAAGCTAATGGCGGTAAGGCGACCGCCACATCCAAAACTTCGAAGCCGTGCACTACCACAAAGGGCAAGGACAAGGGAAAGGACAATGATCAAGGGTGGCGCAAACCGAAGCCATCGACATCGACCTCTACAAAGAAACCCACCTCCGCTCGCTCAGACCACGACCTTAAACAACTTGAGGCTCTTCACGAGAGAACTGGTGTCACCTCGAACCTCAATCTTACGAAGGGCAAGCGCATCAAGCTACACGAGTCTTTTGATGATCATGTCGACCCTCCGTCCTCAGCCCTCTCTCCTATTGCTTCAGCTCCTGCCTCACATCCTCGTTCCCGCCGTCCTCGTCCTCCTCGTCCTTCCTTTGATCTAGAGTTTTCTAACCTTGCCGACAAGGACACGGATAATCGAGGCCGCAACTTGGCTGACATCTCCGATGCTGACGATGACGACCTGCCTGATGCCCGGGAGCTCATCCAATCAGCTACACAGAAGAGGCCAATTAATTCTTCTGGCGCGAACAAGGAATCCTCACCGTCGACTAACTACGACGACATTGAAATCGACGCCCTCATCGCTGAGACGAACTTTGACGATGTTTTGGATCTCACTATGTTTCCTTCCTCGCCTCGTCGTGAGACTTCTGTGACACTCGAATCTAGTCCTCCTCAGAAGAAGCGAAAGCTAGCTGTTGATGCTCCTGATACCTCCTCTCGTACCAAGCGAGTCAAGATGTTGCATCCGCCGGTCGCTGCCATCTCTTCGTTACCCCCTCCGAGGAAGCAGCACAGCGCGAAGGTACGATTCACAGACACCTTGGTGTGCGCGCTGACTGGCTTAATTCATACTTACTGCATGATAGCCTCTATTTGCGCCAGAGACCTCAGAGGAAGACAATGAGGTCGACGAGCTACTCCCGTCTCCGGTGAAGGAACAGTTGGCTACTCCGCACGCCACCGCCACACGCCCACCATGGTTCAAGACCGACGAAGATCAAGGGTTTGTTCTCGACGAAAGCCTGTTCAAGGTCATAGATAAAGCTTCGACTCCGTCGAGCCCAGCGCCGAAGGTCGACTCTTCATCTTATGCGAACGTAGTAAAGACCCAGAAGAGCGATGGGGTGACAGAAGAGGGTATGGACATGGGTGGCGTGGACAGAGGAAAGCAGGGCGGTTACGGATGGAAGAGAGAGGACCGACCAGTTACGCGACCGTCGCTCTTCAAGACTGAGGAACGTTCACACACTCAGAGCAGCTTCGGCTCCTCCTTACATCGCGACTTGGTACCTGGAGCATCGACGACCAAGACCGAACCCGCACGCTTCTCCTTCCTTGATAGGTTGAACAAACCAGTAGCGCAAAAATCTCGACCTTTCGCTATTCCTGCTGTACCCACCGCACGTCCAACCAGCCCTTCGAAGCCAAGAGAAGTGGTGGACAAGTCGATCTCGCGTCCTTGGGGGGATCCGTTGGCGGAGCTGGATGCGTTCTTGGCGAGTGGTGCTATTCGGATCGTCGATAAATTTGAGGATGAAGAATGAGCAAAGCAGAGTAGAGCAACGGTGCGGTGTATGATTATTATGCAAGCAGTATGAATGTTGTATTACCATCTGGATCAGTGCAGAATCACGATTCATCCATCCCGTCCCGAGTCTGACCACAGAAGGGTTACCCCAGAACCAAGAGCACACTCTAGAGTATATTGGCGCCTCCAGCTTCCTCAGCCTCCCCGTCCTTGCCCGTCCGTTTTGGATCAACGAACACCCTCAGGGCACCCTCCATCCTCTCATCCCACTCCACCGGACTACCCGGCCTCACGATATCCCAACCCTTCTCATCCGCTCTCCATCTCAACTCCTTCTTCATCCTCTCCGCCCTCAATTCCACTTCGGTCGGTGGTGGAACTGCAAGCTCGTCTTTGGTGGGCTCTCGCTCTCGACGAGCGAGCGCACGAGCGGTTGCGAGTTTCTCTGGGAGTTCTTTGTAGAATTTCTCTCGCTTCCTTTGGATATCGGAGGGGATGGAAGCGGTATTGGATCTATAGAAGGCTTCGGCTGCAGCGTCAAAGCTGAGGTGACCAAGTATAGAGGGGGAAGGGGTTGAGGATTCGGAAGGTAGGGATTCGGATACGAAGGGAGAGGCAGGAGCGACGAATGGTTCTGTTTCATTCATGATAATGCGGTAGGCAGCTTCGGCACCAGCCTTGACCTTGGTGCGCTCGTTGAAGAAGTCCCAGATCATGTAAGGAATTTGGGTGAATCCAATGTGGTTCACGAAGGGAACGAGAAGGAGAGGCGGTTGTGGTGGTATGCGGGCCGGAGGGGCAATGTCAGCAGCTGGGTCCTTCTTCTCGGGAGTTGGCGAAGGAGTAGAGGAAGTTGGGGCACGTAAAGACATGGGAGAAAACATTCCTGGAGGGCGTGAAGAGGGTAAACGGGACGCTGTGGGGATAGGTTCATCGTCGGCTAGTGCGGAAGTGTCGACTGCCTGAACAGCAGAGCTCTCCGCAGATTCCACTTCATCAAAATGAGTGTCGTTTACCAATTCTCTCGAAAGTTGTTCCTCGGCATCAATCCTCGCAGGACTCTCCACCCATCCTCTTCGCAGACCAGCCATGTACTCCTTGAACGCTGGTCGTCCGACCAAGATAGTTCCGCCCTCCATCTTCCGACGCATCCGGGCTTCGGGAGTATCTTGCATCATGATGGGCATGTTGGTTTGGGCTTGCCAAGGAGCTTCGAGACCGGCCGCGATACGACGTTCTGTCTTGATATCGTTTGCGATGCGAGTAGCGAGCTCGCCATGTCGCTTGCCAGCGATCATCTCATAGTCGACAGCAGCAGCAACGAGGATGGGCTAATGAGTTTCCAAAGTTTAAATGAGACATGTCGTCAGCTTCGGGAGAGAAAGAGAGTAGGGCGGACCTTCACATACTTCCTAAAGTACTTCGTACTCCGGTCCCAATCTTCGTCTCCCGGCCACTTCGCACCATACACCGTCACCTTCCTCAAATGCCCCATACTGTGAAGTGGCTCCTCGCTCAGAGACTTCACTTTGTCACAATACTCCTCCCTTATCCTCTTACATTCCCGCCGGTCATACAGGTAGCATCCAACCGCCGTAGACGTTACGCCGATGAAAATAAGCCAGTTCCGGGAGGGAAGCTTTGGACGTTTTTCAAGCCATGAAGGCGGTATGCCAGTATATTGAAGAGCCGACCGGAGGCCCGAGATTTGTTTTGGGATGGACGGAGGGGGAGTGGCAGAAGAGGATGACGAGGCTTGTGGTGGTGAGGACATGCCAGTTTCCTGAAAGTTTCGGTGTCGACGCGTGCGGGACCGGTTCCATATCTGCTGACGTAACACGCGTCGTTCCGGTGCCACACGGACAGGCCAAAGCGTGGGAATGTGTCCAAAATGTGTCACGCCACTATAAAAGCCCTTCCTTTGTCTGCCACAGCTATCTCCCATCTCTCTTTCGTTCCACCACATCAGTAGAGAAATCCGGCTGCGCTCAGTCACATCACCCTTCGCATTCACTTGTCCAGATCACAACCTAAATACCAGCAGTCATCACCCCGCGCGCCACTGGTTCATCTCCAAACCATTATTGTTCGTGTTATCTGCATTGCCAGCTGCTGACACGAAACAGTTTCCATTACCATGTCTTCAAAATATACCGCGAACACATATGATCCATACCTTGAGCCACCAATTCCTATCAAGGCTTACATCCCACTGGAATCCAACCCCGAAGTCTTTACCCAATTGCTTCGCAACCTTGGTGCACCCTCGCTCGAGTTTCAGGATGTTTTCTCCATCGATGACCCCGATCTGATGGCCATAGTCACGCGTCCTGTCCTTGCTTTGGTCCTCGTGTTCCCGACCTCGGAGATCTACGAGAAACATAAAGCAGCTGAAGAAGCTACACGTTCAGCCTATGAAGGCATGGGCCCTGGCGAGGATGTGATCTGGTTCAAGCAGACCATTCACAATGCGTGTGGACTCTATGGAATTCTTCATGCTATCTCGAACGGTCCTGCTCGCGATTACATCGGTACGAGCCGCTCTATCATATGACACCGACCTTTGTTCGCTAATCACTCAAATATTCTTATAGAACCTGATTCTATCCTATCCCGTCTTATCGAAGAGTGTATCCCTTGCGACTCCGATATCCGTGCTATGCGTCTCGAATTCTCAGACGAGCTCGAAGATGCTTACACAGTTGCTGCGCTTCAAGGCCAGTCCGCCGTTCCCGAAGATGCGAATGCTGAAGTCGACTTCCACTACATCGCCTTCGTACGCTCGCACAAGAATGGACGGCTTTATGAGATGGATGGTGATAAAAAGGGGCCGATCGATCTCGGTATACAGTTGACCGAGGGTAAGGATATGATGGAGGAAGATGCAGTGTTAGGAGTTGTGCGTAAGTTCATGGCGATGGAGAAAAAAGATTTGCGTTTCAATCTCATGGCGCTCACACCCAAAGTAGTGTAATTCTTTGGAAAGTATCAAAGTTCCACATTTATTTGTACATACCTTTCAGTTCCATTTTCCTAACAAGCTTTGTTGTGCACGATGCTGCCCGCACTCCAGATTGGGATATATAGTACCTTTGCCGCTCTAGTAATATATAGTTCTACTTTTGCATCTTCTTTCCTGGGATCGATTATAATGTCCCCATTAGGTATGAAGGTGGAACATAGATGAGAATGGTGTCCTCTCATTTGTTGGCGCGGTCGAAGCCGGTGGTAGCCACAGTGACACCACGCCACACCAACATCGCCGAAAACCGGTTCTCTGGCTGTGTCTGTCTCCGACAACTCAAACATCATCGTCGCCAACTCATCGGAAACACATGTCGTCGTTGTCTTTCGTCCCTCACTCGCTCAAGAAACGTCCCAAGACTTCCGCCTCGACAACACTAGCGTCTGTCACAGGCCCATCCACCTTTGCTTCCACATCTATACTAGAAAGAAATGCAGAAGTTTCAACGCCCGTTGATGACGAGCCAGCAGTTCTATTGTCTCTAACGCTTTCCGACTTTGCGCTAGCAGCAGATCCAGCTCTTCGCGATCCGAATCATGACGGATGTTGGTTGCTAAACATAACCTCTTGTATCTTATTGAAAGCTAACTTGCTTGACTGTAGACATCGTGCTGAACAATCTGTTGCACGCGGCAACAGCCTTTGCCGGCGTCGACCCTCTACCCACGGAAGCCACCATTATCAAGTCTCTCCGAACGCACGCTAACGACAGATTTGATGTGCGGATGATCCTCGCTGGTGTAGCCTCCAGATCTGCACGACATGGTCGTCTTGATACTGGTGGCTACGAGGTTCGAAGGAAAGACTGGCAAGAAGTCGTGCAACACATGAAAGATGGAACATTCACGCGGACTCACTGGCAAAAGAGAACAATATATATCGTGAATATGGTTCATCTCGCACTCGTACCGCTCGCTGACTTGGACTCACATCTTACAGGAAAATATCCCGCTCTCCTCCCGGACGATGGGCGGAATAACACGTCTTGTGGCGTCTCTGCTGTCGTCCGACTCCGGACCCTCGAACATTAACGCCAAGTATGAGGAGGTCCAACACATACACTTCCCTCCGCATTATCAAGACGACTCGAAAAGAGTCGGCGCCACTTCTCAAAAATGCAAGGGCTTTGCTCTTATTACTCTGTCTACGGTCGAATCCGTGGACAAACTTGTTTGTGAGTGGCCCTGGGAAGGCGCGAGTGAACGTACTGCATCGCGGACAGATTCTTCGGATCCTGTTGTCAAGGACGCTTCAGATTCCATGCTTCGAGTGCTTACGAAGGCCAGCTGGGATGCTCTGCAGGATGAGTATGTGTCGTATCGCGACAAGCTACTCGCAGAGATCGCGTCCAAGGCAGAAACCGCTCCTACTGTCCCAGGGCCGTCATCGTCTCGTATTACACATCCCAAAGCTACAACATCGAATCAACAAGCCTCTAATCACGAACACCAGCCTGCTAGACGCGAAACTTCCAAGCCAACGGGCCCTCCGCCACCACCACACGAACTCGAACGCAGCGCCACAATCTCCCCCTCTTCGCCTTTCCCTCCCCGTTGCCTTGTTTTCGTGCGCAATATCCATCCCGAAACCAACAAGACTACGCTCAAAACGCTTTTTGGTACAGCATTCGCAACTAACGGAACAGAAGGAAAGCAAGCCGCAACCGAAGGAATCGACTACGTCGATTTCACCAAGGGTCTTGATACAGTGCGTCTCTCAGACTTATTGTCTATTTCCTGGTCTCAATTATCGCTTTCCGCTGACTTGATATCTTCTCCTGGTATTAACAGTGCCACCTTCGCCTTGCCACACCTTCACATGCGAAAACTCTCGTCGCGCACTTCACCTCCTCTTCAGGGTCCGGGCTTTACATACAACACGACCCCCTAGAGTCGAAGCTCTCTGATGTGGCTTCTTCTGAAGATGCTAAGCCAACAAGACGTCCGCTGATAATGGAACTCGTGACGGGTCGCCCAGAGGCGTTGTATTGGGAAAGAGTACCGGAGAAGGTACGGAGGGGGGCTGTGATGAGAGCGATCGCACTTTCGAGTGACGATGACACAGAGGCGAGGGGCGGTATGGATGGTAATATGGTGGGTAGAGACATGTCGAAGGATGAGGGAAGGGGGAGGAAAAGAAGAAGAAACAAGTGATTTCCTACAATTATCAGGACCTCAGGCTACTAAACACCGTCTCCCGTGTACATCATCGAGCCCTAGACAATTGCTATCACTAATTTACGGGCAATTTCTACAAGTAGCAGGACATAACGAAGAGATATATCATTCGCAAAGAACGATGCACTGCGAGAAACAGAGTCGTATTCAGACCTACTTCTCGTCAGTACCGGCGAAGATGAGGGGCAGCGATGAGTGAGCGTGTACGAGGCAACCGAAAGCCGTTGGAAGTTTTTAGAGAAATGGTTCTGATATTTCTGGGAAATATGACATGAGTGCAGACTGCAACATCTTTGGGAAAAGTTTTTGGGGACTTGATCCAGCGGGATGCACATCAAGAGGAAATAATCAGCCCTGCCTTGAGCTATGGTTAGGGTTGGTGCCACTCGTTCTGCGTTTTGTTCGTTCGTGTGGCCCTCCAGACCGTACTCCTTCTCTTCGCCAGTGGTATCCACCAAGTGTCCATCGTCGCTACCTACAAACCCTGCAAAGAGGGTGACGAACTACTTTGGAGTATGTTAAAATACCAACATTGGCTTTTTTTTGCGACAAGTGTCCTCTGAAGACTAATCCTCGTTGCACACCTCAGCTAGCCCATCTACCATTGTGCAACCGTCTCAGCCTTTGACTGGGCCACCATAGTCGAGAAGTCGGGAGAAAAGCGCGTCATGACGCGCCCAACATCCTTTGCCCAACTCCTCCGACCGTCCTTCTCCTCTGGACCGGCGAAACAACGCTCCTGTAGGAGGTATATCTCCCTCCAACGCGTCAGCAATTCTTCAGAGGACCCACAATCGACCCATATTGAGACTGACGAGCAAGCGGAGAAGGAGGCATATTTTCGCAAACGGAAGGCTGATTGGAAGAGAAGACAGGGTGTACGTGTGCTACGGATCTTATCCTCTTTAGACTCATCTCAAATCACGCCTTTACATTAGGGACAATCCTTCCTTGACCATCTCATTGTAAATGTTCGTGCTGGTGCGTTCTTGCAATCCTCGCACCTTCCACGAAAACTCAATTCTATACTCTCATGCTTGTAGGTACCGGAGGAGATGGCTGCGTAGCTTTCCATCGCGAAAAGTTCGTTCCCTACGGGCCTCCTTCAGGCGGAAACGGCGGTCGAGGCGGTGATGTCTACATCTGCCCCACACCACACTTAACTACCCTCTCCTCCGTCCCCAAACGTATCCGTGGCAACGCTGGCGCTTCAGGCCAAGGCTCATTTCAAAACGGTCGACAAGGCGCACCTCTCGTCATCAAAGTACCCCTCGGCACTGTCGTTCGCGAACTGACGGGTTCAGACCCACGACGCGCGAAGAACGAGTGGGAAGCCGAAGAGGAGAGTTACGAAGGGATGGATATGGAGGAGAGAAAACGGAAGTGGAGGGAGACGAGATGGGTGCATTATCCTGAGTTTGAGGGTGATAATAGCGAGAGGGACGATTTCAAGACCGCCGAATATGATTTGAAGATGGCGGAGAGAGAGATGAGAATCGCGAGGAGGGTGAGAGAGGCTAATCCAATCTCGTTGGATCTGGACAGGATGGTTCAGACGGAGAGGCCGGTGGATGCGCCGTTAGGGACAGGAAGGTATGATGACAGAGGGTTCTTAATCGCTTCAGGTGGTTTGGGCGGGTACGGCAATCCGCATTTCATGAGGCAGGATAATCGGTCACCAAAATGGGCTACGAGGGGCTACGAGGGCGAGAGGGTAACACTGTCCCTCGAGTTGAAGCTCCTGGCGGACGTGGGGTTGGTGGGTATGCCGAATGCGGGGAAGAGCACCTTGTTGAGGGCATTGACTGGTGGGAGGGCGAAGTCCGAGGTGGCGAGCTACGCGTTCACGACGCTCAATCCCGTCGTCGGTGTCGTCAGGGTAGCAGAAGATGGGACTCTGATGGGCGGAAGCTCACAGGAGATGGTGCACGACGAGACTTGGGCCGAGGAACAACGGGAACGAGAAATGATGGAGAGCGGAGCATACGCAGATGCGCCGACGCGGAACCAAGGACGACATCAACACGAGGACGAGGACGACATAGTTGAACGCTTCCGCTTCACCATCGCCGACAACCCTGGTCTTCTGTCTGGTGCATCGGATAACGTTGGTCTCGGCCATTCCTTCCTTCGCTCCATGGAACGTTCCCTTGCCCTCGTCTATGTCGTCGACTTCTCAGCTCCGGACCCATGGAATCAGGCCGCCATCTTGCGTGATGAACTGGAGACTTACAAGCCTGGGATGAGCGACCAAGCTCGTATGGTCATCGCGAACAAAGCGGATCTACTCGCTTATGACGGTGATCCAGAAGAGGTGGAGGCAGCGAGACAGAAGCTGCAACAGTTGGAGGAATTCGTTCAGAGGGAGATGACGACGGCAAATGGGCGGGCTCTGGATGTTGTGGCGATTTCGGGCAAGTATAGCCAGAATTTGAGGAGAGTTGTGAAGCTGATGGAGGAGTATGTTGAAGAGGCTCGGGCGGGACAGATACAGGAGCCGCTGGTCCTGTCGAGCATGTAAAATCACATCCACCACCAACCCTCACATTCGCATTATTTTTCCATCTGGCATTGATGGCGCATCTGTTAATCATAACTTACAAGGAAGCCTGCTTGGGAAGGAACTTCAGCGACCTGTACATCTCGGCTACTTCTTGAAGCCAGGACGTCTGTCACATGTCGGAATATCACTTTTCGATCGCCTCGTGCACCAAGCCGCTTCTTCGTCATGACCTACACTCAACGATTTCTCCAGGTCAGACGAAAATTGACACGGAGACACAAAGACAAAAAGGGAACAAAAGAATCCCGATTAGGCAGTAGTCAGTGTACAAACGTAATTGGTCTTTGAGTTCTCGTGAGATCTACTGACGTAATCAACCCACATTTCGCGTCTCGTACGACGACGTACATTTACCACCACCAGCAGGGACTGTCAGTAGTGCTCCCACTCTTTCCTCTTCCCATTCTTCTAAACTATCGCAAATTACTAGAGTTCCACGCATTACACAATGCACAGACGAATGGGTGTAGAGTCCTTCATGGGGATAGGTGAGATCGTCATTCGTCGCTGCAGATATATGCACTATAGAAATTTGACGCGATTTGCCGAGATAGGTGGTGGAGCGGTGTCTCGAGAGTCAAATGAAGCGTAAGTGTAAGGCATGCATGGTAGCGCCCTATCGCAACTGATAAGTGATTTCAAAGCTTGGAAATGGCCGAAGAGTTGATTTACCAGGGTCAAACCGAGCGCGCACTCCCGTATTTACACAGAGCCATGAACGACCCGAACAACCTTGATGCCTGTTCCCGAGCCGCATCCCTGATGCCAAAGAAAAAGGCCATCGAAATTCTTCTAGCCGGCGAGCAGACAGGTCATTGCTGCTCAGAAAAATTATTGCATGGCATCTGATTACTCTTCTACCCTCTTCTTTATCACCCAGGGCGAGAAGCGCTGAAGCGCAGTTTGGGCCCTACATGCTTCCAGGACGATAACGTCGGCCACTTTTGGGGGCTGATTCAAACACGTCCATATATGCGCCTCTTAGATGCATTGGTCGAAACCTATCTCGAGGACAAGCAGCTGGACAAAGCCATGTCAGTTTCTTACTGCACTCGTTTATCCGTGCTGAACAACTCAAACTTGTTCTACAGCGATGTAATCGTAGAGATGCTTCGCCTTTGCCCGACTGATAACATCGGTCGGCGCGACTGGCTCGGCTCCCTTCTTCTACGAACAGGTCGACATGCGGATGCTTTGTACTTCTCGCAGGTCTGGCTCGAGAGCTCTTCGGGAGACGGAAGTCCGCCCCCTCTGGGCGGCTGCGATTTTAAGGCCCCTTTTTCTGAACCCTTGTCCGAAGACTCAATCTCGAAGCTGTCTAGGTGGCCTTCGGACGCTATGAGCTACTCGGCGGCTCTTTCTGCTTTCAAGTTGTATGGGGATTGTCTGCTAGCGAGGCAATATCTGCGTATAGCTGCAAAATCGAACAAAACGATTTTGATCCGGATACTGGCGAAGATACCCCAACCGAGTGCGTCGTTTGTTTTTCTCGTCCACTTCATTTGTCTTTGCCAAAGCTGACGCGGTGATACGTCCGAATTATAGAGACTCCGAACAGTGGCGCGCGAACGATGAACGGAACCGATTCTGCTCACGACTATCTATGGCTTGTGCAGAACCTGTGGATGAAGTCAGATGTGTGGAACTGGGCGAACAGCGACGAGGAGGCCGTCAAGCTTATCCTACGAGAATGCTGTGCTCCCGATTGTACCATTGTAGAGACCCTGCCCAATGAGTTCAAACGTTGCGCGGCATGCAAGATGGTACGTATACTTTTCTCTTCGTCCGCGGAATGGTTCTCGTAGTGAATCACAGATTGACCTCTTGCGCTAGACTTGGTATTGCGGGACTCCATGCCAGAGGAAACATTGGCCTGGGCATAAGACTTGTAAGTACTTCAGCATCTTCTCGTGGGTGTAACGAAAAAAACGTTGATATTTCTCTCGTGCCGTATCTCCTTCCAGCATGCAAGGAATGGAAGCAGCAGCAAGCAATGATACAGTCCATCGTGACCGGACAGCCAATCCAACGACCCTGACTTAACTTATACTCTAAGATTGCTGAATTCCAGATGTGCGTACACCACGCAATCGCTTGTCTCTATCACATATGCCCCTACCCGCAATGCATTTCTCGAGACCACATAGTTTCGGAGATCCACGCAGAACAGAGCAGCATCTGCCTCAATCGAAAGCTCTGTTCCGTCATTGGGCTGTACTCTTAGGAGTGCTTGGGTACCGTTTGCGATGGCCTCAAAGTCCACAAATCTTGTAGGCCTTTGTGCGGATGCCGTCAAATATTAGGTTGTCTTCGGAAGCGCAATAAGTACGATAACAGTGGTGGTGGTCCAAAATGACCCCTGCGTTGCGTGTAGAAACAAGACCATAACAACGTCACCTCGAGAAATTGTCAACTGCCGCACTTTGCCCCAGCACAGATAGCACGACTGCAGAATATATCTTCTATGACAGAGAACGGAACTGGGACGTCACAAAACGGCAGCCGGTTCAACTGCTCGAATCAGCGCGGCCGGTGAGGACCATAGACGCGATACATAAATATGTAAGAACAAGGTCGTAAGCACTACAAACTAAGTACCCAGGTCAAGAAAGCAAAGCAAATAAGAAGCGCGAAACAAACGACCCCGTGTAAAGTAACAACTACTTATGATGCCTTTGAAACACCACAAGGACCACTTCTGTTATTATAGCTATCGTCTCTCCAAGAACTCTCAAACCATATAGCCTTGCCCAACTTGAAGGATCTTTCTAGATCCCCCGGACTACACCTCATCACACCATATCCGCGCCAACGCTATCTTCATCATAACCTTTTCCCGCTCCGACCTCAATGTCCACGGGGTCATGAAGACCAGTTGAGGACCTTCTGTCCTTCCCCTCGTTTAATATACCCGTCTCATCAGTAGGCTCGTCGATTATCACAGAGCGCTCGAACCCGATTTGAATGACAGAGTGTTGCACGGAGCGGCTGGAATTTTCCATTCCGAAGTTTTGTGACAAGGCAGGAGAACGCGATGGCACCGTAACGCCACGCATCGGGAGATCCATCGTCGACGGATTATGAGGTCCTTGAACGGCTCTAGTCATATCCCAGGTGGTCTTTTGCAGGGTAACAAGCACGATGACTGCCGTCGGATATAGGGCCTATGTCGAACACAAAAGGTAAGTGAAGTTGCATGAGAATGTGCCTCCAAAGAATAAAAGGCAATAATGTTTTAGTCCGTACCGCCATCTGAGCCAGTACTGATGGCATAACTTCATTGAACGTAATCGTAGCGAACGACAGCGTTTCTGAATCTATGACGATCTGCTCTTCGTTGACCGACAATTGACTGACGATGTACAAGATCTTGTGCATCCAAAATAGTGAGCTCACACTGAGGTGGCAAGTCGACGGCAGGGTGCTCACCCATACACCACAGTAGAGGGCGGCAGATTCGACGAGCAGCACAAGAACTGCTTCCGTCTTCATCCTACGATTTACGCCCTTCAAGTGTGCTTCAAGGAACGCTCTATGCTGACTGTGTGACGCTAAGCTGAGGGACAGATGTATCAACAGATCTGAAAAAAGAAACACGAACTAGGCCTTGAACCCGATCAAAACAGTGGCCAAAATGTTGCTTCCCAGCGACATGGCCCATACTACCCATTGACCGACCACCATCTCGTGAAAAAAGATGTCTCCATCGAAGCTTGGGCTCAGAGGATGGTCCGTTACCAAGTCCCCTTCCATCCGGATGGATTGTGCACTGACAATGGCGCTTACTGACAGATGGTTAACATCCTGATTTCGATAGTGTAACCGGGACAGAGTCTATTTATACTCACCTGCGGTCCCAGTAATCAATATGCCAGCCAGAATCGCAATACACTGATTACGATTCCATAGTATCCACGCCCTCCAAAATACAATCACGTCGCTCAATAGATACTACGCACAAAGGCATGATGTAGGTAACCTTGAAGCCTCCGCCAGACCGTGACCCGGCATAAAGGACTTACATTGATGATAGGCAGGTACTGCAATGCGGGGGTGAGGCCCAGGTCTTCTGGAGGAAATGATGCCAGATCCGATTGGTTGTCGTAAAAAAGGTCCCATTCAGCGTCGACACCCGACTGTTGGACAGCATTGACATTCAGCGTCTGCACCCAATTAACGCTGTAGTGTGCCGTCGACCCTATAAACATCACAAGGGTTGCGAGCCACATAGCCAGGTTAGCTTTTAAGAGTATCCCCTTGGAACTAAAACGTCGGACATATTTGATATCAATCATGGTTTGGCGTGAATCCACAATTCCACTCGCCATAGTATGTACGTCGACGTTGCAAACAAGGACACGGACAAGGCTAATCACGATAAATGTCAGTCTAACCTTTCCCCGGAACAGACAGACCTCAAACTTACTATAGAGTCCGGTTTCTATGGATAAAAGGATGGAACTTCGAAGGAGGTTTTCTACCTGGCTTGCGGAAATTCCACGTATGATTTCCAAGAAGACTTGGCAACTTCCATTCGTGCTCGTAAAGTTCTCCGCACAGTTACTATAATCCATGGAAGGGGTGAAAGGTCAGTGTTGGACATGAAGAGGATGAATTCTCTTACCCATGAGTTATAAACACTCGGATACATCATGATAGTAACACCGTAGAAGCGACAGCATAGGTCTGATATGATGACGCCGAGTGTGCACATGATGATTCTGACAAGTCGAGGATTCGTTCTGACGGAGATTGAGGCGTGAGCGAGACTTCCTCTGCTCCGTCTCGTACTCGTACCGAGGCCTCTTTCTGAGTAACTCGGATACCACTAAGAGGCCATCTTTGATCGTTCGTGATGCTGAGAACCTTTAGTCATATTGGATAGCCAAGAATCTGATGGATCTCAGCTACGATGCGTACTCTGACGAGAGTGAAGTACTGACCACAGTAGTTATGCTTCACGATAAGTCTTGTAAAACATGTACCACATTAGTGAGTCAAACGATTCTTGGGAGGATGAGACCACACACTTACCACGTCAACACCATCTTGAGGCAACACAAGGAACAACACGAAAAAGACCCGTATCAGGCAGGGCAGTAAGCACATCACATCAGACTAACGTCAGAACATCATGTTGTTCTATTCGCCCTTCGACGATCAACGAGGCGACCGGTAGCCTCCCACCGAAACACTCCCATGTTTTCGCCTCGCAAGGCCGCAACGTCGACGTCCTCCCACCGCACATTGAGTTCGATATTTGCAGGATCGAAGTCAAATTGGTTTATATCTATGTCGTAGAAAATGGAGAGCACGAAATGAGGACAGAATCGATCGGTCCCGGTAGAAATGGAAGTATGATGTGGATGTGAGATGAAAGATAATCGGGGAGGCGATGAAAATAAACTAGGTAGCGCCACTGCGAGGAAATGATAGACCATTACTTATAGCACCCGATTCGTTGAAAAAGCTGAAACGTGATGGTCATGAACTTACATAGTCCCATAGACATTCATCGCCCACACACAACACCGTAGCATCGGACAGCCATGTCCTCGCAGTTTTTGGAAATGTATCCATATGGACGGCATCAAGCCCGCCCACACCGAGCGTCTCCCTGCTTGATACGAAATCTTACCATTTGTCTTCTAGGATCTTCAGGTTTGGTCAGTGGAATCATCCCGTCTCGTGAATGTACCGGAGGACGCCTTTGTATCGCTCAAAGGCGACGCATAAAGATGAGGTAGGACGTTGTCCGAGGATCGTGACCGTCTACGACACAAATACATTCCATGTCTGTTTAGACTAGTTCAGTTGCTAAGACCACTAGAAAATGACATCAATACCGAAACCAGCACTGGACACCTTCATGCCCATATCAGGTTCTGATGCTACGCACGCATCTTCATCTACCTGCACTTGAGTCGTCTATATGTAGCCCATCTTGATACCAGCATGAAGCGCTCACCGCTCTCATGTTTCGGTCTCCCATGCCTCCTAAGTACCCTCGTTTCGTCTTCTGACAGGGCGCTGAGGCGCTCAAGACAACGACAAAGGCTTTCTGGTCGCTCGATGAATGCGAGCGAGGGTAATTGTGCATACGGCGTCGAACTTGTAATGCGGGTGCGTCCATGCGTGAGTGAACGCGAGCTTCACATCGGGAAACCAGCATGTTGAGACGATGTGACACGTACATGGACTTCGTACCAGTCAGCAGTGCGTGTTGATTGAACTCGTGAACGAACTTAAAGCACTGTGTCTTACTAGTACCAGGCAAAAGCAGGATGTGCATCGGGTGACCCAAATCGATACTACTGACCATGACGTCCTACAAGAGTCCGATCTTCAATAAAGTCTTATTACCAGACGGCGCTGTTTAGGAACGATGTATCAACATACCGAGCTCCCTTGTCCGACAACCCTTGATCAATCTCTCGTTTCTCGTGGAACATTCATGCGGACTTTGAGCTGCAGAGTATCCGAGTTCGAGTCGAAGGCGTCTAGTATCTGCTCGAGTCCAAAGAGCCTGTAGTGAGCAAGTGGCTGAAAATTGTATTGGCCACGGATACGCGTCAAAGCATAGCGGTTGTAATCCTATGAGATCAGTTATGTGCGGTGTTGGTGACTTGAGAACTAGTGAAGATTCAGAAAGATTCGGTAAGACGGCGAGCGGACACGTGGGAGCGGAGGACTCGCGAGTCGCGACGCCGCGTGGCGTGTTTCAAGCTGATGTTTGGCGCGGACCGACAGGCTGGCCAAGGTATGGCTCGATCTTGAAATCGTTTCCTCAAGATCTGTTTGTTAGATTCTACTCCTGCTTAGATAAATCCGGATGCCCCTCCAACGTGTTCTTGCAAACGACTCTTGGGCTACCGTGGCATTCACGCCCCCAGACTCATGCATGTTATCTAGTCCCATTTTCTCTATGCATGGCCGGCATCAGTAAAACGCGAAACGCTCTGACGGCCCTGACAGCCTCTGACGGCCTCTGAAACGGGCCGCCGCAGAGCTTCGCAGACACGTCAGACGCGTCAGAGCCGTCCGTGCTCCAGAGCCGTCAACGGCCCGCCAGAGGGACTCGCCGCGAGTCTCGTCGCCTTCCCGAACGCGTCCGTCGGTCAGAGCCGCCAGAGGCCGCCAGAGCCGTCAGAGCATTTCGCGTTTTCCTGATGATCGCTCACGACTTCCATATGGCCTCAGTGTCCTATTCGGATAACCCAAGATAAGTACCATCCTACACCTCTGCAGTCTCGAAGTTCTGCCCTACTACTACTAGACGTTGTTCACCGATCTCGATGGCCGATGGCCGCATAGAGAGGAGGGTGCCACCAATTCCACAATCAACTGAAAAGGCAGAAGCATTGGGTGGCGCTCCTCGCATCGCGAACTCCATGATTCTTGTAGGTGTCATCCGAGTGGACGCTGTCATGTCCCAGGTTGTCTTTTGAAGCGCCACAAGCACGATAATTGCAGTTGGGTACAACCCCTAAATTTCATATACACGAGATATGAGCAGCATTACACACAAAGTAATATTGGAGAAGACCTGATTTGCGTACCGCCATCTGGGCCAACACCAACGGCATTGCTTGATTCAGCTCAATTTGGTCGATCATCACCTGGCTAGCGATATATAATATCTTATCCGCCAATCCCATGTGGTGAGTTAGTACCCGGGGCTGTTACGAGAGGTAAATGACATGGCCCTCACCCATACCCCACAGTATAGGATGGCCGATTCAATGAGAAATACAAGGATCGCCTCCGTTTTCGTCCAACGATTTGCACCCTTCAAGTGTACCTTAATGGACGCTCTGTACTGACTGCATGGTGTCGAGCTTAAAGGAAGATACGGTAATAAAACGGGACCACGGACCATGCCTTGTACCCAATCAAAACAGTGGCCAAAATGTTACTGCCTAGTGACATGGCCCATACTACCCACTGACCGATGACCATCTCGTTATAAGTAGAATCATTGTGGATGCGAATAAAATTAGAGACAAGGACATCGACATCTAATCCCACAGTGGCCTGTGCACTGACAATGGCGCTCACTGATAGATAGTCAACATCCTGATTTCGTTCTAATGACTTGGACATAATCTACTTATACTCACCTGCGGTCCCAGTAATCAATGTGCCGGCCAGAATCGCAATCCACCGACTACGGTTCCACAGTATCCATGCTCTCCAGAATACAATCACATCGCTCAATAAATACTACGCATAAAGGCGAGATTTAGGTCAGCTTGAAATCTACGCCTGCCGTGACTTGGCATGAAGGACTTACATTGACGATAGGCAGGTACTGCAATATGGCGGAGAGACTTGGGCCGCCGTGAGGCCATGATACCACCGTGTTCGCGTAAAACAAGTCCCAACTAGTGTCGACAAAGTACTGAGTGACTGATTTGTCATGCACCATCCATAACCAAACAACGGTGTAGTGCGCCGTCGATCCTACAAACATAACAAGGGTTGCGAGCCACATAGCCAGGTTAGGTTTGAGGAGAATACCCTTGGCCCTGAAGCGTATACATTTGATATCAGTCATGGTTTGATGCAAAACTGCTATCTCACTCACCATAGTATGTACGTCGACGTTGCAAACAAGGCTGCGGACAAAGCTAAACATGATAAATGTCAGTGTAACTTTTCCTTGAGCAGATAGGCCTCAAACTCACTATAGAGTCCGGTTACGATGGATAAGAGGACTGAATCTTGAAACAGTTCTCCTACCTGGAGCATGGAGTCGTCACGTAATTCATCCAATGTAGCTTGACAGCTATTCGCGCTCGTGAAGTTCTCTGCGCAGTTATAATCCATGGAAGAGGTGAAAAGTCGGCGTTGGTTTCTGAAGGCTGTTGATCAATATACCTATGACCCATACTAAGTGCAAGTGGAGCTGGTATATATACTGGCACGCCAAAAACTCGATGGGCACACAAACGCTCGTTAAGATCTCAGGCGATGGCATGCCAAAAAGACCTTCTAGGAGCCGTAATACCACATTTGCTCAAATCAGCGCCGTCGGAGACCGAGACCGATGTAACAGGCTGGTCACACACGCATTCCCGTGTGTCGAGGATCAATACTGGATCTGGTACACCAGGGAGATTATGCTGTACTCCTGGATGGTTCGAATATGGGTCCTAAGCTACCAGACTGGGAAGGATTCACCATCTCCTGCGAAAATGTCTAAGCAAGATGAAACGAGCGTTATACGGGCATAGCTAGTTCAAGCGACGAGGCAGCCGTTGAGTGGCGAGATACTTAAAAAAACAGTGACCACCACTGAGAGGTGACCTTTTGGGAGCCCCAGTTGGATTGGATGGTGAAGAATGCAGGAGGACTCAGCTACGGTGTATACCTTGACGAGGACAAGGTACTAGCATGATAGTCGTGCTCAAGAAACATTGAGGAAACGATGTATCACCGCTGTATGAGTGAAACCACTTTTAGGAGTCGCAGGGTAAGTATGGGGCCACATGCAACATCATCATCAACGGTTTGAGGCTAGCGCAAGGCGGGAACACAACAACTGTCCTGTCATGGGAGTTAGTACGCACATCAATGAGATCGATGCCAGAATCTTACATTTTTCATTTCGCTTTCAACGACCCAATCGGCATCCTATATATCCTCACGCCAAAATACTCCCTCGTTTTCCCCCACCTGTCCTCGCCCTGCACGGCTGCAACATCCACGTCTATCCACCGCACATCGAGGCCGATGTCTGCAAGGTTGAGCTCTGCAAGCTTTGTGTAGACGTCGTAGAATACGGCGTCTGAAATGGAGACGGGGTCAATCAGTCTCGGTAGAAATGGAAGGATGATGTCGAAGTGAAACGAAAGACGTTAGGGTATGGCGATGGAGAAGGTCAAGAGAAGGTGGGATAGGGAGCGCCAGCGCGGAAAAATAGAGGATCCTTACTAGTGGCGCCCAATCCGTTGAAAAAGCTGAATCGAGATTGTGGCCCAGCCAACAGCTTCGGGACCACTCCACAAAACTGTCGTAAATCTACCCATCATTTCATCGCCACCGATTAGACAGAGGATACACACGACACCATAGCACTGAGCAGCCATACCTTCGTAGTTTTCGGAGAACGTATCTGTGTAGACGGCGTCAAACCCGCCCACGCCGAGCAATTCCTTGCTGGATACGAAATCTTGCCATTTGCCTTCTAGGATCTTGACATTTGGTTTGTCGAACCATCCCATCTCGCGCATGTGTTGTAGGACATCTTTGTGAGGCTCGATAATGACGTGAAGGGTTGGTGCAGTCGGGAGTTCTTCGAAAAAGGTGTCGATCTAGCACATCCAAGCGTTCAGTCTGTGCTCCCCTCAAGTTTGAGAAACAAAGGAAGAACATACGATCCCGAGACCAAACCCGACATTGAGCACCTTCAACCCCTGTTTCATATTCGGGTGTTCTGCACACATCTGCTTAACAGTCTCCTGCACTTTGACCGTCCATTAACCATATATACGCCATAAACCTATCGTGCAAGACTCACTGATCTCACGTTCCCACCCCATCATGACTCCCACTTCCGTTCCAGCTTCTGACTTCAACAAGCATATCTCTTGCCCGTTTTCATCTTTCGTATACCGGAGAGGCGAAGCGAGGAAGACATCTGAAGACGCGAAGGCGGATGTATCGACGGCCTTGAGAACCAGGGTCTCCGGTGGCTCGATGGATTTTGATGCAAGGAGTTGCAGAAGGAGCTCTACAATTTCCAGGTAGTATATTAGCAAGTAATTCACAAACGTTCACAGCAATTAACGACTAGATAGACACACCTGAACGAAGCCCGGCATCGCGAATGAGCTTATAGCACGACTCGTTATTGAGTGAAAGTGCGATGTCCCCCGCGCCATTTCCCAGATTATCGACTGGCCAGAGCATTCACATTATCATTATGTATTCCATCAGACACAATACTACGCAGATTAGGACGTACCGGCATTCCAGACGGCCCCTTCATCCAGCAATACCTTGATCAACTTCTCATCCTCCAAACTCGCCGCCGCATGCAGACAACTCCACCCATCCTCATCCTGGTACCAAAGCGGGGCACCTGCATCCAGTATCGTCCGTATATCTTCAATGGGTTTGCGTTGCAAAATACCATAGATCAGGGCTTGGCCTAATTCGAGTAGGTTTTCGACATCTGAGGCATCGGATGCTTCTGAGCCTGAGCCTGAACCTGATTCGGATTCGGATTCGGATTCAGACTCGGATGAGGAGCCACTGGCAGCTTCTTCGTCGACCCAAGATCCGTCGTCAGATTCAGAGTTGGCGTCGATGTCGTTGATGGTGGTGGGAGGCATGGTGGTAAGTAGTGAAGAAAGAAAAACGCGTGCGCGAGTCGGCGCGACGCGAGTGGCGTTCAGAAATTGACGCGTCTTTGTTCGTGTGGCGCCTGTTTCCATGAAGCCTAAGGTTGGTATCATGGGCTTCTGCTTTCTTCGTATTTCCATTGTCCAAGATTCGAAAAGCCAGGGATTTTTGAGTTGCGTCACTTTTTGGCTCGACCAAAGTTTTGAATATTGTGGATAGCGAACTGAAAGGGACAAGAAAGGGAACTGTGGCGTCTCGAAGTAGGACCGACAGTCTGGCCACACGGTGTTCTCAATTTCGCCCCCAAAGCCGTTACCAGTTCCGCATTCGGTCATTCTTTGCACAATCCCACACGCAGACACGCAGACACCACACACACAATTCATCCAAACGAACACCTGTATTATCAGCTACTATCAATGCTTTTGAAGTAATTCGTCGCTAGACGTTTGTTCGTACACGACCTCGGCTCCTCTAGAACCCCCTCACAGTAAACGATCGACTAACTACCTACATGATACAAAGATTTTTTCCCCGATGAGAAGGCGAGGGACAGGAAAAGCACAGGGAAGCGAAGCACGACAGACCCCCGGAAATAAGTCAAGAGAAGACAAAAATGATGATGAGGATGGTGAGTACGTAGAAGTTGCTCGTGTCATGACCTCGTGAGTGAAGAAGCGTAAACGGGCAGTCCCAGCAAGCATAGAAAGACGGTGTCAATGTTGATAGAGGACGTGACGGATGCGAAAGATGCGGAGAAGATTGGTGGAATAGATTACATGACGAACGAGCAAAGGAAATGAGTATCAAACGGTCATGCGAAGGTAATAAGTGATAAAGCTCCAAGAAAAGATACACGAAAACGAAGAAAGAAAAACACGATCAACGAAGGTCGTCATCGATCATGCCTTCGTCTTTTTTGAGAATGATGGGTGCAGCACTTGTTCGTGCAGAGCTTTACCCGCAGGAACCTATAAGGTCATACAGCATGGGTCAGCTAACAAGTTCGAGAACGAGATGAAGGAAGGCGAGCAAACGGACCATAGGATACACATGCTCGTTCGTCTCCACCATGCACTCCATCAATATCGGCTTGTTGTTGTCGTACTCCAAGAACTCCTTCATCTTCGCGGGCAGTTCGCTCGCGTCGTGCACGCGGATAGCGTGGACGCCCATCGCCTCGGCGAGCTTGACGAAGTCGGGGTTCGTCATGCGCGTATGCGAGTAGCGCTTTTCGTAGAACAGGTCTGTGGCACATCGACTCGTAAGCAGCTGCTCCAAGGTGAGAAGAAAAGGCGGGTAAGCAAAGACGAACCTTGCCACTGCAGGACCATGCCTTGGAACTCGTTGTTGAGAACCATGACCTTGACACCGATGTTGTATTGCGACGCGGTGGCGAGCTCCATCGCAGTCATGCTGAACGAGGCATCACCATCAATGTCAACCACGATCTTGTTCGGTGCTGCCACCTTAGCGCCCACAGCCGACGGAAGACCGAAGCCCATGGTCTAGAGAGAAAACGGAAAAAAAATACCGGAGCGCGTAAGTAAAATCTCCAAAGGCGGAAACCGAACGAGGGACGAGACGAAGGAAGAAGAACTTACTCCCAAACCACCCGACGTGACCATTGACCTGGGCTCCGTCCACCGATAGTGCTGAGCAGCCCACATCTGGTGCTGGCCGACACCTGTCGCGATGATCACCTCGTTCTTCTTATGTCTCGTCTGCGCGTCCAACTCCTCGATCACCTCCTGCGGCTTCATCTTCTCTCCCGCCTTCGACTTGATGTACGTGAACGGATAAGTCTCCTTCCAGTTCTTGATATCGGCAAACCAGTCCTTGCGCTCGGAGTACTTGATCATGGGAAGCATAGCAGCGAGATTGGCGGTGACGTCGCCAAGAATGGGGATGGAAGCGTTGACGACCTTGTTGATGTTCTTCGGCATGATCTCGAAGTGGATGATACCACCGCGGCCTTGGGCGGCAGCAGCGCGGGCAGCTGGTGCGAAGGTGTCGACCTTGCCCGTGACGCGGTCATCGAAACGAGAGCCGAGAGCAATGATAACGTCGGCCTGTTGCATCGCGAGGTTGGCATACGCACTGCCGTGCATACCAAGCATGTGCAGTGACTTATCGTCGGTCTCGTCAAACGCGCCCAAACCCTGGAGGGTAGTCGTCACGGGGATGTTACCATCCTTCGCGAGCTGTGCGAGGAATTTGGGACCCAGAGGTGACTGCAAGATACCGTTGCCGGCGTATACGATCGGACGCTGAGCCTGGTTGATGAGGTTAGCGGCCTGACGGATGAAGTCGATGTCTGCCGGTGGGAGGGCGTTCTGCAGGGGATTTGAAGGCAGAGCCGGAGCACCAGGAGTGGTCACCCTGTAAGGAAGAGCGGAGCGGAGGATACCCGCGGTGACGTCCTTTGGCAGATCGACGAGGACGGGGCCGGGACGACCGGATGTGGCAATCTTGAAAGCCTCATTGATACGTCTTGGGAGTTCCGCGATGTCCTTGACCATGACGTTCCACTTGGTGCAGCTGCGAGAGATACCGACGATGTCGGCCTCCTGAAAGGCGTCGGAGCCGATGGCAGAGGTAGCGACCTGACCACAGAATACGACCAAAGGAACGCCGTCCGAGAGGGCGTCCTGCATAGGAGTCACGACGTTCGTGGCGCCAGGACCGGAAGTGACGAGAATGACGCCTGGCTTGCCGGATACGCGAGCATAGCCTTCTGCCATATGACCTGCACCTTGCTCATGTCTTGGAAGGACGAAGTCAAAGTGTGGTGAGTTGTAGATAGCGTCGAACACGGGGAGAATGGCTCCTCCGGGGTAGCCAAATACGTGCTTGACGTCGTGCCGGAGCATCATCTCGTGAAAAATTTGACCACCGGACATGCCGACGAAGGTATGGTCGAGGGCCTGTTCAGGACCAAGACCGAGAGGTGGGTGGGGAACATTATTCCGCGAGGGGACCTGCTGAAATGCGGGTGCCGGTGTGGGGCGGCTGAGTATGGGGTAAAATGTTCCGACAATGTGAGCCATAGTTCAAGTCAAGGACAGTAAGACATACACAGTGGGTGCGACCTGAGCATTTTGTGTCGACGTGCGCGAGAGATTCCGAGCATGCTCTTTTACTCTCGACCGGGCTTCGAGAAAGTGTGCGCTCGGTACGGCGGTCGAGCGTGCGCGAGAGAAGGTAATGGAGGCCGTGGCCTTCGGTGTGGCGACGGCGCGCACTGTCTTCGAGGTCGTCGAGTACATTGAGCTCGATGTCGACGCTTTTTAGTGTAAAGGAGGGGAAGGGCTCAGAGACTGAGGGAGTCAGGAAAGAGCTGGCAGGAAGTCGGAAAGCAGCCCGCTAATAAAACGCACCCAAAATCGCCTTCGGCCATAACCAAATGACTCAACCCCCGATAGTCCGATGCCACCGTGGGAATCGCACGTGAGAAATAATTGCCCTATTTTTCACTCGAGTGGCGTCGACGTCCTTGCCAGTTGCCACCGTCCATGCTCCCTGCAGCCCGGACATTTACCAGGGCTCTATCGTCGTATGCTCATCATGCACGCTCGCTGTATCCAAAGAAGGGCGACAAAGGTCTGTACTTGCTTGATATCTATGCGACTCGCTGTCTGATGCTCGTATGTGTTCTTAGTTGTGGTGGCCATGTCTGGCGGGGTCGACTCCTCCGTAACTGCAAAATTGCTGGCAGAACAGGTTCGCTGGGCATCTGTTGTTCCTTTTCCTGATATATTTGTCTTACCGTATCGAAGGATTATGATCTATCTGCTGTCTTCATGCGTAACTGGGATACTCGCGATGAGTCCGGCACGGACGAAGGCTGTGAGTGGAAGAAGGACTGGAATGACGTCCAACAAGTCTGTCGCCAACTCGACATACCCTGTACTATGGTTTGTCCACCTCTCAAACCTTGCATGCGTGAAGATATGGGTCGTGTGTTGACGATGAACACAAGCTTAGATCGACTTGTCGAGAGAGTATTGGACTCGTGTGTTTGAACCTTCCCTGAAAGCTTGGGAGGCAGGTGATACGCCTAATCCTGACATTTGGTGCAACAAGTACGCAGTCTTTTCCCATTGCTTTCAGTCGTCGTAGATCTTATCCTTGCTATCTAGAGAAGTCAAGTTTGGCGCACTTCTCGACCGCCTCACACGCGACACCGATACTCAATTCCTCGCCACCGGTTCGTCGCTTTATATCTGCCGTTCGCTTTGCAGTTACCTTACCGTTGTGTTTCAGGCCACTATGCTCGAAAGTCCCACCATCCAACGACCCATCGTCCGCACCTTCTCCGATCTCGCGACCGCACGAAAGATCAAACATTCTATCTCTCATCCATCGGTGAACCTAGCCTCGCCAAATCTATATTTCCCCTCCAAGACCTGCTCAAGTCCGAAGTACGGGAGATTGCGAGCAGAGCTGAATTAGTCACGGCGAAGAGGGACGAGAGTATGGGGCTGTGTTTCGTTGGCGAAAAACGGAAGTTTAATGACTTTTTGGGTGAGTTCTACTTTGCGTCATTTGCTCTCCGGTTTCTGGCTTTCAGGCTGCTACCTTGGACCGCACATCACAAGTACCGGGCCCGCTCAGTCTGCTTAAAACATCACACCGTTCTTCATCTTCCTCTCCTAACATCCCCCTACAGATGTAAAGGACTAATATTTGATCTCTAATGCATTAACAGCTTCATACATTCCACCAAAACCCGGCCCCATAATGGACCTCAGCACAGGTGAAATACTTGGCGAGCATCAAGGCCTATGGACTTATACCATTGGCCAAGGCGCCAAACTCGCGGGCATGTCTAAGAAGACGTTCGTATGTCGGAAGGACAAGGAGAGGAACGCGATTTACGTTGTCCAGGGAGGGTGAGTGGACATTTCTTTCTGGTCCTCACTCATGCTATATAACCTCAGAATGCAGCGGTGTTTGCAGAGGGTTAGCTAACAACGATCTCTAGGAACGAGAACCTTTGGGTCTCGAAGATTCGTTCAAGACACTGGAGTTGGATATCCCCCGACGAGGTTCTTCCCGGTCTGGAGGCCTCCGGATCTCTAGGTGAAAAAGAACCGGAAGGAGTTGATACAAGAAGAGGATTGAGGGCGAGAACGCAGTTTAGGCATAGGATGACGGATGTGGGATGTTCGGTGACCAGGTCAGTACAGGGACATCGCCACTTTCACGTCTACTCCTCGTCTCGTTCAACTATGCTAATCCTAACATACTACTTGTCGCCTTACGTTCGCGTCTTGAACGTGTGCTCTAGGTCGAATGACGGCGGGATCACCATTACGTTCGACGAACCGCAGAAGGCTGTTGCGACCGGACAAACGGCGGTGCTTTGGGATGGAGATCGATGTCTTGGGTGTGGTAATATCGTCGATGTCGAGGTAGCTGGTCCCAATACGACATTGGGGTAGCTTTCATCCTGCTCTCGTCGTTTTTCCGCGTGGGCATAAGCTCCGACTCGGCCGTCGCGCCAATCGTCTACGTCACAATTCCTCCTATCCTTGTTTTAGATCTCCTAACTGAAAATAATCTATATTGAGGATGGCGGTGCATGAGGGGCTGTGTAGATAGAAGTAAGAGCCCTGGTTAAATGTTCAGCACTACCCAAGAACTACAGTAGAGTCGTTCATCGGAAGGGCCAATTTCAGCGGGGCCATGCAACGACTAGTACCTGTATCGTCGGAGCGATATTTACCATGCGGTGCGTCGTATATTTGGCAGCAGGAGATGCCCACAATTTTACAGCATCAACGCGCCCCGCCCTTTGGACTTTCCGAGAACAAAGCCATCTTCGCATTTTCTCAAGCACCGACGCAACAGAAATACTTCCTTCCCAATCGAGGCTGTACAACCCAAAAATAGTGTTACGTAACGCTCCTCGTGTCCAGACCCGCGACGCGCGCCTAAAGGGGAACAATGGAACCTCGACTTTGCCCCGGCTCCTTTTGTTCAGCCACAATAACGCGGCTGGGTTCAGCATTGTCTTTTGAGCCGTCAGGCACTCTTGGCGGCTGGTCCTGTTGTCCTCTTTGACGCGCTCGTAACGTAAACAACGGCGCGGCCGTGTATCGTGTTTGCGCCTCGTGGGTCTTGAGTTTATAATGCAGAGCGCGAGTGTGTTCGGGCGTCGATTTTTTTCTTCCACTACACCTCACTACCCTGCCACTCTCGCTTTACTGTCCCATTCCCTTGTTCTCTTAGATTTTCTCTTGGTGCTTGGTCGCCTGTACTGTTCTATCTACACCCTACGCTGAAGCCAAAGCAATAACTCTTTGTACCCCACTCCCATGGCTCCTCGTGCTCGTAGGTCTCCCGTTTCTCATTTCATCCCAAAACCAATCTAAATTTTTGGTTATTCTCAGTCTTCTTCTATGGCCTGAACGCCATCCGATTCCTAAGCGTCGTCGCCCTCATTCTAGTCTTCGCAAGCTCCATCTTCGTCATGGTCACCGACGTCCGAGCCGTAAATGAATTTGAAGCAGCGGGTTCGGAGTCGGATTCTGCGAACTGTGATTATATCGAGTGCGTCTTCTATGCACATTTTATCTCTTCACCTATAACTCAGACTGACGCAACGCGTAATGATACGATGAACAATAGGGACAGTACTGTTCCAAACCAACCCGCCGGCGTCTTCTGGGCTGTTGTCAATCGACTCTTTATCATCTTCCAGGTCATCTTCCTCTTTCTCTCCGAGGTGTCCTGGCCTATGCCCTTCTTCGATCGTTTCTTCCCTGTTCTCGGATCGAACTTTGGTTTGGGGCCGCTTGGGATCTTTCAAGGCCTGTACGTATTCATCGATGTTCTCCATTCCTTCGGCTCCCACGCTTTTGTGTCCATATGCTGATATGCTTGTCTTTGTAACTCCTTTTGACGAATAGGATCGGAGCTACCATTCTTTCTCACCATTGTGACGACTTTACTCTCGTCGCCGCCTTCTTCCTTTTTGCCCTCGGCTGTGTGAATATGCTCCTCGGTCTCATCTTCCGTGAATCAGCCAAATCCAAACGTAGCATCCGCGCTTGGCGCTCTGGTTCCGCCAGTGTCCTGCCCGTTCAGGCTCAAATGACTGGTACCACTGCGGTTACGTCTCATTATACTGGAAGTGGTGCGAATGGGAATGGGAACAAGGGAGCGAGGTCGACGTTTAGGCAATCGTTGTTTGGTGGGAGGAAGGCGGATCCGCTGGAGTTTGGGGAGAAGGGTTCGATGGATAAGAGTTCTTTTGGATTCGGAAGGCAAGGGGAGAAGAAGGCTGGATTGAAGGGTGCGCCTTTCTCTTTTGCTTTCTGAGCATTGTTCCGTGAATTGACATACCCATTTTTCGCAGGTTTCCTCCTCACGCGCCCACTCGAGTCCCTCCCCCGCTACACTACTGATACTCACACGAGCACGGATGAGCCTCCAAGAGCTTCATCTCCCGTGTCAATGCCAAGACCTACAGGTGCCCCGATGTTCCGCTCGAGTCCGACCGCTCTGTGAGCGGTCTGGTGATGGTGATTTACGACTTGTTTTCTGAAACGTTTGCAACGTATAACGCCTACGCAACGTCTCTCGATGATGACTCTTGCCACGACAAACCATCTCTACATTCCTATAATCATACAATTCGGGACTAATCACCTCACGGACTCACCACCCAACACGCGGACTTCTAGACTCAATTGGCACGGTATCGAATATATCAGTAGTTGTACTTCATCCTTACTATCCCACCCCCCCTGCTTTGCTTCACTTACTGTATCACTACTTTCTCATTGTATCGGGCCTTTCTATTGGTCCGATCATTTGTAGCCTAGGTTCTCTGTTTCTGGTCCTTGGTATTGCTGCTTGACGCTTTGTGGGCATATGGTCCCTGCAAGCTCGTGTAATCTTAATATCACATAACATATGTTGCTTCCATGTTTGATGTGCTATTCTGTGAACCTGTGTCTCCGTTGAACGTGGGCATCGAAGAGAGGTGCGCTGAGGATCCTGATGTCCGTGCGTTGCCACATCTATCATGACGCCACTCACTCAAGCCGAGACTCGAAGGATGTACGGAGCATCTGGCCTTCCCAAATACGAGAAAAGGGTGCTAGATTGCACGTCCCTGACCCCTCCAACTACTCATTGTCAATATCATCCATACCATTCGTAAGACCTCACGCTATCGAGAAAGACGCAACACGATCGACACTAATCAATATGAATGTCTAGTACTTTCGGCCCATTGCACCATAGTAACCACACAGCTCTTAGTCCAGTCTAGGGATCATTCCCGCCTCTCTGAACATGTCAAATGCCTTCGTCCAGCTCTCCTCACCTTCTTCCATAAACCCCGCCTCGCGGATTTTGTTCAGCGACAATGCCCTGTCGAAGTCGAGCGCAAATCCATACCCATCCAACCACTCTGGAACAAATATTTGGCTACCTCCAAACCCCATCTCCTCCAGCACTGACTTGTACTTCATCACGTACTCCCCTGGCTTCAGCTCCTTTTCCGGCTCGTCCGCGGGCCCCACCCCTTCCAAGCCAAAGTACGCTGCAACGCGCGGCCAGCGGTCTCGCCATGACGACGGTGAAGCGGAGTCGGCGACGTTGAAGAGTTGGCGGGAGGATTTCAGAGGGTGCAGAGAGGCCCAGATGGTTTGACGTGCAATGAGTGATGACGAGGCATCGTTGAATAGTGCGTTGTAGGCTTTCATCGTACCGGGGAAGTGAACGCGAGCACCCCTTCCGTTTACGAGACGATATGTCGAGAGCCAGGTGGCCCAATGCCCTGCAAGGCTTAGGGCAGAGCCGTTCGGAGCGAAACCAATCTGTTCGGCCTCCGGCGTGAGAAAATACAAGATATGTCGGAAAGAAAAGAAAACCGAGAGACTTACGATTGCATCCGGACAGACTTCGCACCACGTCCACTTCTTTCCTGCCATCATCTCGTCCAATTTGTCACGCATGGCGTAGTAGGGGATCCCGTCGCCCAAAGGAGGTGGCACTCGGGGAAGAGCTTCATGATACGGAGATTTATAGGTTCCACCGGGCTGGTATATCCCGTAGCCCATCTGACCGCCGGGAAATGCGACGAACATGAGATTTGGTGAGAGGAGTGCGACAGCGCCTACGATCCGCTCGAGCATCCCGACGCTGACTTTGACGTCCTCGAGAGGATCAGCCATGACCTTGTTCGCTGTCGTCGCATGCCAAAATTAGTCTTGAAAAAAAATAGAGAAACTAAGGGATCACAAACCAAAATGAAAGACGTGTGTGATGCTTTCGGTATTCTTGACCTTAGTCCTCAGCAGTTCCGCCACATCCTCTGCAGAGCCCTCGAGGAGATTCACGCCTGACGCTAGCTGAAGTTCTGGTCGACCGAGGACGGGTTGAGGCCAAAACGATTTGGCCACATCGAGCGGGCGGTTAGTCAAGGCTGTGACCTTGCTAAAGACGCCCTCTTCAGGATAGTGTCGCATCAGTTGGTCGACGACGGCCCAACCTGCGAGACCAGATGCGCCTACCACGAGAGCGTGAAAGTCGCCTGTAGTATTAGCTGACATGATGCTTAGCAGCTCAGAGGGGGAGGACTGGAGAAGCGAGCGATATCTTAGATGATGGTGTCCACTTGGTTAGAGTCTGTCTTCAAGGCTAGACGACAGCGGGTTTTAAAGGCATAGGGTGTTTTGACTCGAAGCCTGAGATACCATCTGAGTCGCTGCATGTAGCCTGTCGGAGCCGAAAGCTCTCATCGAAGTTCTGTTACTCCACGGCGGCCAACTACACCAAGATTTGCCATATAAACAGAGCAGACAGATGCACGAAGGGGATCCTGGATGCCGCATAGTTCAAGTGAGAGCTTCAGTACTTCGGTGATGGTACCCGGGTATTTGTGAATGAGTTGAAGGCTCGAGTTCCTGGAGTTGTCCAGGCGAAATGGAGCCCAGGCCGAAGCGGCCGGCGCTCGGACCGGTCGGCCTTGGTTGGCAAGCGGCGGAGCGCGCCGGGCGGTGTCAATTAAACGTTACGTTGATTTCTTTCAACATTCCTCTTTTTGACCTTTTCGACTCTAGCAGACTCTAGCGCCGGCGATAGATTCTTCCAAATGTTCTTGGTGACCTCTTGATATTATTGTGCAGTCACTCTTTCTAGCAAAACACAAGGACCCTGCCTATCTTGTGATAGATCCAAGTAAATTCCCGACGGGCACAACTCGGAACCGGCACCGGATTTGCTGCTCTCAAAGGACTGGACGCTTTGGGCTTCCACAGAGCTTCGATTCTGGCCTCCATACGACCGCTAGCACCAAGCCTAAATACATTTTCTTCTTTTTTACGCAACTTCTGTACCCTACGGACTAACATTTGAAATGCCAACAAATTGAGGGCACAATCGTTCACGTTTCTGCCGTGTCACATCGTCTAGATCCCATTACTAACCGACGATCTTTGTTTATCTCTCCCCTTACGGCAGCGCTTACGGAGCGGTATATAACGCGCCCTGCTCTGGACGTTTGTCTGCCATAGAACGCCCACACGCCCAGCTTCGATAGCTTCAGCATTATCTATATCTTCCACATCCCTCTTTTGTGTCCTCTGTCAAAAATGCTTCTCTCCCCGTTGAACATCTCTGTGAACGTCGACCACGCTAGGCCTAGGACTTTGACTAGATCCGCCAGTCAAGGTAGCAGTCGTCTTCAGATCCATTTCCCCGGCTCATCGACCCGCACTCTCGTTGGCGACACCTACCCCTTCCGCCCAAGTCTCACGCAGATCACACTTTGCGAAGCGATCACAGGCCACTGTCCCGCTGCACGTCACTTTTTCCCAGAAACGCCTTGCCGCTCTCCGCACGAATCTCAGACTTTGTTTCGCGTCTTCCGCGGTGAGCTCGTGCAGATTGACCCGCCTCGCTACGATAATCGACCTATCATTGTCTGCGTCAAGGTCGGCCATGGACCCGAGGAATCCAAAGCCTTAGAGAAAGAAGGTCGTTTCTACGATACCCATCTTGCAGCGCTCCAGGACGAGGTGGTACCGGTGTTCTATGGGTTCTACACAGCAGAAGACAAGAACCTCGGCGAAGTCTCGTGTTTGGTCACCGAGTACTGCGATGGTTCCCAGCTTTACATTGAGGATCAGGAGGAATTTGTGTATGTTTACTTCCATTTTCCTTTCCTAGGTCATAGCCTGACCAGTTATGTTTCCAATTCTGCCTAGTCGTCTCATCATGGTCGCGACGTATAAGCTGCACCAGGCCGGTGTCATGCACAGGCATCTCAAAAGCGATTTCCGTCACTTCGTCATGAAAGGCCCGAAGCTGTTCATCGTCGACTTCACGGACGCCATCTTGCACGAGTGCGACACTTGTCCCACGATTGGGGATAGTATCGATCCCAATCCCAACCAATGCCGGGAGCTGTACAACATGGAGCGGAAGTTTGTCAACATGGACGACACCATCTAGGCATCGACTGGGTTGACTCCCTCGAGGGCTTCACGAAGGACGCTGGCCGCCAATTTTCTCTTTCCCTATCAACTTTTTCCAATGTTGTTTTCTCGGGTTCATTCATTCTTGTGTATCTTGCCAAGCCTCTGGTAGGCGTATGGACACGCACGACAGCTGACATAGCCGACACACTCATTGTATCTCATATCCCCCACCTCGCACACACTCACTGTATCGGTTTCATCTCTCTCCAATCATGCGCACACTCCTTGTATCTTCTGCTTTCTCTTTGCTCTGGTACACACACTCCTTACATCTGTATAATTGTCTGTCCCCCGCGTACTTAGTAATTCATCAATACGTTTCTGGCCGTCTCATATCGCTAGACTCCGACGAACTGAGCCGGCCGTAGCCAGTGTTCCGCCCTGTTTCCGCACCAAGTACTCGTAATGATCACCAGAGAGCTCGGCAGCCGGTTCGAATACGAAGACATAAGGCGGCTGAGTCCTCCGAGGACGAAGGGTACGAGTAGTCCCCAGTCTTGGTATTGAATGGGGAGGAGTTAACCGGGCAGAGGATGTATAACGTGGGGACAGCAGCATTCGACGTGATCCACAAAAGTATCCAGCAAAACATAGATGAATCAGATGGAGTTACACGTACGCAGACAATCCTTCTTCTCGGCCAGTAAGATACAAGTTCAAAATGCTCTAAGAGGCTCCCTTCTTCATCCCCTCCCACAATCCCTCCACAACCGCCGCCACACCCCAAGCTCCCGGATCGGGGGGCAGTCCATCTTCCGAACCTGCTTTCGCCGCGCTCGCATCGCCATTTCCACCATCACCGACATACACAGCCCTCCCCAGTTTCGCCTTCATCCCTCTCGTGCTTTCTGCCCCATCTCTCGCGTTCTTTACGGCGACATCCATGGACCTCGCGCCCGCACCATCCTCGCCGCCAACTACAAGATGATTGCAGAATGGCTTAAGAGCGTCCACGAGAGTTCGATCGCCGGGTTTGGCCGGGGTGTGTGCAGATAGTGACGAAAGGGCCTGGGAAGGAGACGTATGCCAAGGCTGGGAGGGCACGCTGGGGACGGATGTGGAGAGGGAGGTGAAGAAGATCGCGAGGATTGCACCAATCGTTCCGCCCATATTGTCCTCTAAGATTTCTCCGAGACGACACATCAGGGCTGGTGGGTCCAGTGTCTTGATGTCTAGATCTCCGCTGTCGAGTGCTTGAAGTACCGCTGCAAAGAATAGCCACAAACATCAGTATATCTTGACATTCACCGAGTTGTAAGCCTGTGACGTACCTCGCGCACCCTTCGCGAATGTCTCGCCACAATCACCATCTCCCACAACTGTATCGAACCTCGTCATCTCGCCCTCACACTCCAATACTTTCTCACAAGCACCCCTGATACCACTCTCCACTACACTCACGGATATGTCTGCATCACGCCAATAGGTCGTGCTTTCTCGATCTCCGGTGAGGGTACCATTGCCATCCTCACTGCCACGGTTCAAATAGCGAAGCAGGCGATCAGCCTCGGCCTCTTCTCTCTCATAAGAACGGATGGAGGCGATGGGCCATGATCGGGTTCCGAGCCAAGAATGAGCGGTGGTTGGAGCGTCGAGAAGGGCAAGGACGTCGATGTTTTCGATGAGTTGATCAATTTGACTGGTGGCGGAGAGGGTGCGGCGAGTAAGAGAGACGTTAAGGAGGGATACGGAGAACCCAGGTGCGTTGAGAGAGGTCATATATGATGAAGAGTAGATACGTTTAGGATGGATATTGATTGCACCTGCCCACGAAAATTTGAACGTAGTAAGCGAACCTAGCGATTGACCATCAAAATGGAGCGGGCAAAACATACGAAGCTGCATGACTGCATCCTCTACCAAGGCGCCCATCTCAAGCTGGGACATTCCTCCCAAGTTATTGATGAACAAAACCACCTCATCTGTCTCCTCCGCCGTCTTCCCGATTCTCACAAATTCCTCTGCTTCCTCTTCAACCTCGGCTTCAGTCCCTTTCTCGCTCAGTCCGGAAGTCAAGATTAGATCGAGCATCTCGCCCACGAGCCCCTCGGCGCTTCCGAACATACCCCTCCTTACACCTGGCTCGTTGTGCAGCCCCATCCCGACCTCACACCTTCCTCCCTTCTCGCCAACCTGCGTCTCTGCGTCTCCCTCTTCCGCAGAACCCTCCCTCTTCCTCCCAGGAACATGACAATGCTCCAGCCCTACCCCTACACTGCGTAATGCCCCGACAATAGCATCTCCCATCCTCTTCACGTCGCCTAACTGCGCTCCCGTCTGCACATACGCTCCCAAAACTTTACAGACCAATATATTCCCAGCCAATCCTCTCGGACCAACCAACGATCCTGATTGAGACTTGAGAAGCGATACGTCATCTGCCACGACAACGGAATCGATAGCGAGGTGTGGGTATAGGGAACGTGCGCGAGTGAGTGCGAGGCCAAAGTTGAGACGGTCGCCAGTATAGTTGTTGATGATTAGGAGGACCTGCTTCAGGTCTTTCTTAGTCCAAAGATCAGTCCCTTGGTCGAGAGCGCCGGGGACAGAGGTGAGAAGCGCGAGCTCGATGGCGATGAGGATCTGTTTCGCGCTGGGGCTGGCGAAAATATCGCCCGAGACGGAGGCAGCGAGCATTCCGGAACCGGTGTAGGATACATGGGCGGGTTCATGTCCCGCTCCACCTCCTGCGATGAGGGCCACACGGTCGTTCGGTGGAGGGGAAGCTATGTAGACGGTCTTGGACGGGGCGTGGCTGAATAGTATGCACCCAGCAGTCGACACGGAAGATGATAGAGAGGCATGATGGTATAAGCGACTATAACTTGAGAGCAGATCAAATGATCGTTGAGGGCTTACAGACGTAAAGCTGGGTCGAGTGCAACTGCACCTCGAAGTGACTTGAGAACAAGGCCCTCGGAGGAGTTGAAGACGTGCTTGTCCGACATCTTTGGCAAAAAGTCTGGCTGGCACGACAAGGGTGAGATTCTGTTGGATGCTACACAGAGTGATTATTTATACCCGAAAGTACATCTATAGGTCCTTAGTATGAGAGAATTGCCCAAGGATGAATCGACATAGGCGCAATCCGAAGACCATTGGTGTGGTCATGAGGGGGTCTGACGTCGATGATGGAAGAGTTGAAGATAGATGACTATGTTTATGTGGGGAACCGGGCTCCCGAGGGAGGTGATGTTTCACATACAGCAATGCATAGAAAGCGAGTTACAAAACAAAGCTTGTTGGAACTGGAGACAATGCGGGGAGACGCAGTTGCGGAAGAAGTGGCTCGGCGATTTGCAAATAGCGGTTTGCGCGCTAAAGTGCGCGCGCGCCACCTTGTGCCAACAACCTCTTGGGCCACTCCGATCTGGCAGACTATGAAAAAGTGTCGTCTCACGTGGTTTGCAGAAATGGAAAGGTTGCCCATATATTTATACGAACAGTACACGGCGTGTTCAGAGCAGACATGATGATAAAGTGGTACAACAAAAATACAATGACAGTCAGAAAGATGTGAACGAGAAAATGCGCCGGAGTGCAAAACCATTCTGCACAAACTGTCCAATGTGTCCGCTGCTGCCCGAAACATCGTCTAATCCTTGACTATCTCGTCAAGCATGTCCACCTGACCCAACCACCCTGAGACGGCTTCGCCAGAGGCCCAGTCGGCTGAAGGCTGTCTGTGTCCGACTCTTCAGGAACAGTGTGTTTCGCCAATCTCTCCACCTCAACGGCCCACATAGCTATATGACGGTATTTCGGGTCCGTAATAGCGATTCCAACGACAGGTCCTGCCATCATGGGTTCTGACCGATGAAGTTCATCGTCAGAGCCATATGCAGCCGCGCCATGCTCGGTGGGGGACCGTCGGGTGGCCATTGTCCTGCGCATCTGGACAGGTGAATGTTCGATAACATCGGAAGAAGAGTAATCGGTCCGCTGAGGATGCGGCATGTCAAGGTCTCCGATGGTCGAAGCGTCCTCTTCGGAACCAGAGCCGTAGCCATATGGGACGTGGTTGGCGAGAGTCCTTTGCATTTTGAGAGGAGCGCCGAAAGGAGCTGGGAATTCGCATTGTTGGATAAAGGGTGCGTCCAAGTGATTTGAGTGGGAGGATGTCATCGACTGCGATCCCAGCACCTCTTCCTGAGTGAGAAGTTGTCTAGGCAAAGACCGGAACTGTGGATATTGGGCAGCTGCACCGCTGGCTGCAGTGTGGAATTGTGTGTCGCTGTCGAAGTCGAGACCAAGGCCAAGTCCCATTGATAGAGCTCCTAGCTGTGGCAAGTACTGAGCCATGCGGCGGTTATCCTGAGGACGCGCAGAAGATGTAGGACGGGCGAAGCGAGATGTAGACATTGAGGGGAAGGTGAGATAAGCGGGAGCTGATATGAGGAAGGGAGCTGATATGAGATAGTGTGGGTGTGGAGATTCGTGAGTCGCTTGACGATGGTTGGATAATGCGGGGTTGAGAAGTAAGGAAAGAACGAGGACTTTGCTTGAGTTATATACTAACGTATCGTCCGCTAAGACAGGCCGACCATTATGCCCGCGACGATAATAGGAGGGTTACGGGCTGTGGCTGTGTGTGTATAGCAAGGAGTAAGTGAGCATTCCGAACCGAGCGAAAAAAAAAAGGTACGAAAAAAAAGCCCGAAAACCATGACGCGACCTGCGCTGGTCTCAGTGTTCGACTTTTTTAGCAGTAGAAGGGCGAACCTAGTGTTATTCCGCGGATCAAAACGGAAGACGAGGTGACGTGGACGCGGAAGGTCTCACCTGGTCTCACCCGTCGAAAATAGGTTCGAAGAAGGGAAATTGAGGGTAGCTTGGAGACTAGAAGCTCGTTATGTCCGATGTCACAGTTGTTTGGTTTAACATACAAGTACACATTTTACCGAGCACTATGGATAGACGGAATATCGCGATGTCGAGGATCGGTGAGGCAATAATTACTGAGCGTACGATTCAGCCTAAAAACTGTGTACAGCCCGAGCCTGAGGATGTCTCAGCTCCAGTCAACAGCCGCGCTCTGCCAGAGGGTTTGCCGCGTCGTCAGTTGAGCACCAAAAGGGATCCTTTGGATTATCGTCTTGACACCGGTAGTTAGTGGTGCAAAGCAGTCTGATGATAACTGCAACGAAAATCTGTCGGAAATGCTCATGAAAAGAAGGACCAGCCACACCTGAGGGAATTGAAGGAACTGCCGAGAATGGATGTCGTCTGGAGATTATTTCTTCGCCATTGCACCGAATGTTCCGCCAAGTATTGAGTCATCCCAAACTGACTCTTCGAAGAGAAGATGCATAGCGTCAGCCTGAACAGGCGCAATGTCGGAATTGGCCTCGCCACCTGCAGCCCATGTGGCGGCGGGGGAGTGCGACAAGCTGCGACAAATTTCCAATCGTGGCACACCTCAACGGCGGAGTCAACGCGCACCATACACACAGATACACACCTTACCGCGACATGAGACTGTGACGCCGACGCTCGCGCTCGCCTCTCTCTTGTCTCTCTGACGCACAATCTTGACCCGGAGAGCGCACCGCGACAGAATGGGAGGCACTGATTTAGATCTTTCGATTGCCTCATACAACGAGCTATATTCGATGGAGCAAGATGGAACAGGAAGGATCAGTCAGACCAGGAGTTGAAGGGGAAGTCATCACGGTCTTTCTCTTTACTATCATGGTATGCCAAGGTCTTCTTCTGTGCATTCCCCTCCTGGCCGCAGGAGGTCGTACGACTGTCATGTCGTGAGCCATGGTGAATGCCTTGGGCTCTGCGGGATAGTATCTCGTGCTGTACGACGATGCAAAGGCGTGGACATATATTATTTCAATCATCGTCGCTGTACCATCCCTTCGTACGCTCTAACCCAGAGCAGTGTTGGCTAGGTTGCGAAGAGCGATGAGAGCGATGATACCTCTTCAATTGTTTTGGACGCTCGTGGCTGGTCCATTGCCCTCGATACAGTATGCATGAGCCCAGTCACAATATCATCTCTCCAATAGTAATGGTGCTTTTTTTATGCACCAAGAGTGGTTCATCAAATAATAGGGAAAACGCTCTATCCAGGAAAAGATTCCGATAGCGTAGGCACCATGTCCACGGTTTAAATGCCCCGTCGTCCAAGATCTTCAATAATCCCTAGCCGGACCAGATGCATTATCACTGTTGGTACGGGAACCTGAACCCTACATTTCACTTCATTGCAGTGAAGGGGCCTTTGAGGTCGGTGCGTCTGGAGCAGTCAGACCGTAAGCATAGGCAGATCCAGCCCAGAGTTCTGTCGCAGAACTCTCAAAACAGCATTGACGACGCACTATATACCTCGTCTTAACTAGGATGAACTCACGGGCTTTACTTATGCAGTCTTGCTTGGACCTGTAGTATTCTCGCCCGTGCTGGGTTCCGGAGGTGTAGGAGACAAGTAGCCGAAGCATAGGATAACATGCTTTCTTTGAGTGCGTGGCATCACCCCTCTACCATTCATGGAGGTCCATGGAAGATGTCAGTCAACATTGTTGTTTCTGGCTACGTAAATCGTCGAGAGAGCTTGTCTGGGGAGTGGGCCACATTATTGCTGCGATCGCAATTGTGGCATCCGATTTAGGCGCCAGAACAACCGTGGCGTCCATGGCAAACCTCCTTGTTGGCCTGGAGAAATCGTCAGCACCTCTCTTCCAGGCAAGGCCATTAGATGACCCAGCAAAGAATCTAGATCTCGATTTGACGGAAAATTTGTCCACAAATCGTCGCTCTGCGATGGCCTTGGAGGCGCTTTCTCACCACATGGCTTGGGTCCAAATCAACCCCCCAGACGTTGATTGGGGCAGTCAATGCTCTATTTCACAGTGATGAGCGATGCTGCGTACCTGCGACGCTCTAGAATCAGACTGTTGGGTTTCGACAGACTGCACCTACGCCCTGAGCGTGTAGCTTCGGACGAGGCAGTCAAACTCCATGTTGTGGCCAAGGCGAACTGATTCAATGGCAGACAAGGGTGCTTACCCGCCGCGCGAAGCTCAAATACTACGTCATGAATGATGTTGTCGTCTGTTCCCTGCGAGCTTCACCTAGAGAAGTCCAAAATGAGCAAGAAGTGGATGGACAACAGGCACCTTGTTCAGGATAAAGCCAACGATTGATCAACCCTGGTGGCGCATTGTGATACCGTTCGTGTTCTGGACGCCTGCTGGTTGGTTCTCTCGAGGCCTTCCATGCATCAGTCCTCGCCGCCGCCCCCGCCATTGTTCTCGTCGCATTTTGATAAAGTTCAAGATCCAAGGAACCCTCCGACGGAGAATATACAGCTGTTGAGCTGTTCCTCGCTATTCATAGCGCGTTTCATCCTCGACGGCGGCACCCTGCGTTCTCATGGTCCACCATCCAGCAGCCAAACCTCGGCATATGCCAGAGCGAAGGCAGCAAGTAAGTCCCGATTCACCCCACCCCAGATTCGAAAAGACGAGCGTTCTCACCATCCAATTCTCTTCATCTCCCCAGTAGAGCAGGACTAGGCCGCACTCTAAGGATAGCTATTTGGAACGCAAGCCACGGATTCGGGGCGTCATGTAGCAAGTGGGGGTTAGCGATCGTCAAATAACGGTGTATGTGCGTGGGTGAGGAAGTAGCCGTATCTGGTATGCACCAGGTCTCCGCCCAACCAGTCATCGCGAAGCGGAAACCACGACGAACTCGCCGTTATTAAAATGCGTCCTCCAAGCACCCCGAGCCCCCAACCCTATTTCCCTCCCTTCTCCTTCACCCCTCTTCCACAGTCTTTCCTTACAGTCCTCACCCGAGGGTTTTACCTAGCTTTTTATGTCATTTATTGCTGCATGAACGGCACATCACCGTCTTTCTTGTCCTTTTCTTGGTTCAAAATGAAATTTCCTCGTTACCGTGAATCCTATGTGCGACGTTTCCATCCTTATTCTCGCACGTCGCCTTCTAACCACGAGACTGCAGCAGTGCGTGTTTTTCCCCGTTTATCTTTATCCATAGCTGCTGATATGTAGTTGCTATAGCTCATCTCGGAAGCCGAATACCAGATGGCCCTCTCCCGCCAGCCGAGGTCAAGCTTTGCCTTGGTCCGTCTTCGATAGTTTCTTCCTCATTCTTATTCCGTCTGACTTTATTGCGGTGTTTTCAGCCGTCCTTTATGTTCGAAGGCGGCGAGATACAAATTGTACCCTCCGCGCCTGGTAGCGGGGACGCTTTCGACGTGCAGACCCCGGCGGGGCGTCGTAGGATGAGATTGATGATAGACTATCTGGTGGTGTGTTCTTCTCCCCAGGCTCGCATTCAGTCATTCCTCCCCACTTAATCAATTATTGGTTAGACATGTCTTGATGTTATTCTGAGGAGGAAGCGAGAGGAGAAGCTAGAGGAGAGGGGGAGGGAGGAAGATAGCGGAGAAGTCTACCTCTGAGTCGCCAGGCCAAGGTGCTGTTGGCTCCTTTCTTGGTCGAAAAGTCTCCGAATGAGGCACTGCTCGTTTTGACGGTCTGGTTATGTGACTGCTCCCTTGTTCTTGGACAATGTTGCCGTGGTTTAGTGGGTGATCTTGAGCTTGATCGAGTCTGGCGTAAAGGCACAATACTGTTTGTACTTCGTTGGGGAGAGTTCGTCTCCGAGCGGTCTTCAGCGGAATCAGACGTTCGTTATTACCCCGTGTGGATTGGTGAAAGCGTCACTGTGGTTGAACATACACGGAAGCAGAACGAACACTCTGAATACACGTCGTCGGCGTCAACAGGTTAAGATTCGATCCCCGCCAAAGGAGACCGCGCAAGCAACCCTGATTTGGCAGCTTCAGCTTGCGTCACTCATCTCGAGGCTCGAGCCCGTGTCTTCCTTCGACGCCGTGTACACAAGCGACTGTCCTCAAAGCGTAGTGATTGGCCAGTACAGTTGCCTCTGAAAATATCGAAAGAGAAAGTAACAAGAACTAGTCCATGCGTCAAGTGCCCATATTAGCAAAGGTGCTTTATCGCACGTCGCTCGACGGGTGCTTCCTAATTAATATGTCGCACCCCTTCTCCGCTGTTACAAACTAACGCGCGACCTTCCCCTCATCAAACAGGTTGGGATGATCATGTGGGATAAGGTTGAAGATTGTTGTCTCATAGTTATTTGTGGAGGAACTGTATTCCATCGTGAGTTTCGGACCTGAAAAGAAGGAATGCTCGTGGAATATCATCAGTGACGCGCCCGATAGAGTTCCCAAAGAGTTCGACCTTGCTATCTGGGTACACCGCGCGGATGATATAAAAGGCAGAGTGAGCAGCGCTTAGAACATATCCAAACTCTATCAGCTTCCCGAGGCTGTTTTAGAAGGAGAGAAGATTCATATTTACCAGAGACCGACATGTGATGCTACAAGATATTCCCTCCCGAAAACAGACTCTGTCGCCGTTCTCAGGAGCCCGGCAGGCGCCAAACTGATCCAGCCGCTGCCTAAGGAGAAATATGGCATCTGCCGTCGCCGTTGGACTAGACAAAACCGCATCAAAGGCCTCGATGAGAAGCTCCGTGACAGTAATACTTCAACCAATGGCGAGCTCTTTGCTGATGCGTCCGCCAAAAATTTTGTTCAAGTCATCATATGGAGAGTAATACGACGTTCGAGTGGCGTCAAGGGTGTCCTTCAATTTCTCCGCCTAGTAAGATGCCGGTGGCCGTACGTTTGTTGCAGAAGTAGCTGCAATCTACAAAGTGTCAGTATCATGCGCATGTCGGGCTTGAAGAAAGTACATACGACGACTGTCGTCTGCGAGCTGCTTATGGAACGTATTCATGATCATGGCGGCCACACTGTGGTCTTATATGGACTAATAGGGATGTTTTACCTTTTCAGGGTGGTACTTAGCTGCGGTGGGAGTCTTGACTGCAAGACGGATGAATGACAAGGGCGGGGATGGTCGTCGATGAGATATGTAGGTTATTACAGACCAATGATGCCGCTTCAGTGAAACGCTCAAAGCCCGCCCGAGCGGTCCTACTTTCGGAGGTTATCGGAAGATGTCGTCCTTGTTAAGTTTGATAGAGCGCTGAAAGAGACTCGGAAGTCACGATGGTGCTCTAACCAAAACATAGACATTGTGAAAGGTTAAAATCTTGGAATATTGTCGAACAAGGACACACTAAGCACATAGCCTTGTCTCCTACATTCCAACAAGCGGTCTCGAGACATGCAAACCGTTCGGGCGCGACCGCAACGTAAGGAAGAGATGACGAGCAAGCTTGCGCGTACTATGCATCATAGGGTTGGTCGGTACATTGCTCTGGGTGAGACGATATTACCGCGCCTTCTCGCCATTACTTGTAGCTGGCTTCCCTTAGAACGTCATGAGGACTCTTCCAAGAAAGGCCTCGGTCAGGCTGTGAGACGTTGCAAGAGTCACATAAGCTATCAAGTATTAGTGATAAATCTGGCTAACCTTTCAAGATTGATCCTTGAAGTGTTCGAGAGGCTGGTCGGTCAGAAGAAGTCCACTCTCGCCGGTTAACAGAGTACTTAGTACTTGTGTTACTTGGGTAGCCATGGGTGTCTCGGTAAGTATCGCAATGAAGACTGTGGTTCAGCAGAGCCTGAATTGTAGTCGGCAGAGCTCACCACAAAATTTTGTTCGAGCTGCTTGTCCTGTATAGTCAGCGTTCGTTTTCAGCGTGACGGGAGGTAAAGGCTGGCAAATGTTCAGCATATTGTGGCGAATAGTCGCCACCCAGCTGCCAGCCAGAAAACGTGGCCGGCGGCGGCGGAGGATGGTTTTGGCCTGCAGCGAATTCGAAATTGGGATACTTCCTCCAACCTCGCCGCGACACAGCAACCGCCTGGTTGTCCGCTCTCCCACCCCCTTCCTTGCCTCGATTATACATTTTCATACACCCCAAGTCTTTCGAGCCATGCCCAGTCGTATTACTGCTTCAACATTAAGGCTATGAAACCCGCCGGATGCATACCAGCAGAAGAAGGTTGAGGGAGTATTCGGTGTAGGAGTAGTTGAACTGGTCAGAATGCCGCTCCAGCTCGAGGCCGTCGTGCCCAAGATGCTGTAGGATCCATTGTGAGGGTATGCCGAACTGTTTCTCTATCGATCGATGGCTGCTATCAGGATGTCTGTTCGTGGTGTTCGTGTCCAGATGATGGCGGCGTTCAGGTGAGGGGGACTTTCACGAGAGAACTGCCCATAGCCGCTTGGTTGGTCAGACGAGACTATTTACCACCCGAATGCATCTCGAAGAGCGGACGCTGTCCAGAGTGCTTCGCGGTGTGAAACTGTGGATAATGCTGGGTGGGCGACGGGTGTGACGATCAGAGCGCAGACTCGGCCTTGGGGGTCGGTTTGCTTGCTCACCTCATTCCGTATCCCGTGCAGGAGTGTAGTGCAGACGACAGCGCACTCAAACAGTTCTCTGTGGGGTGCATTTCAGCGAGCTGTTGGCAGAGTCAGACGAGGTGTTCGCGTTGGAACATCAAACAGCCGGAGTGGGATACAGGCCTGTGAGAAAACCTCGGTCTGCTTGTATTCACGACTCGTATTCTGGCAACATCCCTTGTTGAAGGGAGGAATGTAGCGTTGATGGCGTATATGAGCCCATCGCATTCTTCTTGACAAGGGATGTCGTAGATCCTTTCGCGGACGGTCTTTTGCATCGACCGCGCCAGGGTCTCAACGAGGCATTGTTAATTCTCCACGTATGATTTCTCGTAATTGATATCAACGATTACAATGATGATAACGATGTCAACGAGGCGACCCGGCAAAACTAGACGGCCCATGTTATTCTGCATGTGGATACAGTTGGAATCGCGGCCATCATAACAAACATTCGGACGACGATATGGGTGTCCAGGTACATGTGTTTTTCATGGAGCTCCTTGGTCGTCGTAGGATAGAGACAGAGCTTGTCTCTCACACATGACGGAATTATGGACTTGATTGGAGTACGAGGAGCCCTATGTGTTTGATTTGGAGGAGCTCGGAGGCTGCCAGTATCGGTGGCGTGTGGCACCGAGGCAGGTCGCCAATGGCGCTGATAATTTGCCAGGCGAAGAGGAATCTCTCCACGCTGGGGAACTCTACTTTCCCAAACACACCTTCGTTCATGGCAGAAATTTACTCCAAGACGACGAGGAGTCATGTGTGGGCCGCATCAACCGCGTCGCACTGTGGCGTGCAGCTCGTCACTCCCCCCGGTTGGACTTTGCGTGAGCACTAGTCACGTCGGGTATTCTACGCATACCCTTCCCCGCACGTCTTTTTGGTTTTGCGTCGGGATACCAAGCACGTTATTCGGCCAGAGGATAACACATCCTGCGCTCTTGGGTCAAGAAGACCCATACCAGCAAAACATTGGGATACAATTCGTATTGCTCGGTGCTTGACGCCCCGTGTGTGCCACTGCAAGATTTATAAGATAAACACTCACCTATATTGTATGTCACTGGGCTTGGGAGCAAGGCGCTGAGTTATGAGGAACTGTGCCAGAGGGAGGCACCCATACTCACAACAGACGACACTTCGTCTCCGCCTCGATGGTTCACTGGTGGACAGAACCTCACGGGATGAATCTTGTCGGGTGAAATATTGCATCATTTGTTGAGTCGCAATCCGGGATAGCTCTACGTTCGGTTCGGTTGGGTGGGTCGCTACCTGCGCGCGCCACGCTGACCGCCTAGTCTTCGACATTGAAGCGCGGTCCTAATTGCTCGTCGAGTCTTCATGCCTCGGAGAATGGCGTCAATTTATGGTGGGATCTCTGAAACCTAGGACAACTTCGAGGGTTCGTGGGCCCAGGGCTTACCCACGCAAGGCCAGCTTCCTATTGATAGCGCGTGTTTCATCTTCGACGGGAGCGAGACGATCTCTAAGCTTTGCTTCCGAACACACCAGGAGAAGCCAACCGCGAACCTCGATAACCGACCCGTGAAGATCGCCCCAACCAGTCGCTTTTGTCGTCCCCAAATCCTGATAGCCGGCTGTGGACTTGATGCGTACTTTGTTCCCAAAACGGATCCTTGGGAGACCCAGGACGGCGTAGGTAGCGGGGCCCAAGGCTAGCGGCGGTCGACAATCGTCGAAGGCATGTCGGCAGGGTGTATAGGGTGCATTCAACGGACAAAGGCATGTCACTGGGTTACGAGCCGAATGTGGTGCGCACCAGATCCCCACCAGTCCAGTCACCGCGAGACGCAAACGGCACCAAACTCACCGTGCAATATAATGCGCCCTGCAGCCTCTCCGCGTGCGCATACGCGTCTTCCCCCATTTCTCTCTCTTCCCTATCACCCTAGCCTATTCTTTCGCTCATTATCCCCTCTCTTTTCCTAACTGTCCATGCTTTTGGCCGTCGCATGAACGGAACCGCACCCGCTTTCCCATCCTCTCATTGGTTCAAGTCGAAGATGCGGTGGCCGACGTACCGAGAACCATATGTACGCCGATATCACCCATATTTCAGAACCTCCCCGTCCCAACATGAAACGACCGTGGTACGCCCTTATATCTAATTTATCCTTGGTTATCTCTGACGTTGTTGAACTCGGGTAGCTTCTCTCGGAGGTCGAGTACCAAAAGGCCATGGCCGATCAGCCGCGGTCAAGCTTCGCGTTGGTGAGTTTGCTGACGGTTCTGTACACGCCCCAACTTTGAACTCACACCTGCTCATTTATTTGCAGCCTTCGTTCATCTTTGAGGATTGTGAGATTGAGGTTGTCCCTTCTGCGCCGGGGAGCGGTGACGCGCTTGATGTTCAGACTGTTGCGGGTCGCCGTCGACTCAGGCTCTTGACGGAGTACTTGCTGGTGCGTTCCGTCTTCCGTTGTGCTCCTGTCCTCTCTCGATTCTGACCACCTCTGGGGTAGATGTGCCTTCACGGTATACGCACAAAGAAGCGTGCGGAGGTGGATCTGCATATGGCGTCGGACTCGAACCGATCCAAGTGATTCAATCACGTTCAGTTTGTTCATAGTTATTCTTGGTTTAAGAGCAGGGTTATTCTGCTACGTTGATGGTATGTCACGTTGTATCGAGCTATAGTATGCTCTGCGTCTTGTAGACGTTGTCGTATGACGATGGGGGTTTTGGTAATCTTGGGCAAAAAGCACATTACTACGTTCATGTCTTGTAATCTCTTGTGGTTTTTTCGTCATCTTCTTGTATGTCTTGGATAATCGTTGCACATAAGCAAGCATGCAGTTATAGTTCGAATGGTGGAATGAGAGATTCTGTCGTTGAACGTTCAACGTCGACGGAAGCAGACGCTTTGAAGACTGACGCGTCGCTGGGTGAGAAATTGATGGCGTTTCGAAGTCCGCCACCCCAACAACCTCGATTTGGAAACCCGGTTGCCCCCGGCTTACATCATGAACGCGTGCCACACACGCGTTTTTGATCGGATGTCAAGACGCGTGTCTCCATCGTCTCTGCCTTGTTCTTGACAACGACGAACGTGTATTTTTGCTGTTTCACTTTGCATTTGCGAGAAAACCTCATTTACCCGTGTCTTTTCATTGAGAACTTGGAGACATCATGAACCGACATGGAGGCATGGAGAAACATCTGGGTATCGGTAAGAACCAGAAAAATCTCGTCTACTCTGCCTTGGGAGACTAAGCTGGCCCAACTCTTGACCAAATCACGCTGGTTTTCGCAGGTGGTGGACAGTGGCCCGCGATTTCGAAGGCATCGCAGGAAGCGTATGTACTCCTCCGTGGATTTACTGATAGGTGCACTGCTAAGCCCACAACACCTCCAGCTTGAATAAAGGAGAGCAGCTTGCACTCAGACGTCGCCCAAACGAGGCTGCCCCTTACCTTTTCAAGGCTATGGAAGATCCCAACAACGTCGATGCAGCCATCCAGCTCGCATTTCTATGCCCAACATTCAAGGATAGCATTGAGATCCTAGAAGTCAGCGAGAAGAAAGGTATCACCATCTTGGTCTGCTTGACGCTTGAGGATGCCGTGCTCCGAAGCTCATCGATCCTGGCCATTCCCTGTCTTTATCTAGCAAAAGCCATCCTCAAACGTATTCTTGGACAAACAGTGTTCGAAGACGATCGGGTCGGAAAGTTTTGGGATATCATCGCGACGCGCCCGTACATGCGCGTTCTTCAGGCTCAAGTCCGTTTCTACTTCGAGGACAAGCAATATAATTCTGCAGCGTACGTCCCAACTCTGTTCTGTGCTCGTTGAAAGACCCGAACTGCAACATCTTTCATAGAAAGACCATCATTGAGATGCTTCGTCTTTGTCCGGGCGACAACATGGGCCAGCGCGACTGGCTAGCACCCATCCTTTGCCAAGCAGGTCGCTATTCCGATGCCCTCTACTTCGCCCAGCAATGGCTGCAGAATCAGCTTGGAGATGGCAGACCGCCGCACCTCGGTGGTTGTGACTTCAAAAAGCCTTTCTCTGAACCAATGCCGGATGCTCTAGAGCAAGAAATGTCCGAGTTCTCTGTGGACTATATGATCTATACTGCGGCGTTAGCAGCGTTCAAGCTCTACGGAGATAGTCCATTGTCACGCCAGTACCTGCGGATGTGTGCGAAGTTGAACCCAGTGATCCTTTCGAGGGTTTTGGCTAAGAACGAGAGGCCGAGTATGTAGCATCTAATAGTTGATCTCCGCGTTTTACTGACGCTACAAATTGCTCCCAGAGGAACCGAATAATGAGCCCCGAGGCCTGAACGGCCCACAGTCCGCCCACGATTACCTCTTCCTCGCGCAAACGCTCTGGATGGAGGATGATGTTTACAATTGGGCTCTCAATAACGAGGATGCCGTCAAGATTATCCTTCGCGAATGCTGTATGCCCGGATGCAAGAAGTCGGAAACCAAGCCGAACGAATTCAAACGATGTGCGGATTGCAAAAAGGTCTGTCCTTCGGATCGTGCGGTTCAATTATCCCATTCACGATCCGTCTAACATTGCGTCTCGTAGACATGGTATTGTAGCAAAGAATGCCAGAAGAAACATTGGCCCGATCATCGAAAAGGTGAGCACCCAACGCCGCCTTTCTCCGCTGTCTCTTTTCCACAACGACTTATGTTCCTCCCATTCTCGTAGCATGCAAGCAGCACAAACAGACGCAGAAGATGATGAAGGCCCTCATGAATGGCAAAAATTTCACGCCTGACCCTGACGTTCCTACGATGCCCATTTACCGTGCTGATTTTGGCGGCGGCATGGTCGTGACGGAGGAGCTCGCGTAGGGGAAGGTTCAAAACATCTATGGAGGGCGTCTAGACATCCGACTCTGCTAGTTCATTTCTCGTCCTCGCTGCTTACTGTACATACGCCACCCATGCTGGGTATTTCGGTCAAATTATGTAATGCCATGCTACCCTCGAACACCTGTTCTCTCATAGGATTTTACACGGGGATATAATTGTAATTTGGAATGCGTCCGGCCTGCACGTCGGCCGGGATGTTCTGGAGATACATGGGTGCAAACGGGATATCGCCCGCCGTATCTTCAAAGAGTCCACGTAGACAATGCGGTGTGAATCAGTCTTCATCCTCGGACATGTCCATGTCACTCTCCACGTCCATCCCTTCGACAGGTTCGGTCGGATGATAGGGGCGGTCTAGCGAACGCAAGTGGGACGGTCGTGATGGTGAAAGACATGGTAGCGGCGGAGAGGGGGAGTACGTAGGTGGAGAAGGCGGTGGAATGGACGAAGGTGGAGGTGGAGGCGGCGGCGGCCATGGTGGTCCATCCGAAGGCGGCAGCGGTGGCGGAGTCCCAGGGGGCGGCGGAGGTGGTGATGGCGGGACTAAAGTATACTCCAGCCCTTGAAACGTGTCCGTACCATCGAAGACAAAGGCTCCCGGTCTTCGCCACGGTGGTATGGAGGTGTGCTGCGGGAAGCCATTGGATTGGGCATTCTGAGGTCGAGGAGGAAGGGATGGGTGTGCTTCGGCGGTAAGGCGGCGCCACAATTCGTCTCGGTCCTCGGTATACGTGCGGGAACGAGGATGGGAGGAAGATTGGATGGGAGGAAGTGCGAGGCCATCGTAGAGCGGAAGAAGATCGCCAGAGAAATATGTGTTGGGATATTTTGCCCAGCGACGAAGTCCAATTTGGTCGGGTGGAGAAGAGGGCAATGGTGTACCAGATGTCGACCGTGCCCACGTGCGAGAGGATAGCGTCGAGGAAGTGTCGGATTCGGATTCGGACATCGTCGAAGAACATGCCGAGGACTCGTTCACATCATCCTCACTCTCCGTCTCGGTTTCTTCTCCATCTTCGGTGTCACTATCACGGAGACGCGAGTCCGTGGCCGTATATTGGGTCAAGTCCAGCCTCTCGTGCTCATCGCCTCCAAAGATCAAGAAGTCTCCATAGTCTTCGTCTATATCCACATCCTCTCCAAACTTCTCCTCCGCACGACGCCGAATGAATATCCTCGGGTCGACCTCTGCTGCCCATCCTCTTGGGTATCCCCACTTCGCCATGTTCTCAAGCCAAGGCACACGCTCACCAACATCTCCTTCCTTGAGCCCTAAAGCGTCTCGTAACGTTTCACCCTTAATCACCCCCGGTACGAACTCATCCAGATATTGAAGGTGAGACCGTTTCCACTCCGCTGCAGCGGCCAGCGTGAGACTAGGGTCATAGCCACGGCCTGCTCGCAAGAACTCGAATATCTGACGCGAAAGGGAAATAAGGGCATGGTCGCGAGTTTCTGGGCAAGCTGGGACGGAGTGAGAGGGAGAACCGCAGTTGAAGCAGCGATTGGTAATTTTGGGCAGAGATGAGGTGTCTAGAGATTCAGAGCCAAGGGCATCGTCGAGGATGTATTCGTAGGAAAGGTCCGAGTGCGAAGTGGAAGCGTACGCATGCAGATGCATATCTTGCTGGAAATTGTGGGCGACATATCCAAGAGTAGAGCTGCCACCAACGGCACCACTATCATAACCTGCGCCCGGCGCACCTTCATACATGACTCCGCCTATTACTTCCCTGGCGCCTTGGTGTTCGACTGGTTCTCCGAGACCTGACTCTCCTCCCGTTCGGCTTGACTCTTCTCCCACTCGTCCAGCGCCGAGGTCACGTTGCTCGCGTCCCACCTTCCTTTCACGACTTCTTTCCCGTCGATATGTAATGCCGGAATCCACCAAACATACTTCTTCTTCCAGCGTTCCTGTCCTGGGTCTTGAATGTTGACTACGTCGAGCGTGAATGGCCGCTGTCGAGTCGACCGTACCCGTAAGATTGTGATGTATGAGGGGCGAGATAGAGATAGACATGTGCGCAGGAGTTATGAACAATCTGTTACGGTCAACGTACCGTTTGCCTCACTTTGGCGAGCTCGGCTTTCGCGACCTAAATATCGAAGATATGGGCACAGATTAGTTAGAACGCGTTATAACAAAGAGGCCATTGGAGAACGTACGTCACAAAGAGAGCAGTTAGGTCCTGAGTAGAGTGTAAGACGAGCAAGGCGAGCAAGTGCTGCCATTCACCGTGAGGCCGATAGTGTGTTGTTGTTCTGATCACAGCCAAGACACAGATAATCGACTTCGCCTTTCGGAGGAAGCCCGGAAGTTGCCATAAGTAGGTCTGTTGTTTCCTATTTTCAATTTGGACTTCTCTCTCGAGCTCCTTCAACGACCAGCGCGCCAGGTAACGTTCCCCCCTCGTTCGCGAACTACTTAAACTGCTCTACTCAAACACTAATATACTAAAACTCTTCTTCTATATAGCCCTCAATGGGTGGTGCCCCCTGTATTGACGGCGAGGTTCATGGCCCCGTGGAAGTTACGAGCCACCCGACGCCATCCCCAGGCCCATACATAGGGAGTGAAATTTGTCTTCCGTCAGAGATACTAGCCATGGTATTCATTGAGTTCGTCAACGAGAAGCCTGCACAACATCATGATGGCGTTCTACCGCCGCCTCTGTCGTTTACGTCAGTGGCTCCCTCCTCCCCTGTGAGCCTGGCGCAGGTATGCAAGCGGTGGCAAACAATTGCTCGCTCCATTCCTCAACTCTGGACAAATATCACTCTAATTCTCCCCTACAATAGAGACCTTCGCTACACATCGATTTCATCTATTCTCCACATAGCGAGAGAATGTTTAGATCGGTCAGGAGTTCTGCCTTTGAAGCTTGATATTACGGCCACGACACCCTCCTGGCGCATTCCTGAGCGTTTCGATCCTACTCGAGCACTGCTCACCATGCTTTGCAAGCATTCTTCTCGTTGGCGCGATGTGACCCTCGTGCTCCGCCAATTCGATGTATTCCCTGCACTTGACGAAGGATGCTTCACTGCTCTTGAATCCTTGACCGTCCACACGATGTCTAATACCCCAAACCAAATACTCCCACGATCCCCTCAGTTCATGCGCGCTCTAGAGACCGCCCCGAAACTTCGAAAAGTATTCATCGAAGATGGAGAGTTGCTCGCTTGGCCTCTTCCATGGGCACAGCTGACTGCACTCCGATTAGACAATTTCAATCTTGGACGAAGCGACACCATTCGATTGTCTTCGAAGACCGCTATCCTCGATGTCCTCAGGAAGTACAGTAGCCTGAAAGATCTAGAACTCAAGCTGATATGCAACAAAGCCCCCATCGATCTTTCCCAGGCACACACCATACCTGTTGATGTTGATCTGCACTGTCTACAAACCCTCCGTATCCTTGTTGATACACAAACCATTTGCGAGAATCTCCTGCGTTTCATACGAGCACCCTGCCTTCGCCTTCTGCACATCCGATTCCGCCATGACTGGCACGAGCTCTCACAGAGCTGGGATATGTTTAAGAACACGGTCAAGGGGCGTGTCGCGACTCTGGATACGTTGAGTCTAGCATCTATGGGTGCTTCACAGTCACATCCGTTCATCGACCAATACCTCCCCGTCATCACTATTTCTCCTATTCTGCTACCTGCGACCAACCTCCGCGTACTCGAATGTCATACATCGGAAATCATACCAGAATTTCTCAGCTCTCTCATCCTACGGTTCACACCTACCGATAAATTAGCCTCCGGACAGAACACCAGGCTTGTGGAGATTAGGGTGTTGCCATCTTGTGGCGAGAAGCCGTTGTTTGACTCCCCCATGGAGCCAATCAACCGCCTCTTGGGGCTACTGTTGGACGTGGCTGAGTCGAGGTGGTGGTTGCCGGAAGGTGTGCTAGTTGGCGACAATAATGTGCAGAAGCTGCGAGCGTTCGATATTGGACCATGGGGGCACGAGATCGAGATGGGGAATGAGAGGGTCGAGGAACAGATTCGCAAGAGGTACATGGCGTTGAAGGAGGGCGGGTTCCTGTTCAGCGTAAAGGATCGTATCCTTGAGTTGGTGAGGAGTTTTTTGTTGCTCATTTAGGACACCTATACTGATGTTTCCACCCTTGGTTCGTCTCGTACATCCCTACTTTCAGAACGCCTCCGAGAATGAGTGAAGGCTAATCTTCTTGGAAGCCAGCGTTTGCTATCTTGTATATCCTTGGTCCTTAAATTAGTCTCTACCTATTTCTATCGTTGCATATTCTGTGAAATGTTCTCAGGCACACCCGGGTAAAGGTCGGTGGCCGAGTAACCTATGTACTGGGCCACACTGGTGCCACCTGAGGGCCGGAAGCAAACAACGGAACAACAGACGCCCACAGAACAGAAGCGGTTACTACTCGCTCTTTCCATTCAACTTACCCGACTCTCCTTTTTTCCTCCCCGTCCTTACTTCAATGCCTCCCTGATGTCTTTCCCTGACCCCCCATGGAAGGTCAAGAGTATGCACTTATTCCAAGCTATGACATTTTCACAAAACTGACTCCAAAAAACGTGCAGCGCGGCCATGTCCGTTCTATCAGCAAGGTCGCTGCTATTTCGCGGATGGCTGCAACTTCTTGCACGAAGTCAAGATCAAAAGCACGCCTACTATTCGAGATTCGAAACCTGTACATTCCGATCTTCGCCATGGAACACAACCTATCCTCCCCGCTGTCACCGTCGACTCTCCGTCTTCCGTCCTTTCTTCGCCACGTTCGCCTCGGATGGCCAGCCTTTTGCTCGCACTTTCGGATGTTATAGGGCCAGATTATTCGCCGTACTCTTCGTCGCCAGAGCCAAATCAGAGTCCTAGCAATGAGAATGGGTCCGAGGCGTCGTCGGATTCAGGGTCGCCTGATTCCGGTCATGGTTCCGACGAAGGAGAGGTTGAATCCGGTCATGGTTCCGACGAAGGAGAGGTTGAATCCGGTCATGGTTCCGACGAAGGAGAGGCTGAAGTCGAAGATGATAGTGAAGGCAAAGGTGAAGATGAAGCCGAAGTAGAAGTAGAAGTCGAGGGCGAAGTGGAGGAGGAAAGTCCGGTTGGGGAACCAGACGAACTCGACGAGCCAACGGCACGCCAAGAGAACCCATCTCCCGACTCTCTCGAATCCGTGGACTCGGACATCCACGACAATGCTCATCGCAGGTCACTCGGTCTTCTATCCCCCGTAGATATATCTGGTCCGCCCATTCCTTTCCCAGCCGAAGGAATATACGATGGCTCACTCCACCGGGAAGATTCCATCGACTCAGGATATGCGGATAATTGGGGACCAACACCGTTCGCGCTTTCACCTCCACGTCCTGCGTACAGGCACTCATCCATGTTCGACTTATTGTCTTCGCCCTTTGGGTCTCCTTCGTCGAGAATTCTGATGCATAGTGCACACAATTCGCCGCAGCTATCGGCGGTGAGAGATGACGAACCGCTCTCGATGGGACCTAGTGCACTGGATTCCAGTTCTCGCTCGTTCTCTCCCTCTATGTACGCTGAAGAAGAAACGCAATCAGTGATGGGCTCGGAAATTGCATACCACAAGCCTGAGTCCGTCGTGGAGGGGGTCCAGTCCGTGAAGGCCAATTCCGAACATGTTCGTGAAGGAGATTCGTCACATTCGCGCGTGCAGGACGAGGACCATCCCCCCATTTCCGAATGCTCACCCTCCGCACCAGAGAGCTTCAGCCACACTCGGGAAGAGGAAGAATCGCCACGTTTGCACGAACAGGATCATGCCTATTCCTCCGTGCCCACAACGAACTCCGCCATCATCCCAGAAGCCACCTCTACCTTCGGCAAGAGAGAATCCCCCGTCGTGGAGAACGAGTTTGCCACCTTTGAAAACCATCCATCCATCGTCGAGAGCGTTCCCTCCCCCCAAGATGGCAGACCTTCGAACCCCGAAGGTGATGCGCACATGCTTGAAGGTGATCTCTCCGTCAACGTCAACGAAGACAATTCTGTCGCCGTCGAAGGTCACTCTTCCGTTTTCGAAGTCGGTTCTCCAATTGTCGAAGGCAACTCCGATGCCCCGGACGGCGACTCTTTCGATGCTGAAGAGGATTCTTATCTTCCCGAAGACGACTCTTACGACCTTGAAGGCGATTCCTCGATCCTTGAAGATACTTTCTCCACTTCATTCGACTCAGCCGATCACACCAAACTCCTCTTTCCCGTCCCTCCAGGCCTTGAATCCCTCTCCCGCCCTATTACCCCCCGTACGGCCGTCATTCAAGATCTGAAAGAGACCTTCGCTGCGCGTGCCGCTTTGTCTGCTCCGTCTCCTCCGAAGACGGTCTCGTCGTTGCCAACACCGACACCGTCGCCACCTCCGTCACAGGATGCGCATCGGTCAGACTATGAACTCTCTCCTCAACATGATGCGGAAATTTCGCCTGCAATCACAGTGACCACAATTCGAGGACGTGCACTTTCCGAACTTACGATTGGGCCTGGACCGTCGCTTTCTGCTAGTAAGAGGCTTTCGGGTGGCGACGAGGAGATTGTGGCGGAGCCGGAGGCGAGAGTTGAGGTAGAGGCTGAGTTCCTTGTGGGATCGGAGACGAAGGTAGAGCATGACTATGAGGTAGAGCGGGCATATGGCGACGATGAGGATGAGGATGAGGATGAAGTCGTAGAAAGTGAGGCTCTGTCGGAGTTGAGTCATGATGAGGAGCGCGAGCTTGAGATTGAAGAGGACGCTTCGTTCGAGTATGAGACAGCGGACGATACTCTACAGAGTATGTACGCGGACTACGGCCTGGATTCCTCTCCACCACCTTCTTCCGCCAGGCGCTCGACTTCTTCTTCCGTGGCCGCCGATCCCCTCAGACAAGATGCACAGGAGGATACTTTCCAGGCTATACATTCTCACTCCAGCTCTCGGTCGTCGAAATCTCCCCCTTCTCTGAAACGTTCTGGTTCGTCGGCGTCGTCCTCGCTGGCCGGAACTCTAAAAATGATGAATGCAGAGGACGACACCGTACAAACGATGCTCTCCGACTTCAGTATAGTGGCATTGTCATCTCCCTCTCACTCTCCCCCAAAACCTTTCCGTTTCTCTGCCTCGTCTGCGCAGATTGGAGGTCTCCCAAGAGAGAGTACGCAGGGTGATCCGGTTCAAACGGTACATTCAAGCTCCAATCCCCAGGCGTCATCGTCCCCTTCTCCGTCGAGACATTCCCGTTTCTCGACCTCTTCCTCACTGGTCGGAGATCTTTCAAGAAATGACGCCGAGGTTGACACTGCCCAGATCGTTCATTCCAACCTCAACCTTCAAGCATCTCCCTCTCCCTCTCCTGTGAAACCCTCGCGCTTCTCGGCCTCTTCCTCACTAAGTGGAGATATGACAAGACAGGATGCCGAGGACGACGTTGTGTCCAGTATGTACGCAGATTATGGCCTGCAGTCACCCCCCTCTCCAATGAAGCCCTCCCGTTCTTCAATGTCTTCTTTGGCTCGAGATCTGTCGGGTCAGGGTTCACAGGGTAATACCGTCCAGACTAGACCTTCCCACTTCAGTCTACAGGCATCGTCGATCCCCTCTCCTTTGAAACCCTCACAGACCGGAGATACGTCAAGGACGGACCCTGAGAATGACGCGCTCTCGAGTATGTACGCAGAGTACGGCCTACACTCATCACCATCGCCTTCTCCATCGACACCTTCTCGTTCCTCGGTGTCTTCGTTGGCCGGTGGCAAGTCGAGGCAGGACGCGGTGGACAATACCGTTCAGAGTAGGCACTCGACCTTCAGTCTCCAGGAGTCGTCACCTCCCTCTCATACGAAACCCTCCCGTTTCTCTGCGTCTTCCTCACGAACCGGAGATCTGTCAAGGGTGGATGCAGTGAATACTCCTGTTTCGAGTATGTACGCAGAGTACGGCCTACAGTCGTCACCATCGCCCTCTCCATCGAAACCTTCTCGTTTCTCAGTGTCTTCATCGGTTCAAGATCTGTCGATACAGGACACAGTCGGTAACAGAGTCCAAACCAGGCATTCCAACCTCAGCCTGCAGGCGTCGTCGTCCCCTTCTTCTCCGAAACCTTCGCGTCTCTCCGCTTCTTCCTCGTCGGCAAGAGATCCTCCAGGAAAGGACAGGCATGACGACATTGTCCAAGACACACGTTCTAACTTCAAGGTCGAAGCGTCGTCTCCTTCTCCTTCCATATTATCCCACTTTTCAACCTCTTCCTCGCCAGTGGGAGAGATGTCCACGCAGGCTGCACAGGGAAAGACCGTCCAGGCCACGCTTTCTGACTCCAGCCCACAGACCACGACATCTGTCTATCCTTCGAAACCCTCACGCTTCTCTGCATCTTCGTCGCTGTCCGGTGATCTGTCGAAGCGGGATGGCGAGTACGACGCTGTCTCAAGCATGTACGCGGACTACGGTCTAGATTCGTCATTATCTCCCTCTTCGTTAAAACCCTCTCGGCTTTCAATCGCTTCCTCTATAGCATCAAGCCTCTCACGACGTGACGCGGAGGATGACACCATTCAGAGCATGTACGCCGCCTACTCTACCCCTGCGCAACCATCGACGGTTGCCGCCGTCGAGGATCGCACAAGACGCGCGAGTGAACTGGGCGATGCTCTCCAGAGCATGTATGCCACCTCTTCTGCCTCCATACAGCCGTCAGCCTCTGCATCTCCGTCCCCATCGCCTGACTCGTCCTCGTTCGAGCGTTCTCAGTCTGCTGTCGGACTACGGTCACATGTGGGAATGACGGATGAGAACCGACCTCCACAGAGTTCCTCCGCTGCAGGGCCCTCTGCATACCGTCAACCCGTCTTCACGCCGCCAGTGCCGAAGACAGAAAGCAGGGAAAGCTCCAGACCAAGTTCAGCCTTGAGCGCGATTTCGTCCAACGACAAAGGGAAGGGGAGGGAAACCGGGATCGGGGCCGGGGCTGATTTGGATCAGGCGTCAGATGGTGGCAGCAGGAAGGTTCCCTTTGGGTTTCGACATTCGTTCAAGGGTCGCGCTATCGACGTCAAGAAATCTCGAGGACCCTCACGTCGCACGAGCGTCGCTGATGTGTTTTCTTCTCATTCCAATAGTGCCGGTCCCGGTGGTGCTGAAGTTGATCTTCGGACACCGGGTAGTGCGGCTTTTCTGTCATCTGCTCTTGATCCGGAGGAGGGTTTGGGCCATAGTCCTCTACCTAGTCCGCTGCCGGGCCAGGGTCGGAGCGTACTTAAGCCTCTTCGTCTGGTGCGTTTCCCCTTCTCTCGTCGGATAGTGGAATGAAATGCTGATGGAGCAGGGACAGTCTATGCAATCTTTTGTGTTTGAGTCGATCTCTAGACGTGCTAGTACCATATCTTCATCTGGTGAGGCCGATCAGTGCCCTTCGACAGTCGAACCAAACTGACGGCTTCCCCCCCTTGCTCAGGGCATCAACAAAACCCATCTATTTCTTCTTCTAGTGTATCATCAGGCTCATTATCGGGACATCCACTGGTACGTTCCCGACTTATAGCACTGAGCGACCTGCACTCACGCTGCGACGACCATAGCTCTCAGCAATTCAACCATCGTCTTCGCATTCGCATTCGTCTTCACCTCCATACATACCCGGTCCTCAATCACAGCGCAATAGTCTGGTTTCTATATCTTCACATGCTCACGACACTGTTACGACCCGACCGACGATTCGTACTTCTTACTCTAACCCACCAACACAGTCACTACACCTACAAGATCACCGAAGTTCCGGAGCGTTCGCACCTGAGACTCGACATTCACGCGAATTCCCACTACAGAGTGCACCACCGAACCATTCTCAGACGTGGCGCAACTCCGTCTCTTCACTCCTTTCCCTTCATTCATACTCGCGTTCAACAAGTAGACTATCCGAGCCTATAATCCACGAGTCTGAGCACTCTGAAGGAGAAGAAGACGACGACGATAACCATAATGGCTTCGACACTGGTGACGATGACCCGACCACATCCAGCCGCTATTCTTACCTCTCCCGCGCCGATCTCGACGACACCACCATTCGCCACCCTCTCCGTCACCCAACGTTCGATCGTATATCTGCGCACAACCGTACTTCGGCATCCCTGCCAGCTTCTCGTCCCTCCTCTCGCTCGCAGCACCTTTCACCATTCGCCTCGCCATCACTTCCGTCATCGCCAGCCCCAATGCCGTCACCAGCACTATCCCACCACTCCATGCATGCCATCGCTACACCTCAACCAACGCTCATGTTCGCCATCGCGAGCGATAATCCTGAGGAGGTCAGGAGAGTCTTGGAGTCTGGAGAAGTGGGACCCAATGATGAAGTTGGTCCACAGAGCGCGTTAGCGTTCGCTGTAGGGAATGATAAGCTGAAACATAGAGTAGATATCGTCAAGATTTTGCTCGCCCATGGAGCCGACCCTAAAGGATTGACTCTGCCCATCGGGTCCACGGGGTCCTCTAGGAGGAGTAGTGCCGCTGTCGGCGGTACACCCTCAGCAGAGAATTTGTCTTCGTCATCCTCGGTCTTAGCAGACGTGCTGGAAAGTATGGATCCGGCAACAAGGTACTATGTTACAAGAGCAGACGCAGCGCATACGAGGAAAACATCGGCCTTGATTCATCGCTCATTCTTCCGGCCACTGACGAAAGTGAGGTTCGACATCGTAGGGCAGGATAGGGCATTTGAACAGCTTTTCATGGTCCTTAATGCGCATTCGAGGATGTTGTCTGTCGCACCGATCGTTGTTCTGCTTTGTGGACCTAGTGGACACGGAAAGAGTCTGTTGGCGAGGAAGTTCGGGAATCTACTGGATGTGCCGACGCACACGGTCAATATGACAACGTTGAGGTCGACACATGATATCTGGCAGTCGTATTCTATGAGCCCTTACGAGGTCTGTCATGTCTTCCCTTACTACAATACCACAACTGAACCGGCTTGACTCTTGTTTAGGAGCCCTCGTCATATACGCTTACGCAGTTCCTGCTCGAGAATGAAGGGAAGCGATGCGTGGTCGTGCTTGACGTAAGTACTTATACCTTCCCTACGCTCCAAAGTGGAATTGTACCGACACCTTATGCAGGAGATCGAGAAGACCGAAGACCCAAAAGCCCTGTATTCACTGCTTATGCCATGGGAGATCGGTAAGCTTTCTCATTGGGTTCCGTACGAAGAATTTCCCTGAATTTTCGTCCAGGTCGCTGCTCTCCTCAAGCCGGGGATCGTCACATAGATGTCCGCAAGGTAATCTGGATCGGTACCTCTAATATCGGCCATGACACCGTCTTTCAGTACCAATCCAGCCTTTCGTCATCTAACACCTCAACCACTATGTCTCGCAAAGACTACATCCGCCTCGCAGATATGCTCCGTCCAAAAGTATCCGACCGACTCGGTGCATCACTCCTTTCCCGCGTCACCTCGGTTCTTCCCTTCATTCCGTTCAGCCAAGAAGAAAAGATGGCCATCGCGACTGAGGCGATGTATAGTGTTGGTGGAGATGTAGTGGCGAAGATGGCGGTTGAGAAGCTGGAGAAGCTGGCGAGGAAGGTCGTGAAGGGTTGGTTCGTCGAGGAGGAAGGCGCGAGAAGTTTGTATAGGGGTGTCTCGGAAGTATTGTTGGATCTCGACGAGGATGAAGATGTGGAAGAGGACTAAACACTAATGAATCGCTCTTGGGGTAAATCGTGGACCGATAAACGGACGGATGGATACTGAATTTTCTTCTATGTTCTATGTTACAAGCTTCATGGTTTTATATTGCTCTCCTTTCTCTGTTAGATGCTTTTTAATTGCTGCCTGCACTGCTGCATACTATACTCTCTCCTTTCGCATATTTATTCTACAACGCATCTGATTTCATGTTTTACGTTGGAGGGGGGAAGAACTACTAGTGTCATGCCACGAGCGCCTGTGTGCCTCATTGAGCGCCACAGCGGTGGAAGGGTCGTAAAACATACGGACAGAAGGCGAAAAGTAAATAACGAAGCGACTTCATCGTTGGCTATATGTCCCAACAGGGTTTGAGATTGCATCATTCAAGTTCAAACGGATCCTAAAACGAGAAATAGCAAAGCGATATCCGTTTCAGTACATGTCCGAAATCAAAACCAAGGCAATACGCACGAGATCGAGGACACTGTTCTTGATGCTGAACCTGAAACCGTCGTCTCTTAACGCCCTATACCGCGCCCGTAAATCTTCCGGGACTGTCTCAATATCCGTTTTGAATCCATCCCCCCACAGTTCCAAATCGACTGCCTCCAACCTCCTCACCTTTCCAATGCGGTCATTTCCACCATCAAGGGCTCCGTTCGGCAACCACCACCTCGACTCGATCACATCCAACCATAGTCCCACCATGAGACGGACCTCCTCCTTCGACATTCTGGACAGATCGTCCAAGAAGTGCACGCGCACGACCCTGATCTCGAGCAGTCCAGGGTTCTGTCCCGATAGCAGGCGACCGGTGGGAGAAAATCGAAGGAGGAGTGCTTTGAGGAAATCTGGCGTGATTTGAGGAGTTCGGCACTCGAGCACGCGGAGGTCGGTCGCAGGAAGGAGAATGGAGGAGATACTCCTATTGAAGCGATGGACCTCAGGGTGGTCCTTTGCGAGCTCCATTGGCGGCATGCTGAATATCCTTAGACTGGGAATGTGTGGCGGTAGTACGCGTCGGAAGCTATCCCAGTGTTGAACAGAATTTTTACATGCGTCATCGCGGAAAACGATCTGAAGGAGGCAAAGCTGCGGCACATCAACATAACGCATGAGTGAGTAGTAGTCGAAAGGAGAGCGAAGTTGGAGGGTCATCGTCTGTAAGTGGGGCAGAACCACGCGGTTATTGACCGGCCAGTCGAGGCCCTTGTAGAAGAGGGAGAGTCGCAATGTTCTCAGATTGGAGCATTCACTAAGAACGTTGAGGATATAGTTCCTCGTAGGGAACGTGCCTCTGTCGTCCGGGCCGAGTAGGGTATTGTTTAGTCGAAGAGACGTCAACTGTGACCATGGAAGTATCCACTCCAACAATTGAAGATCTTCGATGTCCGCAGAGCGAAGATTCGGCATGGTCTTTAGAGATTGCATGAAATGGGTGGATCGTAGTATAGTGTACCCCGGGACATATGCTGTCGTGCGAATGGTCAAGGATTCAAGAATGGGGAAACATCCTCCATCAAGCTCCGGGAAGACATCGAAGTGGTTGACTACGAATTCTATCTCCTTCCAACGAGCGGATTGTCGACATAACATCGCAAAGAACAACTTAATGGAATCGAAACGCTCGGGAACGCGCCAAAATATCGGCTTGGCTCTGACAACGACCACCAAAGGATGCTTTCCCGACCGAGCGAGCCACTTCTCGGAGGCCTCAAGAAGAGAGGCTGTCCTCGAGTCTCGAATATCTGCAGACCGAGGGCAGGCTTTGATATTCGTCCACAGGCGCGGAGTGTGCCGGATGATGTCTCGCCACCGTCTGCAGACGCGCTCCAAAACCGTGGCTACAGGAGAGAAAGATGTCCACGGGCGGATCGATGGGCTGGACGGTGGGGCTGGCGGGGGATCGCCTTGAAATGCGCTGGATTCCATGTCGATGAGTTCAAGAAAGATCTTAGAGAGAATCTCTGTGGGTAGATAACGCTCCTTTGGTCGCAACAATTGCGCTTGGAGAGACAAAAATGAGAATGAGAACAGGCTACATAATGAGACAACATTGGCACGGAAGGGAAAACTCACCCTCCTGCAGTGAGATTGGTGGGTACTCGAGGACACCAGACATTGATTGATGAATCGCGGAGATGACCGAGTGTAGTATTGTGAGCAACCTGTTGCGGAAAGGCGAAAACCAAGCACAAAACGGAGAGTGCACAAGGAGAACGAACTGGGGCTTGACTATGTGCTAGCGAGTTTGTGCACGACGTTGTGTCGCAGACACCAGAGTTATGGTATAGAGCGGAGACTGATTGATAGCGATAAGTCAGGCTCCGACCAATTTAAAGCTCCGACCGGCTCGAGGCGTTGCGGTGACACTCAAGCTGATGCTGGCAAACGTTGTGCGTGGGTCCAAGATCTCAGCAACAACTAATAGTGCGTAACATTTTCTGAAAGTTGGGGACACAACTTGGACGCCAGAACTACAGGTTAAGATCAGTGGACCAATATACGACCCGATGACTTGGCTCAACTGCTCTCTTTTCCACCTCCCCCCGGGCCGTGACTCCTTTACCTCAACTTCCACTTCGACTCTATGTACATACCCTTGACCGCTTTCCCTTCAGCCATGCGACCTTGGCGTGCTTCTACCACGTTGTTTCTAAGGTCACGTCCGGTCTTGTCAGAACCTGATCGTCCAACATATGGTATTTCGCGGGCATATGGTGCATCATCAATCACACGGCGGCTTCACTGCGTCTCTTGCTGTCTTGTATCACGCAGCCTTCCGAAGGCTCCTTCTGGGCATTCTGCCAGAAAGGCTCTTCCATTTGATAGGGACCCTCACGTAAAGCTCACTAGACGAATGTGTTGTGTCATAGAGTTGGTTTGCCCGCTGGGTTTTCGTGATGATGCGCTCCGTACGTTTGTCCCCATCTTTTGCTTTGCCATCGCGGGGACCAACCAGGGCGGCTCTTGGTCTTTTTTAGTGTGTGTCATTCCCGATATCTTGATTGTCGCCCTACTGACTCCTTTCTTACCTGACCAGTCGTGGTCGCTGCAGAAGTTATCTCTGTGCGCGTTCCTAGCGACACAGTTTTTCCAGTGTTTTACCATCAGCTGTTTTTTGCCGTACGGGACGGGTATTGCCTTGTGAATGGATAGCTTCCAGCATCATTCTCTTGGCACCATTCTCTGGTATGATCCGTGCCCACTGACGCCATCTCACTTCTTTTTTCTTTACTTATATAATTGCTCATAATTCTCTTCATCGTTACGCCTGAGTTAGGAGTCAGATAGGAGTGATTCTCGACGAGAAAAGGGTATTTTCTCCTGTACCTCGGTAATCAATGAATCCGCGGTGAATGCGATATTTCTCGTACAGCCACCGTCAACCCTATGGCCAAATCATACTGCCTTGTGGCAGCTCCACAGTCGTGTGCTTTGTACAGGAAATCTATCTTTCGAGACCCATCAGTGACAACTGCCCTCTGTACGCTTACACTAACTCAAGTGAGAGCCCACTCGGCTCATCGAGTCGACTTTAGACCGACGCTTGGAATAGCGACCATCAGCGTTTCGAGGTCAAGACTTGTCTTCGAAAATGTGCCTTTCTATCAGTTTCTATCTGCAATTTTGCTTTCCTTGGCATACCCGGCCAGTCATCGAGCTCATCTCAGAAAGAGTATAAGTACTCGATGGGAGGAGTCCCTCTAGCCAATCATTCACGCACACTCTTTCTTGGGTCAATTCACTTATTTCAATTATCTCTTCGTCGATTCCCATCCATAACGGTATTCGGAATGTTATCTTCTGCATTCTTTGTTCTTGCGCTTCTCGGTCACGCATCTTGCGCCCCATCGTTCGACGTTCGTGATACCACGCCGACCGACACTGACCTCCTACTTTCTTGCCCTGGTGCTGCTGGTACGTTTCCCCGTTCACAGAGAGTGATTGGAGAGTGTATGGTGCTCATTCATGATTTGTTAGGCTCGCCCAACGTCCGGGATGCCGACAGATGCACTCTCATCAACATTGTCAATAATCCAGACGTCCGTCCATTTGTCGCCATCGGTGATGCGCAGCTCAAGTACGTTTAGAACCTCATCTCCGTGCCATGACCAGTCCCCCTCCCTTTCTCCGTTGTTGGGTCCTCCGGTTTATTAACCAGCCTCGTCCTTTATATGTGCTAAATCAGCTGTGACGGTGGTACTGAGGCCAAAACAGTTACGATCGGCGGCTCTACGTCGACTACCACCACATTCACCGTCAACGCTAACCTAGGCATCTCCTTCGAGGGTGTCTCCATCGGCGGCGGAGCAAGTTCCGAATCGGGTACAACGACTGTGACTTCAAAGTCGACGACGTTCACTGTCAGTCCTGGAAGACAGGTTGTTATGACCGCAGGGATATTACAGCACTCCCAATCTGGGAATGTACAAGTGAACTATGGGGATAGGGTAGATGGACATTACGAGGTGAGTGCGGAAATGGCTCACGTCTCTCTTCGTCATCACATGTTAGATTCGCTTTGCTGACTTTGCCTTTGTTATTTTTAACGGCTCGTGCGGTCAATGTGGGTGTCTACAGTGGTACACGGGTGCGACTGTGACACAGTTGACTCCCACAGACGACACGGAATTCGATATTCACGAAAGTGCATGCGGTGAGTCGTACGCGATGCAGGGCATGGCAATCGAGGGTACTGACGATAGAAAATGTGATCATCGATTCAGGCACTGACCCGAAGGATCCCAACAACGACTCGTAATGTTGTCGACTTGATAATTCCTTACAAATGTCATGTTTATCTACGTCCATATTCTTCACGGACAATTTGTATTTATTGTCGTTATCGACAATGCCACTTTCGCTCCTTAATTAATGGACGGATACAACGGCATCTCTCGCAACGGGATATCTGATATTGGTTGCACATGCGTGTGTAAGGCAGCGCACAGCACGTAGCCACCATGGCAGTTCTGACCTGGTTCTGAACGAGTATGTACTTTGAGGGTGGTTGACTTATTCGATTGCGGCCGGACGGTCGGTGACGCGACCAAGACACGACGCGGTGTCAACGGGAATTGCCGTGGCAGACGATCGTCGCGTTTTCTTGGCGTTGCCACTCGACGCGTCTTTCTTCTCCACCATCTCGTACTTTGAGTAGGTTCCGTCCTGTACATACGCATCATGGACCCAGTGGACTTAAAAGCTCAAGGTAATACGCACTTCAAAGCTGGTCGGTTCACTGAGTAAGTCTGTTTCATGCGTCGAAACTCGACACATTTCGAATGCAAACGTGTGGCACTCACGCTGACTTCGTCTATTCCGGACATCGTAGAGCTTCCAAGTTGTATGCTCAGGTAAGATATTATCCTTGGTCAAGTAGAAGCACATCCCATCAAGCTTTAAATCTTGATCGTCGCTGTTAAAGGCGCTTCGACGCCAATTAAATGCTATATGCACCTTTTTTGCCATTCCACAACCCAAACTACTTCACTCATATACATCCCTGATCTCTATAGGCTGAGAAAGAAGCTCCAACCGATCCTGTCTACCCCTCCAATCTGAGTGCTGCGCTCTTTGAAGCAGGAGACTACACTGCGTGTTTCCTCGCCTCAGTCCGCTCTTTGAAACTTCTTCTCGCCGAAGACGGACGAAACGGCGCTCTCCTAGACCGACTTTCAATCAGGCTGGCTAGGACACTTCGCTTTGGAATTAGATCTGGACGCCTGTCATATCGCTTTTTACAGGCCGAGGATGCTTCTAAGGTAATCGTTAAGTTGAAGGAGCTGAGTGAGCGATCTCAGAACGATGAGCTGCTGAGAGCTTGGAGCGAGTGGAGACAGACAGAGAGCGAGTCCGAGAAGATTACAAAAGGCGTCACTGATGCTAGGGCGAGACTCGCGCGACTGCCAATATATAAATCCAGACCGTACGTATTTTCGCATACCTTAGTTGCAAGAACCACGTTCACGATCATCTTAACAGGATGGCGATCATGGAATATTATTCGGTGAGAAGCATACCTTTGGTACCACTATATTTGCTCGCTGACTCCACTTCTACATCAAGATATCGCACGATAATCCTATTTCGATCATTCACGACTATGGCACAGAAGATAAACATCCTTCACCTCCACTGAAGCTTTCGACTTTCTCTGGAGAGCGCTTGTCGAAACTCGCATTTCTGTTCGGAGGAGTAGGCGATGGTCGGTCCACTTTTCTATGTGCAAGTCTTTACTATCTTTGGTGTACGCTAACTGTTTGACACTGTAGGGCGTCATGTATTTGCTTCAACCATAGGTCTTCATCAAGCATACAAGACACTGCCAAAGACGAAGCAGGCGAAATTCAGAGTACACCTCACACTCTTGGACATACATCCTACAGCACTTTCGCGCGACTTGATCGTCCTCCTTCTCCTCGATAGCTTGCTCAATGATGCACCTGGTGTTGAAGAAACCGCCGAGATCAAGGCGACCTTGTTCTACGTCTATACTGCTATGGTTGTTCCAGCGTACTGCTATCATCGGTATCACTTCCCATGGCGTAAATTGGTCTATTTGATTCTAATCAGCCCACAGATTTATGAAACACGTCAAAAGCCTCCGCGAACGACTGTCGTCACCTTCTCCTACTCTTCCCTCCTGGATCCATCTCGTTTCCGAATCCATCCCCAGCATTATAACGTCGCTAGACTACTGGATTGCCAACTGTCCAAAAAAGACCACGGGCATCATGCTTGAACACTTCAGCGATGAGAAGTACCGAGCCAGCCGTGCCGACATTAAACAAGCAGCCGCTGCCGGCGTATTTCCGGGCTACGCGGCGCACAACCCCTTGGCCGAACGTGACCTAGCCGCGCGACGATCTCTTGATCAACAAAGCGACGCAGATATCATCAAACTTGGACTGAACCTAACTAATCCAGATGGTTCTCCTCCAGTCGTGCCGACGGATCCTGCTGGAAGAGCTGCGTTTATCGAGAAAACGAAAGAGAGGGTGGTAGAGATGATGGGCGAGCTCGAACATGGAACTCTGGAAGCGAAGATTATAGAGGAGAAGACGTTGTACAAGAAGGTTAGGGGATTCATACCGCCGAAGGAGCTTTGGAAGAGACATACTGCGATGGCAGGGGCGTGGAAACTTGCTCGGGCTTTCAAGTCTGGAGATTCTGTTGACGGTTCCCGAGCGGCTAGGCTGGGTGAACTAGGTGCTCAGGTTCGCATACTATTCATCTGTTCTGGTGTAGCTACTCATGGTTCTTACAGGCCCAGGCAGAGATTCGCGAGACTTGGAAGCCCAACCCTTCTCTTTTCGTATGTGTTTGCCTCTTTTCTGGGAGGTTGGATGTTCATCGCCTAGCTTACATACAGGACGCCTACCTTGATCATACTAGCGGATATCCTGCAAAGCACACAAGCGGGTTCGATCCCGTCCTCGCCTTTGAAAGCTTCAACGAACGCATGGGTATGGGAGAGGTTCTCGGAAGAAACGACGTGCTGGATTCCCCGTCTTTCTCGATCACTTGGGTATTTTTCGGTGCCGTACTTGAAGCTTTGAAGGACATGAAAGATCTCATCCAGCTCGAGGTTCTTCGTGGAGAACTCAATCAAGAGCTGTTGAAGATGAGGACTTCGGGAGATCAGCATCGACCAGCTCATTTTCCCAGGACGTTCACGAGGATGTGGTTGAGCAATGTTCCGTACGTCTCCTCCTTTCTTCATCGGTCCAACTGCTGCAGCTCAACCTTCTATACCCAGTGATTACACCCACGGCCCATTCAATACAGCTGTGTATGTCGTTCCAAGCCTTCAGTCTGACGCCGACTGCTCAGTTGGTTCCAACTGCCTGCTCAACCCTCCAATCTGGCGCGATGACGATGAGTTTGCCTACACGTAAGACGTTCATATAGACCATCTATTTATTTTCTCGTCTTTCTCACCGGATCTGTACACAGATACTCTTTACTGAGGGTCAGGGACATCCCGCGTTACTTCGGCTGCCGTGTACTCAAGATGTCACCAGTCTGGGACCTCACCAAGCTTGCCGCCAACCCTCTACCACGCCCACTCAATGAACTTGCCACCCGCCCGGAGCTCATTGCTTGGCTCACCCGTGTCTTCTTCTCCATTATCCTTCCCGGGAAGACACACGAGTTTGGAATGCGTACTTACGTCCGATACCCGAACAGCCTCGCCGCATTCGTCGAACTCCTTGTTCATCTGCACGCAGTTGGATACCCTACGCACTGGCTTTCGGATTTCGTATCGATCATGCTCACGGACGCGTTGACGACGGATATTGCCCTCTATCAGGGTAAATATCCGTGTCCGAGTTCGGAGATGAGTAGGCGGGTGGCGAGGAGGAAAGTTTGCCTGGATCCCTGGCTCGTCGATCTCGAGAACATTTTGGCGACCTCCTACGAAGCGATACCGTTCCCATTCGCCGCACCTTCTGGTTTTGCGACGTCTTCGAACGAGATCGGTCTGTACGAGACCACTCTCGATAGGCTCTCACTTCATGCATCCACCATAACAGGCAGGCGTCCACCCGACATCGCCGTCGTCTCCCTCATGTTCTACAAGCCTCGTTCTTTCTCTGACGAATACCTCGTCACGAACCTGCCTCAGGTCCTGGAGGGAAAGAAGCTGGCCGGGCAAGGGGAGTTGTTCGTTCTGACGTGCGTGGAGAGGTTTAGTGTTTGGGATAGAGTCTTAAGGTGGAGGATGAACAAGAAGAGGGTGAAGAAGATGAAGATGCAGAAGTGGGTGATGGTGTCGTATCGGTTCGATGCGAATGAGATTGGTGAGTTATCCCCGTCTGTTCGTATACAAGGCAATGAGGTGCTGACCGGTCTCCTGGCGATTACAGTCTCGCGCCAGAACGAAGCCAGGTATTGGAAAGAAATTACTGATGAATGAGCAGAAGACTGTAAATGCACACTGTACAAGTCAGTTGTGTGTAACATTTCTTGTACAATTACAACCCGGGCCACTCCGATGTGTATCCCAGGATATCTCTGCTTTATAAAAGTGGTACACAACAAGTCGGGGAATATAATGCTACATGGCGGTGGATGGTCATGAATACAAGATGGTAAGCATAGAAACACATTGTCCGTTCCATTGAAGATTCGAAGACTCGGGAACGTCAAAGCGATGATAGGACCCCGCACGGCATAATCCTACCCAATGTACTGGAGAAAGCGAATAAACCTTAATCAGTCCACAAAGCTTCCGCCAGATCGCAGAAAAATCACACTTACATCCTCAACAAACTCTCGTATCGCGTTGCTTGTACTCCCAAACAAAGAGTCACACCTTTCAACGGCTGAGTCCCCAACTCCATACCCCTGCTCACTCAACGCACCCAGATTCTTCATAAACTCTTTTTCCTCATCCTTCAACTTCCACGCCGCCTTCTTCTTATCCCCACTCTCCTTTTGAAATCTATCGAACGCGTTGGTCATGACCACGTCGAACCGCTCCAGGATCTTGGTCCCCTTCATTCTTGCGGACTGCCTTCTGGCTTCGTCGGCGGGAAACCAGGCCTCTTGTATATCGATGCACTCGAAGTGTAGTCGTTGTTCCTTGGAATTTCCAGCATGATTCCCCGAGGAGATGGACTTGACTTGGAAGATAAATTGGGAGATAAACGAGAGGAGGAGGGGGAAGCAGATGCGGCCGAGGCCCGTCTGGCGTCTGCGAGTTCCGGGGATCCTGCTCTTGAGTAATCTCTACAGTTCGAAGTTGTCGTCAATGTAATGTCGAAGAGGTCGAAGGAGACGGACGACAAGGTTATGCAACCAAGATAAACCTGTATACACTTACCTCAACTGCTTCCAGGACGAACTCAGAAGCCTCCAACCACTCCGTATACATCTCTACCTTTGAAGGCGGGGCGGCTGTCCTTAGCGTAACGAGAAACATCGAGCCAGGAGCCTCCAGCATGTCCATCATCGAATTCGCCGGCGGCTGCGGCTTAGTCTCCAGATACCTCTTCTGCAAATCCCAAAATAAAGTCTGGCCACACCTGTCGATTTGGTCTCTCCCTCTCAGTCCGGCGTAGGGATCCTTCATTTGTTCGAGGATCGCGAGGAAGACTTCGTCGCTGGGTTTGTGGGAGGCGAAGGTGCGGAGAGCGTCTTCTATGCAGAAACTTGTTCTGACTCGGGGTGCTTGGTGGTCTGCTGATTTCACGCGATTCGAATGAGTGGGATGGAGGGGTCGAAACGATAGATGACATATGCTCACCGCATTCTTCCACTAGCCCCGTCGTCTGAGTCTTCATCTTCTTCTGCGGCGGTTCATGTACTGAAGCCGACTCAGTCGTTAACTCGAAAGTAACACGACGTTTGTTTTTCTTGCTCTTGCTAGGAAAGATCGTAGCCCGAGTGATGGGGCTTGCAGTGTCAACGTGGGTGTCGACGCTGCTGGTGGTGCTGGTGCTGGTGCTGGCGACGTTGCTGGTGGTGCTGGTGGCGACGCTGCTACTGGTGCTATTGTTGGCGTCGGAGTAGGACTCAAAATCGCAACCTGTTTCGGGATGGGAAATATCATTCCTCAGTTCGACCAGTTCGGACCATCCGGAACTCGGAGAGACTGGGAAGCCTGAGAAGTCGAATGACTTGAGGAACTGAACGAGGCCTGTGTTGAACGACGAGTCCAAACCGGAGGCGGCGGACGACGTGGTTGGGTCTGAGAAAATAAGTACAGAGCCTGTCAGAGATTTGGTGCGGCGAAGCGGAAAAATAAATCGAAGGAAAGGTGTCGGATGACGGGAAGCTTCGAGGGGTTGAACCCATGAAGAGTATACTGAATCGCAAGTGGGAAACGCAGTCATAGACCAAAAATATCGTTTGAGAAGTAGATCGAAAGTTGAGCACACTCACCACTCGCATACATATCCCCCGTAGCTACACCCATCGCCTCCGCCCTCGGCGTCCTCCAAATCGACTCATACGCCGAGTTCTCCGTGCAAGGGGCCGTTCCCGTGTCAGCTCGATGCTCGTAACTCTCGCCCCCGAAGGTCGCAGTGGACGTGATAGGCATAGCGGGGAAGTAGCCTTCATATCCAGCCCAGGCAGTGTTGGTATGGGGGGCATTACCGACGTGACCGTTCGTGGCATAAGTGGTGTCCTCGGAATCGTTCAGAACGACGGGTCCAGCGTTCGACGCGGTGGTATCGGTACCATGGCTGGCGAAGATGGCACCAGTACTAGTCACAGCATCAGTACCCTCGACGGCCTCATCCAGAATTCCTTGCACTAAATCGAGAAGTTCCCTGTCGATGGCGGCATCCCGCTCCGACATTCGGTCGTCCACTTCCAGTGGTGGGCTCTGGCGGTCTGTGGCTTCGAAAGACCTTGTGGGATTCGAGTCCGATGGCCACGACGAAGGTACCTGAGCGATGATGTTCTCCATGCTCTAGCCTATGCAGACTCCAACTTGAATGAAAGGGGTAGATACTAGTAAACGTGAATGACAGCCTGCAATAGGGAGGATTATGATGATCGTGCGTCGCGAATTGAAGTAAGTCGTAGAACTGTTGAACTCCGAGTCCAATGCAGAGTGTCGAAGAGAGAGAGATGCAAGACAGAACAGAACAGACCAGGCGCACAACACGAGGATTCCTCCCGTTTTTATCACAATAAGCACCGAGTGGCGTGGTGAAAGGGACCTCGCTAGGCCGCTGAAATTGCAATTTCAAAACCTGCGGCAGACGCGAGACGCGACGCGTCTGACTTTGATGGAACACGGTCACGTGATTTTGCCACTCGGACACGAGCGCTAATTCGATGTGGCGCGAGCGCGGTGACATGGAATGTTAGTGCAGGGTCGATAGTAAGATCACTCACCGTGGCCGTTGAAAGCAATTGTTGCCATGCCGGGGCGAAAACGTAATCAGAGACACTGAACAGCCAGCTGTACAAATGTACTGAATTGCAGGACGACAACAAGGACACGGACAGTAGGTACTGACAAGCATCGCGGGTTTTCGAGAAGTCGGAAGAAAAACAAAAGTACAACACGACCAAAGGGAGGTAAGTAGTATGTCGATGGTGCCGATGAACAGGTCAGACCGATCCACGGCGTCCTCGACTCCCGCAGAAATTAGAGTGCTGGCATCTGTCAATGAGACCAAGAAGATAACCGCACGAACGTCGACAAATCACGACCACAATCCCAATCCCAACATTCACTGGCAGCTACTCCGTAAGTAGGCTCGCCGAAGAATAAAATACACCAACAAAACGACTATGGACCCAAGTGCGTGGTAGTTAATGAAAGACGCGAAAATAAGGAGAGAGGAGAAGAGAATGGTAGGATAAAGCGGACATCAACGTTTCGAAAGCGGAGACACATGTACAGTCCCTCTAGCCACTCGAATGAAGTACACTGCACCACTCTGTGAAGTCCCTGCATCAGCGCAAACCCTGAATGGATGGCAGAACAACAGAAACGGAAAACGCACCTCTACCTCCCCTGCCCACCCGTCAACGACCTCCCCGCCCCCGCCAAACTACTCGCCCTCCTCGAGTTCCTCGCCGTTCCATTCCCATAAACGCTCCCACCCGCCGCACTCCCATCACTGCTCCCATCCTGATACCCCCCAAACTGTCCCGGCCCGCCCTCCAAACACTCCAACGGAACCATCCCCTGCTCGCCTCTCCCATTCACACACAGCGCCCAGCCATCATCGTACGCGCTCGCGATCCTCAACATCTCTCCCGGCGAGATGCTCAGCTCGTCAGGCATAGACGGGATATAAGTCACGCGAACAACAGCCATTGCCGCTCCGCCGTTGACTTTATTCGCGCTCGAGGTGCTGGTGGAGGTCTTATGAGTTGCGGCGGTGAAGGTGGTCCCGTAGGTCATTATGCTGCGTGGTGATGAGTTTCCGGGGGTGGAACGGACGGCGTTGGCGTTGGAGAAGGGACCGGTGGAGATGGAGAGTGGGGTGGTTACGACTGGGTTGTTGTATGAGGCTTGTGGGGGTTTCGGGACGTAGGGGGCACGTTGTGGGCCGGGATAACCACCCGGGGCTCTTCCTGCGCCTATCCCTGCCGCTCCTGCTCCCCCTCGCGGTGCATCATCGCGAGTCACAGAATTATACCTCCCCACATTCGGCTTCACGCCCGTCGAGTTCTGGATCGAGGTCGAATTAGAGGCCATAGTCGAAGACGGCGCAGAGAACGTATAGGGCGTGATCGACGCCGCTGTCGCAGCCGCTCCATATCCACCACCCCCACCCCCACCTACAACGCCTTTCTCAACCATATTCGACTCCCCTCCCAACGCGCCCGCTTTGGTCCAGGTCGAAAGCCGTTTATTGCGTGCACGTATGCACGTCTTTCGCATGATCCAAATACCGATCACGAGGACAGCGATAACGGAGACGGCGATGATGCCGGCCATGGCGCCGGTCGAGAGGCCTCCTTTAGCGGTCGCGGAAGTGGTGGCGACGTTGTTGTCCGCGCCTGAAGAGGCTGTAGAGTTGGCAGCAGAGGAAGTCGTGCTGGCGCTGCTGGCAACGAGAGACGAAGCCGAGGTGGCGGCGGCGGCGGAGGAGGAAGAGGTGGTGGCATTTGCTGAGCCGGTCGAGGATGCGGAACCGGACGTGGACGAGGCGGAGGACGAGGATGCCTTCGCTGAGGTAGACGATGCAGATGACGACGACGCGGAGGAAGTCTTCGCAGCAGCCGTTGCGGAGGAGGAGGATGTGGCGGTGGCGGTCGCAGCAATGGTTTGAAGGATGACTTCGGTGGTAGGGAACATAGAAGTGGTCGTGGACTCCACCTTCTTTCCGCTCACGGTGACGACGACCTCTGTGACCACTGCCGCCGTCTCTACCACGGTCTGCGTCGAGACGATGAAGGACGAAGAGTTGTCGTCGTCATTGCTGCCCAAGTTGATGAGTGCCCGGGCGTCGTGAAGCTGTTCTGAATCGAGACGAGAGTGGAGGGATGAACGCCTCGACCGCAAGGCCCGCGCAGCAGGGAGATGCATTTGTCGAGGATTGAAGACCATAGAACACGAAGGGTATAGGACGTGAGTGTGAAAAAGAATGAAAAATGGCAAATGAGATCACAAGAGCCGTAGTGTCGTCGAAGGTCGAAGTATGAAGAAAGAATGGAGAAGAGAGTGAAATACCCGTCTTGTCCGTTATGTCGCCAGGATATAAGGAATTCGGGGAGGATACATACACAGCAGCACAGTCAGTCAGGGTTGGGAAAAGACAGACAGGAAGCTGGGAGCAGTCCTGGGCAACGCAAGGCAGAGGAGCAACACAAGAAATGGTCGTCGTTCGTCCTTGTTGCGATGCAACCGGTATCATGCGTTCCCCATCTCTGGAACCTTCCCAGCCATCAACCGTCTCCGCTTCCGCACCGAGGCCTTTCATATCAGTCCGACCTGCTTGTTCGTTTATTGCCTCGAGCAATGTTCGCACAAATTAGACCGTCGAGTTGGAGGAGTGAAGCGGCGGCGATAGGCGGCTCGCCCACCGCGCCCATCCCTTCTCGCGACGATCGCTGTCTGACGTATCGTTCACAGCCTGATCTGCTAGTAACGAAATAATTCTACCAGATAACTATTGGACAGATACCGTCAAAGCTGAGATCTTATCCCAGGAGGAGGAGAAGGAAGTGGTGTGGCACAGAATACGCCACACAGCTGTCTGCCGAGAGTCCCGAGGATCTACCGCCGTGGGAAATCTTGTTGGCCAATGGGGAGCACGCGACTCGAAATAAATTAGCAAAATTAATGCATCCGGACTGCTCACTCGCGATGGCACGGCCTTGCTGAAACGCCTTTGACGACAACCGCCACCATCCACCTGCTTTCCCAACGCTCATCCGGCCACCCCGGCCATATCCTATCTCGAAACTACGACCGAATATCGAATTTATGACCATGACCGATATGAGCATTACCCCTTCGCCACAGCTTGACTCCCCTTCCGGCCTGCAGGAGGAAAACCTGATACTCTTCAAGAGCGTCACGTCCGTGCAGGAGCGGGAAGGTATGTTTCTATATATTCTCGTTGTTGAAATCTTCTTACTACGATCTTTCGTTGGATCTGGACGTGTATCGTGCTATGTGGAACAGAAATGGCTTATGCGCTTCTGGCTTCCCTGCCCAGATCGAGCCTGGCGAGGGTACAAAGGAAGATGATTCCTCTGCTGCAGTTGGATGTCGTCGGGGTGAGTTTTCCTTTCATTGTCTTATCATATCTCTGGACCTGGACTTGGATATAATATGGAGCAAGTGCGTTCCTACATGCAGTCGGGAGAGCGGTGTCTCCGCCACATTTTCAGGCAACTATGTCATTCAGGCCAGGGGCAGCAGATGGTGGTTGGTGCGCTGGCTTCATGCTGGAGCGACCTTTCAGAATTCTTCCCAACCATGCTCTGGCTCAACTGATTTTACATTTGTGGCGTACCTTGTGCCTGCTCTCCTTATTTTGGGTCACATAAATAATATAGCTAACACCTATTGTCACATTTTTACAGCTACTCCCGACAGAGGTCGCCCTCCACATTTTCTCCTTCCTGCCCTGGAAAAGTCTCCTCCAATCCAGTCTCGTCAGTCGTCGATGGCGCGCCCTCTCCGACGATGCCTCTTTATGGAAGCAACTTTGCGCCAGTCGAGGTTGGAGCTGGAAGGAGCCATCGAAGCCGCCACTCCTCCATCGCCACTCTATGGAACCTCTGCATGAAGACACAGACGATGAGGGTATGGGCGACGAGGAAGAGGATCTAGTACCTGCTCTTGGTAATCTCGGGATGCACGACGATTCAGGAATCACCTCCGCGTACGATACACCTTCTGACCTTTCAGAGAGCGAAGGCGATTTCGGAGACGATACGGACACGATCATGGATTTCGCTAGCAGTGTCCAGTCATCATCTGCATCCTCGTCATCCTCACCATCACAACCAGAAGCTGGTCCTTCCAATCCATCAGCACCCATCGCACGACCTCGCCATCGATCCCGCCACTCCGCCCCCGCCATCATGTCCTCCTCCACTTCCTCCTCCCACTCCTCCAAACCGAACTACAAACTCCTACACCAGACCCACATCCGGCTCTACCACCGCTTCCTCTCCGGCTCCTACCGCATCTCATCCCTCCAGACCCGCGGAACCCCCAACTCGCACACCAACACGATCTACTGCCTCCAGCTGTATACCTACCCCGACACGGGCACCCAGGTCCTCTTCACGGGCTCGAAGGACCGGACGGTGAAGGAGTGGGATCTGAGCACGGGAGAGGTGATAAGGACGATCGAGGGCGTGCATGAGGGGAGTATCTTGAGTATCTGTGTGTATGGGGGGTATTTGGCGAGTGCGGGGAGCGATTGGAAGGTCGCGATGTGGGATCTGAGGGAGGATAGGCTGGTTAAGGTTATGAGGGATCATGAGGACAGCGTGCTTTGTGTGAGGTTTGATGAGAAGAGGTTGGTTTCGTGTTCGAAAGGTGGGTTATTCAGCTTTGACGATATGTTCAAATAATTGACTGATGGGTGGCTTGATGACTTGTAGATCGGACTGTGCGGACGTATTTGTTCCCTGACTTGAACCGTCGCCATATCCTCGGTGGTCATCGCGCTGCCGTCAACGCCCTGTCCATCTCCTCGCAGTATATCGTCTCAGCGTCTGGAGACCGCTCCATGAGACTCTGGGACGCCGAATCTGGCGCGCTCCTTCGCAGTTTCGAGAACCACCACAGCAGAGGGTACGTCTACATCCCTTTTACCCTCTTATCGCCCGTATTCAGAACTGACGTCGAGTCGCCTTCCGAACACAGAATCGCCTCCATCGACCTCGACTTCCCCTACGTCCTCTCCGGTTCCTCGGACAAACACATCCGCCTGTACGACATGCACACCTCCACAGGCTGGTCCACCTCCCCCGAATTCGACACCCAAGCCTCCCTTCCCCTCCCTCCCATCCACCTCTCCTCCCACTCCTCCCATCCACACTCCCTCACAGCCACTTCGGAATCCGAATCTGCGCCACTCGCGGTATGCGAGAATTGCGGCGGCGCCGTCGCCGTCTCGTCCGACGCGCCACCTTCGCCCACGACGCCTCGTGCGTCCGATATTGGAGTTGGAGGGACGATCGGTGGTGGCGGTGGTGTAGGAAGTGTGGCAACGGGAAGGACGAGGGCCCAGTGCGCACATGGTGATTTGGTGAGGAGTGTCGCTATGGGCAGGGAGTTCGTCGTTACGGGGAGCTATGATCTCGGAGTCAAGGTCTGGGAGAGGAAAGGAGGCAGGTTGGTCGCGGATTTGAAGGGGACGGTGCCGGTGGGTGGGGGGCCGCCGGGCGCGAGTATACCGGGTGTGGGGGGACATAGCGGGAGGATATTTTGTGTGGGGTTCGATTGTAGGAAGGTCGTTAGTTGTGGGGAGGATCAGGTTCGTTCGCCTCTGTTCTTGATCGCTTGTGTGTTGCTGATACCGGTTTGTTTTTTGTGGGATTTGTAGAAGGTCTGTATTTGGGACTTTGGATATGGGATGGACACGTCTTTCATCAAGCTATAATGCATTCGGATCGGATTTCATCTTCGCTCTCTCTCTCCCCTCCCCTCTCCTCGCCTCAGCATCTCTGGTCTCTTGTCCCTCAACCTCGGCTTACCGGCTCTCATCCTTGGAATCATCCCCATCTTTTTTATCTGGACATTCGTCTGCTGCATATCGCATTGCTTGCCCTCGTTCCACAATCTGTCCTTTCTCACGTAATTATGTCGGAAATGCATGCATACTTTACGCTCGGGAAGGATCTCACAGCTCGCCAGCGACGTGCCTACGACTTCCTCTACTCCTCGTCCTCATCCTCACGCACTCAATCGTAATCCCTCGCCATCGCTCAAGTTCCCGTCCGTCATGCACTCTCGAACCTTGAATCGCGCGCCGTTCTTGAGACCGTCCCGTTACCTGGTCTCCTCTCCCTTCACCCTGCTCCTTACTCCACGGTACGTACTGTATGTCTGTATTCCCTTCCATAGTGCCTGCGTCTGCGTCTGCTCTGCTTTCGATATTCGTCGGGCTGTATATAGTGTATAATGCGTGTGTAAGTATACGTAATTTGTTGGTCGTCCGGACGTTGTCCGTTGCTCATGCGGGACGAGAAAACAGTAACACAGACTTCTGCATGGATGGCCACTATATGCAAGATTCTCCTTTTCGTAAGTTACGAGGAAGGAGTGTTGAATTGGCTTAACTCGGAAGGAAGGTCAGCTTCAGAGGGCGCTCCGATGGCGATGGTTATTGGTACGGGGACTTTTTGTGGGCCGAGAAGAAGAGACGGATTTTGGAGACATTTAGAGGCTGCCTCAAGAGTACTTGCTGGTCACTGTGCGGTTGGTGCGGATTTGGGGAGGAGCTTGTTTGGTCTTGTTATGATCAGAGGTCACCGCGTACATTGGCCCGATATGCTCCGGTCTGTTGCCGCCTCGGGCCAGTCCTGTCGTTCACAGAGGCAAAGTGGGGAATATGCATTTATTATTCACAACTTGCCCGTGCGAAGAGCACGGGGAAATTATCGGTGACGATCTTGCACATCTGGGTCATCTTGCAAATTCACAGTTGACTTCTTCTGTATGTACCCCTCAACAAGCCTCAACACCACCCCTTCAATGCATACCCTCGATCAATAGCTCATCCTACCACGTTATCTCCATCGAACGATGTGGAGTCAATGAACTTTTTCGCGGTGTCAATGGTGAATTGAGAAAGGTCGTGCTCCTGCTCGCCAAATCGGTTAGCCACTGATGCCTTCAGTCGATGTCATTCTGGCTGGCATCTTACCTCGAGCTTCAAGACGCGGCAGTATGCCCGATCTGAAAGGGACGCGAGCGGCAGCTCGCAGGCATATAGAGTGATGCCCCGTTTCGCCCACCACTCTTTCAGCATTTGACTTACACGATCCCGTGCCTGCTCCGCCGCCTTCAACTCTGGTCCGACAAAGGCGAGATGCCATTTGACGCGTACGCGTTTGCGGTCGAAGACTTCGGCAGCTTCTGCGAGAACTCTTAACAACCCAGCCTTGTGGATGCCGTCGATCGTGAACTGGACTGCCCAGACGTCGAAAAACCTGCTGTCGACATCGCTATCATTGCAGATGATCGCGTCCATGCCATACCGGCGACCATCGACCAACGGTGGCACCCAGTAGAAAGGATAGCGACTCTCGTGGACGCATTCCTCCAAGAAAAGCTCGACCTGCGAGCAACGCGGAATCGGGTAAGCGATGTCGCTGCCGGAAACATAGCCCTCAATGGGAGCTCCGATTTTGTTCGAGAACCGGCCGTGTGCAAAGTTTTCGTACAGCCAATCAGCCACGCCGATGGAAAGATGAGAGCGCATGGCGTCGAAAATCCGTATTTGATTAGTATCCCCAGCGCTGTTTATCGCGCGCGCGAAGGATTGAGCGAGGTAGGTGGTCGGTATAATCAGGCGAGGCAGATATCGTTCTGAGCTGGGGGTAAGGAAGAAGATGTGAGATGAGACGTGGCTGTCAAAGTCGAGGTTCATCATCTTATCCAACTCGTTCGAGGTATCCAGAGCAAGCCGCTTTGCCGCGTAAGCAACTTGTAGAGCGTAATACTTCTCCGCTTCGATGTCGCGAAGAATTCGGATGATCAGCCTCACGCTAGGTCCAAATTTCTGGAAGAGTGTTAGGCCTCGGTCGAGTGGAAGTTTGAGAAGTACCCTGTAGGTGGCGCCGTTTGAGCAAGACGAAGCATGAGACCCAAGATGGAATCGACATTGGCGAACAAAGACTCACATCAATGCGCCGAGCTCATGTTCCTCCCACACATCCATGATATACGGCATGGCACCGACACTCTTCTGCCAGGCCTTGTAATGCTTTGGCGATGGTGATGTCGTCTGGATAATGGAAGCAGGGGACCGCAAGAAGGCATCGCATGGCTGGATGCCGCTGAGCGAATCGCAGATAGCCCAGACGTCGATTGTAACATGTGAGGACGAGGACGAGTTCGTTGAAAGGACAGAAGGGCCCCATGAGTTAAATAGGACGATTTCATTGGTGTCCATCTGTATGGCGACGGGCTTCGCCTCCTGCATGCGGCGGATCAGGACGTAGATTTGAAAGAGTGTTTTTCCTGCGTGCAAGAGACAATGATCAGTGACATCAAATAAAAGAGGTCGGTATGGAATGTCGAATCGATCACGAACCGATGCCAGGCTGGCCAGTCAGCACAGTATTCATCCTCGCATCTATGGTGTGTAAAGCTGCCCGCTTGACCAGATACTCGTACGCTGCCGTGTATTCAAGACGGACGAGGATGAAGCGTCCATTGGCCTCTTGACCAAAAATGCCGCGGTATGGAGCGAGGTCGAAATACTCGTACTTCTTCTCATTGTAATCAAAAGACTGGAAGACATTTTTGACGCCCCATACGGCCTGGTGGAACTCTCCATAGCGACGGAGGCGCTGGGTGGCAAGACTTTGGGTAGTGGTCATGGTCGATCGTCAAGATGGGTCAAGACTCGGACAGGGTCGCTAGAGGACCGAGTGAGCAGCGCGTCGCTTATCTAACTATGATTACTTTGTGTGGGCGTCGTCGATGAGAACAAAGACAAGTTGAATATTGTTTGGCTGAGACCAAGGAGGATTGAACGAAGATTGAAAGTTGAACGCGAGCAATAAAAGAACGATGCAGAAGTGAATGCAAGGAGTCCGCCACACGAGCCTGTCGAAGTCGCTGCGCCGACGTTTGCCGACGTGGATTGCCATTTGTTTGTTTGGAAGGAAGGAAGTAAGGTTACAGCAGTTCACCAATCGATAGGCCGAGTCCGTTGTGCTACACACGTTCGGAGTTCGAAATTGCATGGCTGGGCTATGATGGTTTTTCTTGGACGGAAAGTAAATTATTTGTTGAAAATATGAGTGACTATGATATCTGACTGAGTCTGGCGAGGTCTTATGAGCTACGATTTTAGACAACTCCATTAGACCGCGTCAGACCTGATCAAACCTCGTCAAACCTCGTCAAACCTCGACGGACCTCAGCCAACTTTGTCAGACCTCACCGTATGGGCTCAGAGCTGAGCAAACTCCAGCAAGCCAGATAATATTTCATCAGACCCCGGAGAACTTACCAAAGTTATATGCCGTCTGATCACAGACAGCCTCGGACAACCTCAGATGACTTTGGACGACCTCGTCGTACTTGGTCTGAGCTCACGAGAGCTCACTCAGATCATATTGAATTTACATTGTTCAGTCTTCTGACAGACAAATTGGTCCGACCGAAGACAACGAGCGCGACTGAGGCTTGCGCTGACGCCAGAGGACCACGTTCGACGAGGTTGGATGAACTCCGCCGAGCTCTGACGAGCGCGTCCGAGCGCAGAACGAGTGTCATACTGTGACCTGTACCCGGCGCGTCCGGCGCGTCCGGCGACGCCTGGAGGCATCCGGCGCTGCCTGGAGGCAGACGAGATGTGCCTCCAGGCAATTCCCCACTCACACGAGTTATGCCTCCCGGCAGGATCCCACAGATACGAGTTGTGCCTCCAGGCATGTTCGTACGACACGCGAATTGCCTGGAGACACAACTCGCATGTGATCGCATTCGCCTGGAGCCACAACTCGCGTGGATGAACATGCCTGGAGAGCTCGCATGCGTTCGGACTCACTCGCAGGCAAAAACATTCCAGGTTGGTTCCCGCGTGGAGGTACTAGCCTGGGTATGGGGAAACAGGGTGATATGGGGGTATTTTTGTAACTTTGCAAGTTTTGAGATTTAGAGTGAATGAATCACATTGCCGGGTGTCATTTTGATGGAATCAGTGTATAAAACGTAAATGTGTGATGTGATTTTGGTGAGATGACGGAGGCTGATTTTGGGAGTTCTGTCTATTTGACAAACATTTATAAGTATACAGGATGCTAGAAATCAATTTGTGAAGGAATCGGTCCATTTGCTCCAAAGTTATAGCATAAACGGTCAGGAAGATATTGCCACATTGAGGCTGGAGGGGGTCGGTACGCCAGAACTAGTGATACTGTAGTTTTTCGACCATATGTTCGTCACGCATCACGCAGGGTGCGCCGGCGAACATATTTGACCCAATGGTCACGCAGATACGCGGGCCCACGAACAGTAAATTGTGACCAATTTGCACCGAAATTGTCCGAAAATCAATTTTTGGGTCGTACTGCGAACAATTTCATTGGTTCGTCACGCGTGGCCCAGCCAAACGAACCGTGGCCTGGCGAGTGTCACGTCTGACATAATCTTCCCACAAACTTATGGTCGAAAAACTACAGTATAATGATTTGATTGACTTGGTTTTTGCTGTCGTGGGTAGATTGACATCACTAACTGATTATGAAAGCCACACCCGAAACAAAAACTACGACCGTGGCCTTGATAGTGGTGCCGCGTCAAGGGGAGGAGGAGGAGGAGAACGTCTACCCAGGGGGTACTGCAGTGGTTGAAATTGTTGGTGATGTTGACATTATGATTGGACAGTATAGTTTGACGTTTATGAAGACGATCTACGGTACAACATCAGTCAAAATGCTTCTGCATCAATTGTGGGGCGCTGAGGGGGTAAAACAGTGTATTGGGCCACAGTATAATCACAGGAGCATCCATTTACACGTTTTTGGCATCGTCCTTGTTGTGGTAAGTTATTTTGAATACATGTAAACACCAAACAAGCACCGGAAGCATAGCTGGTAGACAGCAACAAAACAAAATCATGTTTTCGCTGGGGGAGTAGGTGCACATGTGGTATTGGGGGCGTATATGGTCCAGATCTTTCTCAAATGCTGTGCGATCATAATGAGGTGTGGTATGGTGCATTGGTACATCATATGTGATGTTTCTGGGTCACTCACCATGTCAGAAACAGTCTGTGTGGTACATTATGTATGCAAAACGTCAGCTTTTTGGCTGTAAATGGTCAATTCTGCAGGGTGTTCGGATTTCTGAATTTAATTGGGGCAGTTGTAGACCAATCCCCGTTGGGGTTAAGGTCTTTGCAATGAAAGTTAGGCCTCCAAAAAAAATCCAAAGTGGTCAGCTAGCATATACATCTCAGACTGCTTGGAACATTGTTAGTGACATGATGTTGTAAAGGGACTAGTCTGGTTTAACTTGCAAGATCCAAATGAGTGTTCTGAGCAATCTGAGATGTATATGTTAGCTGACCACTTTGGATGTTTCTTGGAGGCCTAACTTTTGTTGCAAAGACCTTAACCCCAACG